TGGTTTGATCCATTTTATTTTGAGACAAACTTTGTTTTACAACTTAAATTATCCTTGGCGACAGGCTGAAGAAGGCATACGAATGCTATACTCCTTGCAGTGTTCAGATAGAAATTAGAAACATAGTCTACTTGCAAATCTATTAGGTTTTCTTATCAGATTAATATAAATAACTCAAAATGGAATTTATTTATCGTATACTTGAAATATTTTCAAAATCTAAGTGAATATCTTAGTTAGGATACGTGCTCTCAGCTCTCGTGATAAAAGGTTGGTGCTAAAGGTTGCTGATTTAATCGTGAGAAAAGCCAAGGGCTTTTTAAAAACGAAAACTTTTATAAATAAATAGAAAATTTTGTCTTCATACAATGAGGAAAATGTTGCTGGTTGAATATTCCTGAGAAAGCCAGTGCCTTTTTCAAACATGGATACTTTATAGTTATTAATGTTTTGTGTTCATTAAATGAAGAAAACGTCAATATAAAATAGCAAAGTTACACTGGTCAATCCATCAGTTCAAACAGTTGAAAATTACCACCGTACTGCGTGACTCTTTTCCGAACTCTAAAAACCAACATAAATAGTAATAATTCAATAGAAAACTAATGGAAAATGAGTTTCGGAATTGATGAGTCAAAGTTGATTACGAACGTTGAAATTGTCAGAACACTAGTGCAGCGGGTTCATTAGTTTTTAATTCCATCTCTCTGATGAACTAATTTTACTTTTCGATACAACTGCGCCGAATTTGTCCCCCTGTCAGTAACTATTCTGTTTAATGCATTTTAAAGTTTGTAGTATTAGCTGCTACTGAAATGATAATTTGCTATTTGGTTTGAAGCTGAGCTATAGTACTCGCCAGGTAATTTAAATATACCTTGTCAGTCACGACGTGGTCGATTTGCAGAGTTACACTATAAAAAAGTTAAATACCCCCGCCGCAGCAAACCTGCAGACTAAGCGAATTTCAACTTGTCTGATTACATTTTTACTAAAATATTTCCATAAATAAAACATAAGTTATATATTTCCAATTTAAATAACATTAGATTTAACGAGTGCTTAGGTTTGCTGCTACGGGGAAGGTAAAAAGTGTTTTTTGACAATATGTCAATAGTATAGGATGAAATAAATAAATTTGCCAAATTTTATCAACATTATATCCATAAACAAGTAAATTACAACAGTTTTCATTTTCTCCATAAGAATAACATGGGAATTTTAAATTACCTTTTTTTTTAATTTTCTCCGTGACCGTTAGGCATACAACAGCGCTTCAATATACTAAATTATTTGTTTTTTTAAGCTCTACAAAATGGTTTGGAAAGAAATTGCTAAATTTTAAGTTTTTAGGGTCAAAAATGGGAAAAACCTATATTTACCCCATAAAACCCCCCATAAACCCCTGTTCCCATGGTCCGATCATGCTGGTTCGCGAACTCGTTCGAATAAACGTAGGTTTACACTTTTGTACCAAATTTCATCAAAATCGGATCATTTTTGCTCGAGTTATCGCGCTAACGGACACACACACACACACATATATATATATATATATATATATATATATATGAATTTGAACGGATGGTGTTTTTGGCCTCTGGGGACCTCAAAACGAAAAAGTAAATCGGTCCCGGGTCTAGGTCTTACCATGAGACCTACGGTAATAGCTTATTCCCTATATGGGAAATTCGCTAATTCCCTATATGGGAAATTCACTAAAACGAGATGATTTACGAATTTAAAATACTTCAAGACACTTTAGTAATTATTGATTGGTCAAACATAGTCATTCATACTCAATAACAATGTAGAGAACACTAAAGGACCCAGAATCTCTCACTCTCCACTCACTTTGGAGTAATCATGTGCCTTGCTAATAAATATAAATATCAGGTTTATTTAAGTCCGGGCCATGTGTACTGTAAATTATAAAGCCATAATCTGGTGGCTTTTGGGTCCAGGTATCTATAAAAACAGATAGGGCTTTGAGATATTTGGAGAAGATTTACAAATTTCAGAATTACGATAGTCTGAAATAAGATAATATTTGCAAATAAATAAATTGTTTACTGGAAAATCCTCATTGAATTAGACGCTCGCCGTGTTGATGACGTAAAAATCAAGGGAGAATAATTTATCTATAAAAATCGTTAACAAATTTTCATTTAAATTTAGTTAATAGACATTTTCTTGGAGGGGGGGGTTCAAATTAGGACCACCACTATTTTCCAGTGCACTACGGTAGTTATGTTATGTTAGGTTAAGATAAATTACAAACAACGTAACAGTTTACAAAAACAAAAGTCGTGTGTAATTTTTTTAAGATTAAACAATTTTAAAAGTCCATGTGTATTGGTGCCCATTTTCTTCATATATTCAGAAAAAAAACATTGTTTCTGTTATCTTTGTTATAGTTATAAACTAAACTTACCTAACCACCTATTAAAAAATTGTACTCTTCTTGAAAATAATTATTATATAATCTAAAGTGTCATAAGATAGTTTTGACCCTATACGTGTGCACCCATTCAATTTCAAGCGAATAATTATATGTAGGAAAAACACTATAATATTTCAAACAACGACCACAAAATAAAACACATTCCACACCATTATCACAATGGCACGGTCAAGCAGATTGAATTAGACGCGAAACGAGAGTGTGTGGGGTGAAAACGATCAAGGAACAATTAAAAGGAATCAATGAGCCGAAATTTGGGCTTATTTGTAGAAAGGTTGCGGTGCAAGGATATTGATCGGTGAGTGGGGGGGGGGGGGGTAATGACATTTCGTCCCCCTACTGCATCTCCCCCCAATTAAAACACCCCTTGGCTAACTCTTTCTTGCCTATCAACACTGAACAGCTGATTAGCATAGGGAAGGGGGTATGTAGGACAGGTGGTCGGGGTTTTGGTAGATTTTGAGAATTATAGATTATTTAGTTCATGTTCGATTTGTTTGCCTTATGATTAGTAATTCTGTGAAGGAATTTCGTAAATTAATCCCTTAATTAAGACAGCTAGGTCGTGTACCCACGCTGCATGTGAGAGGGTGAGAGCAAGGTGAAGAATGAAGTGATCTGAGTTGTGTAGCTTTGTTACGTCACCTGTTCGTTTAGTTATGACCGTATTTATTCATAGTCAATGAACTAAACAGACGAGTTTCTGTTCGAACCATACAAAACCTATTGGCTTTTAAGAGTCCTAAAAATAAAGAGACTAGGAAAAAAAATAGTTTCACATCAGCTCACATGAGGGGTTTACTCAACTACAGTTAGTATGTTGTTTTAGAATCAAACTGGCTACAGATGGTCCATATTGGTTGGATATTTACTTCAATGGATACTGACGTGCTGTACTGGTAAAACAATCAATTTATGTTCTACCTCTAAACTTACTACAATAAGGAGTTTCGCTGTAACATCCCTTTTTTCAGTCATCCTGCTTAACCGAAATTTTACGATTAAGGTGTCATTTTAAAGCTTATGGTCTAGCACACTTGCAGATGGTATTTGAAATAGTTATTTGTGTAACTAGTGGTGAAAGTGGCACTTTGCTGCACACGAGAGCGGCTCGTGCGGAATGATCTCGAGTGCAGCAAAGGCCTTTTTCACTCGTGTTACACATTATATTTTTCCTACAGTCACTCTAAAGCATATAAATAATTAGTCTTTCAAACACTATACAACACGTTTTTAGGTTCAGCTGGCAACACAAATGGTGCCCTAGAGAAAGTAGTACCCGCGGTCCGTATCACCCCGCTATTTTTCCTCGGCAAGAAATGTGCTCCGTGTTTTGAGAATATAGTTCCGTATGGTTTTGTAATTTGAAGTGCTTTCCGCGCCAAAAAAAATGCTTTAAAGGTATTTTCTTGTTTATTAAGATCGTAGGAATGTTTTAAAAACGTTTAAAAGAAAAGTCCAGAAAGTTCAGAAATACCGAAACGATAAACACGAAATGACAGGTTAAATCGTAGTTATAATACTCAATCAGCTGCTCATAGTATTATTATCTTTAAGTGTTGCCAACCTATTTCCAAGCGTACACGGATTACGTGCATAATAGAACCACGCTGTTTTGTGTTGTTTCGTTGGAATCCTGATGTGCGGCAAAGTATAAACCGTACGGCAAAGTATAAATATGCAGCAACTAGCAGCTTTCTGTACTATAAACAGTACAAGGAAGCCAACTTTGACGGGTGACTGTAGGAAAAGGTAGTTTTCTTTAGTGTTTAGCCCCCTAATGTTTGATTTATTTCTAGAGTTAACTTTCAAGGATTCAATTATGCTGACTAACTTTCTTTATCAGTAAAAAAATTGAATATTAAACTATCAGCTGATCGCTCAATCGAATTATAAACGAGGGACAAACCAGTTCAGGAAAAAAATATTTGAATTGAAATAGGCCACTTTCTGTTAATTGTAACCTGATTGAGGTTTAAAATTGTCTTAAGCGTAATCTTTGAAAGGTTAAAATGGTATTGCGTTATTCGTTTTGCTTTGGAAATAAGTTTTGAGCCCTTTTAAAATGTGCGATTTGTACACGGGTCCCTGGTGCTATATATAATTTTTGCACTTGTAGTTGATTTTGCAAATGTACCAGGTTTACGGTATGGTTTGAAATACAATAATAAGCGTTTGCTGCATAAAACCTTACCAAACATCTGTTTAAAACAATTAATAGCAAATAAAACAAATGTTTATTCATAAACTTTGTGTGGTACATACAGGGAGCTTGTTTACCTGTTACCATTTTGTTACTCAACTGGCTGATGAAGTAGTTCCTGGGATGGTGTACGTCGTGAGACTCTTTTCCTTCCCCAGTCACAATAATGTTTACCAAACCTTGGTTGGGAATCACAGGACTACGAGTTATAAAATCATTTACAAAATCATTTTTTATACTCAAGATAAAAACTTATTTTTTCATCCAATTATTAGAAAGGCATTTTAATGTTAGATTCATTTGTTGTCCATTTATCTCAGTGTCTTTATTTTCTTAAGCAAATGGGCCTGAAGCATATGGGTATGCACTCACATAAGGGTAAGCAGCTTCCATAGGAACAGCAGCCTTCAAGTAAGGATAGGATTCATAAGCTGGGGTGGCCGTGAAGGGGTAAGATACATCAGGAGTTGGGGCAAACTTGAGGAAGGGGTAGGCTGGGGCAGGGGCAGCCTGGTAGTAAGGGAAAGCCGAGGCAGGCGCGGCCTTGTAGTAAGGGAAAGCCGAGGCAGGGGCGGCCTTGTAGTAGGGGAAAGCAGGTGCTGCTTTGTGGTAGTGGAAGGCAGGGTGTTCCACGGGGTAAGCTGGGTATTGGTGAACGTAAGGCACCTCCTCCGCGTAGAAAGGATCCGCTCGTACCTCGGCGTGAGGGAAGTAGCGGTTGGCAACAGCAGGGCAGGGGTAGAAGGCATCATTGCGCAGCCCTGGGTACACTGGGTAGTAGGCAAATGGAACTAGAACAGACAGTAGTGGATATCAAACAAGACCATGAACAGGGGAGTAGCGGTTGGCGTTGGCAACAGCAGGGCAGGGGTAGAAGGCATCATTGCGCAGCCCTGGGTACACTGGGTAGTAGGCAAATGGAACTAGAACAGACAGTAGTGGATATCAAACAAGACCATGAACAGGGGAGTAGCGGTTGGCGTTGGCAACAGCAGGGCAGGGGTAGAAGGCATCATTGCGCAGCCCTGGGTACACTGGGTAGTAGGCAAATGGAACTAGAACAGACAGTAGTGGATATCAAACAAGACCATGAACAGGGGAGTAGCGGTTGGCGTTGGCAACAGCAGGGCAGGGGTAGAAGGCATCATTGCGCAGCCCTGGGTACACTGGGTAGTAGGCAAATGGAACTAGAACAGACAGTAGTAAATGAGATACTAAACAAGACCATGGACAGGGAAGTAGCAAATCTCCAGGTAGACTGTATAATAGACAACTGGAACTAGAACATACAGTAGTGAATCAGATACTAGACAATTGAACCATTGACTATACAGTGTGTAAATTAAGTATTGAAACAAATCTGTATTTTTAAAACCAAAATAGATAGAAATATTCTGTTTGTGTAAATAATTGTTAACAAAGATTCCGAAATTTTTCACATCAAAAATATTTTTTCACCCCCCTAACAGGGTAGGTGGTAGGGGGTGACTTATTTTTTTCAAATAGCAACCCCTATTGAGTGACCCCTCATTTTGAAGGGTTTGTCAAAAGAAACACAATGACGCAAATCCGAGGTGAATATCTCACTCCTAGCTAAAATGGCGGACATTCCAAAATGGGTGCTTTTTTACAAAAATTAAATTTTTTACCACCCGCCATTTAGGCTCGGGGTGAAATATCTACCTCGGGTTTGCGTAATTCTTTTTCTTTTAACAAACCCTTCAAAATGAGGGGTCACTCAATAGGGGTTGTTGTTGAAAAAAATAAGTCACCCCCACCCCCTACCCTGTTAAAGGGGTTGAAAAAATATTGTTAATTAAAAAAATTAAGGAACCTATGTCAACAATCAATTCCACAAACAGAATATTTCTATCTATTTCGGTTTTAAAAATACAGATTTCTTTCCATGATTTGTGAAATTGGTGCTTTTCACGTACAGTAAATCAAATTTTGGAATATCCGCCATTTGGGCTAGGAGAGAGATATTCACCTCGGATTTGCATCATTGTGTTTCTTTTGACAAACCCTTCAAAATGAGGGGTCACTCAATTGGGGTTGCTATTTGAAAAAAATAAGTCACCCCCTACCACCTACCCTGTTAGGGGGGTGAAAAAATATTTTTGATGTGAAAAATTTCGGAATCTTTGTTAACAATTATTTACACAAACAGAATATTTCTATCTATTTTGGTTTTAAAAATACAGATTTGTTTCAATACTTAATTTACACACTGTATACCAAGTAGACTTTTCATCTAATGTAAAACATTTGAGCCAATAAAATAGATGAAGTTCAGGGCCATCTTAACTAGAGGGTAGTAGTGACTAGAGGGCAGTAGCACTGACTATTGGATACTGTAGTAGTATTGGGTTCAATATTAATTAAAACCCATGCCAACAGCGGATTGATTTATCACTTGACACAGAATATTGTTATTAGTTGGTAGACCATCTCAACAGATTGCACCACGTTTTTTATCTTCAAATTTTTACATTGTATGGGAAGTCTATATTAAACCTAACACCTTGGGCTGTTTCGTTCATTATAAATCTAGTGTTAATGGTAATACTAATTTCGAGCACATTCTCTAATATAAGAGACCGAATGAAAGTATCACAGGGATTTTTCACGTTCGTTTTATAGTTTATAGTTTCTTAATATAAGACCACGGCTATGAATTAAGTTTAGCGAATCGATTACAATATTCACATGTTGTAAAACTTCCCAAAACCATAAGTTACTACAGTGATCGTATAATACATTGAAACAGTTCGTCTAAAATCAAGATAACCAATTAATTAATTGGGTACTTTGGTATGATTTTACATGATGGTCATTAACAACTAATGACGGTTTGTTAAAAAAAACAATCAGCCTGATTGGTTAAAATTCTATTTAAAAAAACTGGCAAACCCATTATGGAATCTATTAATTGACCACGAGTAGCCAATATTGATTCTTGTACAATACATAAAAATTATATTTAATCAGCTAAATGTTGTGTGGTAATTGAACCATTACTACACGTTTTTAGCAAAAAAACACAACATTTGTTAACGTTCGATCAATAATTGACAAAAATATTAATTAATCATAAAACAGTTATATCGGTTTTTAAAAACTAGATCTACGTTTAGAGATAAATTTGTTGACACTGTTTTAGAGTTATCTTTTTTATGGTACGAGGAAATCGTACTCTAACAAGAACCCTCTAACGACTTAGAACAGAATTAAGATTGTGCTTCTATTATTGTCAATAACTTTTTTATTTAAAGAACCCCATAAACAATTACGACTGTAATTTTCTCTAATGAAAATGGTGAAACCCCTGGATTTGATACTACTTACGACTAGTTAGTTCGTCAGTATAATCGTATGATTAACAACTCAATGACAAACGGATTGTACGGCCATTGTACATTTTCAGGAATTACAACTGTGATAACTTCAACAGAGTACATACCGTACGCAGGGTACTTGTAGAATCCCGCGGGGTATCCAGCAGCTCCGGCTTCGGCTCCAGCAACGGCTCCAGAAACAGCTCCAGCTCCAGCCATCGCTCCAGCTTCTGCGCCAGAAACGGCTCCGGCCCTAGTACCAGCCAACGTGCCTGCAACCGCTCCAGCATTGGCAGCAGCATGAGCATTAGCACCGGCTCTGCTTCCAGCGACGGCTCCGGCTCCAGCTCCGGCGATAGCTCCAGCGTCGGCAGCAGCGTTTGCTGAAGCCAAAGTGTTCGCTCCGGCCCTAGTACCTGCAGCCAGTCCGGCACCAGCTCCACTCAACGCTCCTGCCACGGCTCCAGCAGCCGAACTGGCGATTGACGAAGAGGATGATGAACTTTTTGACAGGGAAGATGAAGATGAGGACGATGAAGATTCTGAAGCCGAGGCTGACTCTGATGCAGTGATGCTGGTTGATGCAGCTCCAACCAGGGAAGACGCTGCGCCAATTCCTATGTTTGGCAGATCTAGGTCCGCCGCGGCGAGGCCGACGAAACACAACAGCAGAACAACCTTCATGGCAGAATCCTGGAGTGGCAGAATTTGCAGCACGGCCACTCTTATGGACTAGTTATCAGGGTAAATGTGTTTATAATATGTTTGTATCCACTAATAGTCTCTCCGCGGGCTCGATGATACCGCAACTGTTTTGCGGGTTGGCAGACGATAAGTGTCTCAATGTTAAAGGTTTGTAACATTTGTTTACTTTCATTTCTGTAAAGTGTTACAGCGTTTTACGATACATCATGTTTCACAATGTGTTTTGATGGTTGCGTATGAGGAATAACGGAATTTTCAATTATTCACACTATCTATTCTAATTTAAATTTTCTACGGGTTTATCAGCAGAGAGACTGCTATGCTTATTTAATTACAGGAATTTCTACAAAAAGTAATTTTGTCAAATTGTAGAGTGTGAATTTTTTTAAGGGAATATTCGTTTTGGTCCCTGAATGAAAAACAGTTGTTTTCAGAGCGGAGGCCACGGTTCGAACGTTTGGAACAATGTTTATTACTTTTTAACAGGTTCAGTCCCAGCCTCCTCCTGTACTCCTCTCCTCCTCCTGTAACTCCTCTGTATGTAAGGTCTCACACCACACGGGAGGGAGTGTGTTAATAGTTCGTATTTTTGTACCAAATTAAATGTCGATATCAAAAATATTCATCTGGTCTAAATCACGGGATTTAGTTTGCAAGAAAATAAGTAATTGACAGTAGTGCACACTGTCGAAGACTTAATTCAATGTTGTACGTCCTGTAAAACTCAAAACAATAAAATAGCTTTAAAATTTAAATGGAATGTGTACTTTTGTTAAAATTCTAAGATTATGTACTCGATCTGTAACAATTATAAATTGTCTGGGTATAGCAGAGTATAGTTCGGCCGCTTAGAAAGCGACCTCCTCCAGCATTGGTTTAGCATTAGCGCGCAGGTCGTTTTCTAAGCGGCCGAACTATAGTAACACTGCTCTTCTCTAATTTTGGAGGTTGATGATTCGATTCATAGCGAGATACATGAATTGGAATGATTCTGTAAAAAAGAGCCTATAGCAAGATGAATGAATTAGTGTATAAACTAGTATAACATACTTGTAAGTTAAAATCTTATCTTTAAGACCGATTCACAATCAAAGTGTGCGTATCAGTGTTAATGTAACTAAATAAAAACATCATTAGTGTAGTAAGTGTAGTCACAGTAGTTTTGACATGTTTTGTTTTAAGTTCAATGGGAAAACATCCAAGAAATCGACATTTTGACTCAGTAACAGAGTAGTTTTGAAAAGAGGCCAACTGAATGTAAACCGTGGAGTATCGACTATAATATGATCAGTTCTCCGAGTCGGTTTATGCCTCATTAAAACAAACGACTGAAACGACAGGTTCAATACAGCGCTGGCTGTAGAGTGTCGGGTGGGGAAATGTAGAGGAACAACCGAATGCAACAATCGTATCATTCGGTTGTTCAACTCTCGATTAATCTGTTGGTGAACATGTGTGTAAAGCACGTTTGCGCCAACTTGTAATAATTGTAGTTGTCATATTGTTCAAAATGGGGTGGGAATCGTAGGAAATATATAACATGAAAACATGTAGCCTATAGTGTTCTACTTGAAATCCAATTTATTTTTGTTGGTAGACTTTTATTGTCGACATTTCAAATATGATGGAGTATGAAGTACTTTAGGACGAATATTGAGTAGTATCACTAACTTTTGGATACTCAAGTAGACGTCCGATCTATGGACAACAGATATTACTATTTAACAGCAGCAGCTCTAGAAAAGCATCGATTAAACTACAGTGTACATTTTATTCTAAAATTGTCTACAACATCATGGGAATGAGATAAATGTATACTTACTTCTAACCTATTTCAACTGTAAATACACAACTTAAAAGACTCACATTTAGTCTCTAACTCACTAACCGAATGAAAATCTCGTTCATTCGATGGTCCTATTCGATAGTACGTATCGATATGCGTGCGCACTCTGCTATTTGCGCATGCCCCCTTGCCCCTCGCCATCACATGGTAAGTACCCCTTAGTGTTGCCCGCCGCGTGGGGATTTGGACTTTATTTGCGTGCGGGGAGGCCCAAGTACCTCGGTCGATGGCGCTGTTTGGAGAGCAAACGAAAATCGAGTTTGGAAATTGTTTTGCAGCAAGGAAGCGAGGGAAAATGTAAAGATACCATTTTTGGAAACTGTGCGCTAAATTCGTTTCATAAGAATATTTGTAAGATCGCTAGCGGTTGATTTACACGGGGGTAATCATGCTGTTGATTTGATCCTGAGGAAAATCAAGTTCTCGTTGTATAAAGATGGAACCAAAATAGATAAAGCATTTTGGAACAATGTAACTTCGCAGATGTAAAAGAGTTTTGTTCTGAGCATACAAGCAAACCACGAGATAAGTTATGATGTAAGAGTTATTTTGGATTACAAAACAATACATAGCTGGCTGGGTAGCTGAGTGGCTTAGGGCCGGTTGCTGAGCTCCAGATCTATAAGTTAGTGTTCACCTAGTAATCAGAAGGTCGCCGGTTCGATCCTGAGAAAAGTCCTAAGCTCTATTGTTTTGAAACTGGGCCCAGCTGTTCTTAAAAACTGGCCTTAAGAACAGCTGATCTTGTTCAGTAACAATGCTGTCATTTCATTCAGCAATCATCCTTCAATCATCGACATAAAATACGCTTCCAATGGTGTTTGGATCGTATGAATCATCTTTATAATGCAGATATAGAAGTTACGGTTATGTTGTACTGTACAACCTAAGTATAGCTTACATTTTGTTATATGTTTCTGTTCTAATCGTTTTAGAATGGTTAAAAACAAACTGTAAACATCAACCCTTACATAACCATGTCGTTTGCTAACAAAAGATCGAACCGAGTCCAAGACTTCTCAAACACCGACTCCAATGAGTTTCACAGTTCATGGAAGCGTGAACCTCGGTCCGCCCTCTGGGGCCAAAGGACGCTGTAGAGATCCTTGTAGCCAAGGGGGCGAAGCCCTGTTCCCAGGACTGTCACCTGCCTCTCAATAACACTAGGTGCACACGCTTACGTAGCCGCCGACTGGAAGTTTGACCTTTGTAGGAATCTGGTGAACTCTTTGATTGGGTTTTCATTATGGAATTGAACCTAGCGTGAATGGGGCGTCCTGTAGAAGGTTTTGAGTCAATTATTAAACAATTAGTGCGCATTTTTGGCTATTGGTAGAAATACATGTCCCTAGTTTTATAATGAATATTAAAGAAGTTGAATAGAGCTACTGCCAGAGTGTATTCAAATGTAAAATATACTGATTGCTGTTGAATACAATACATCAATTTTGTAACCATGTAATTGTTATTTATTTTGTACCAAACATCATACAATAGAACTATAAAACACTAAGAAACAATAGTGTTTTTGGCATTAGCTCTTTCTGTAACAGGCTCGTTATACTTTATTTTATTTAAATCAACATTGGTTACTGCTGGCCAATTTGAATGGAACGTCTAACTACTTAAGTATTTCAAAATTTATTTAGTTTGTTTCAACCACATTCGGTCGTGTCAAAATGAATAACACTTGAAAATAGCCAACGAAGCAAAACATTATAAGTTAGTTGTTATTTGTTAAGGAGACCGACAACTCATTGTCTTGGATACTTAGCTTATCATGGGGATGATTTCAGCTAATTTCTTTCGTTGGTGGTTCTGAAGGGATGGAAAGACAGACGTACAATTTTACAATTTACAATTTACAATTTTATGCTAGTCTACACATCGATGCTGTTTTAAGACTGAGGTTTGCAAGCACCTTACATATTGTTACAACGTGCTGTTATTGGCACTAGTTATTAAACTCTAAAAAAAACGAAAATTGTTCTAAAATACAATAAATATTTTTCAAACCATGTTGAGGTTAACGTATAGGTATAGCTTTGCAGTGGTGTGAAATACACACCCTAGTTTCAACTTGCCATTATCAATTCACTCTGTGAAAGTTTCTTGTTTGCAACAATGCAACTGCAACAGTAGTTTGTTGCATGTCGTGTGTGGCAACAATAATTTAAACTCTGTTTCACATTCACTACTCATAGTACAATTCGTTGCTTACTGTTCTAAATACAACTGGGTAACTGAACGAGTAAAGTGTTCGTATATAGCATAGCTAGTTAGTAACAAAGAACACGGATTAATGTATTGAACAGCTGTTTAAGTATTGTTGCAATTGATATTGTATTTCGCTTGGCAGATGCCTATACATTGTTTACCCGCATTTATACCTGCAGGATATGAATGGTAAATACGGAAACCTAAATCATAAAATAAATACCTAAAATCGAGCGAATAACACAATTGATGGAACGGAGTTATAAATGTATTAATGAATGAAGACACAAATTAATTATCTGGCATCGCGCTAGCCTTCAAATGCCAAGATTGCAAGTTCGATCTAAAGTGGGAATAATTCTGGAACCACATACTAATTTTCAAAGGCCTTGAAGATGATTTTGAACAAAGAAAATCTACGTTAGATAGTAGTAAGATCTTACCTAAAACGTATTGCTGTTTACAAATAAATATAAAAAATGAATTACACTCAATATTATTGGGGAGTGTTGCTGTAGCCTAATTGAAAAGTCTCCTTGAGTTACATCAGTGACTACAAGATATAGTAGCGCTTTTATTTTTTCGAAAACATTCAGTTGCCACTACATTAATCGCAAAATTCTATATTTTATAGAGATGTTTAAGCTGTTTCGAAGTAGTTTTTTACCGATTCTATCATAAGGGACCCGTATTCCGATCAGATAACCCCATCGACGAAAATGATGCTTTAAAATCGTCATATAAATTTGTTTAACGGTAAACCTGTGAAACTATTGGGCTAATAGTGCAATTTCCAGGGTTTCGAGAATGAAAGAGCCTAAACGGTGGCGCCTACTGGGGCTCATCAGTCCAAAAATAATACAAAACCTATTACAGTACCTTGGTAATTGGGGCCTAGGGGGGCTCAAATTGGAGTGTAAAACGCTTTATTACGTCTGTGCGCTTCTAAAAAGCCGCGGAATTTTAGTCTCCGTTCTTGCTGTTGGCGGGTAATTTTGAAAATCACAACGCAAGTGTAGAAATTAAGCGCTGTGTACACTCAAGATATCCAGTCAAACATTTAAGAAATATTTATAAAGCTATAATTAATTGTGTTCATCAATTAAACAAATGTTTTTGTTGCCAATGTGTATTTTTCCTAAAAGAATCTTTGACTATTTCAGCAATTGTATGGTTCAAAAATTATAGGCCAACATTTCAAATATTTAATATTAATAACTAGAACCTACAGAATACATTTTGACACTAGCTCAAGTTTAACTATACCGAGACGAAGCCTAGGTTGGAAATGAGCGAGGGTTGAAAACACACTTACAACCCGAATGAGCTATGTTTTTTCTCATTCTAGTATAGCGAAATTTTAGTATTTATTTGCTTAGTGGATTGCAATCCCATGATGGAGCTCTAGAATAGGTGTAGGGAATTATAGTAACTTAAGAAATTTCCTAAACCCGCTCCATGCATGTATACAGTACAACGAAATCCTATCGTCTAATTACCGGTAAATTCGATTTTCTGCGAATTGCAAACAAGATTTGTTCAAAATAGCATCGAAGCAGGTTTGAAAATGTTTTTAATTGTAATACCAAGAGAAATGACCAGTTTTAAGTATCCTGATCATTTTAAAATGCGTTGAGAACATCGAAATGTTTCACTAAAAACGGGCGTTCTAGTTGTAACGCGAACAAAAATAAATAAGATAACTACCGTACTGTCCTTGCAATTGTAAGTTATCGAAAGACAGACAAGATGATATGAAAAAAATAATAAAGAAACATAGATTGTGCTTCAGTATTGTCTTTACTCTGTACTGCTATGTACTATAATTTCTTAGCTTTACGATTTTCAATCAAACTCAATCCAATCATCTTTAGAAAGTGGATTCTTAAGCTTTAGAAAATTCCAGTTTGGAATGTGGAGTTTTATGAGCTTATAAACTAAAAACACCTCTGACGAGTCAAACGAGTTTTAAACATTAAGTTTTAAGTCTTCCGATAAAACACTTTTAAACTTGTTTCTTAGTAAGCTGTGAACGCCTACTAAAAGAAAATACCTTTCCTACTAAGCAACAACAAAACACTAAATAAAAATTACAAGCCTGAAATGGCAGGCATTTGTTAGGGTTTCATAGCCTACATAACAATTAATTAGTAATTGTCGCATATTGATTTTAAATTGGTATCAGGATCTCGTATGGTACTTAAAGCATGTAAACACCCAGATATTGTCTATTCATTACTTCTATAAGAAGCAGAAGAAGTCAATTTTGGTTGATGCCCAGTTCAGACAGGAAGCAAGCAATTTAGAAGTGAAACCTTTACTTTAGGCTATACCTGGGCCGCTACCCTTCAAAATAATAACACCCTCCCCTCACTTCATGTTTTTCAATGAATAGGCTACTTCTCAAATTGGATGACCTTGAAATTAATAATGCATAAGTAGCAGGCACAAATATTAGAACAGAAATGTGGTAGCAAACAGGCATAGATATATGGAAAAAAGTCAGCATTTCACATAATTACGTTCTACTTTTTATAATCTCACATGTTATTTAGATTTTCGTCATGCTGAGCAAAGACAGTGGGTTTCAATAAATCTGATGTGGGGTTAAAGTAGTTATTGTGAGTCATTATTAAAATTGATATGTAATTACAATTTTATTATATTTCAAATGGGCACCGGTATACATTGAAATACTTATCTTATTAAAAATTTTTGGTTTTTTCCAGGTTCATTTGACTCTTCTACCCGACCGATTTGCATGATTGAGTTATTAAATTGAAAATATGCACGCACAGATTTGCCATCAAGCATCGGCATTATAAAAAGGTGCTCATCTGCCCCACTCGGCTTATACGTATTTAAACAAAATTTGCTCCCCATGTACTTCTTATGGGAGTTAAATTTGGTTTCTCTTTTCCGAGTTTGTTTAGCTCTTCTATTTTTCATAATTGAGGTCTCAAATTTAAGGTATGCACGCACATATATAAGTTGTGATTTTGTTAGCTTAAATAATGGTGCAGTATAATGAAGTTTGTTCATCACACGGGCTGAAATTATTATCGACCCTAGTTCGGCTTTTCATCCACCGTTAGACTTAAGCTTTTATCGAAGAGATTTACTTTAGTCTCTAGTGATGAAAACATGTTGTATTGTATTTGTTACCCCTACTAACTATGTGTTTTAAACCAGATTTAAACCATTCATTCGTATGGTAAAAATCTAGTTAACTCAATTTTTGTATTCCAAAAAATAATCATGTTAAGATTGAGCCATAATTTGACATTTCTGAAAATAAATGAATCTGAACCAAAAGCAGGGACAACCGTAAAGAGTTCTTAGCTGGCTACTACGCAAAATATAAGAACAATCCACAATCCAAGGGAAGTATGCACTAATAAGGAGTTTGTTATGCTTTGTTGTGGAAATGTTAATTAAATGTGCCTCTTACAACCCCACCGACACTTGAAAACCTGCAAACTTGCGTGGCAACAGCTTCACCATCAACTGCGATGTGTGTAGAAACATAAACAAATGTTCTCATTCTTGCAGTAAGTAGTTTTATCATGCAAAGCTATACAGCCTTCTCATTCTAAATTTAATAAATTCATGTTAGGTCAAAAATTACAAAACTTCTCATTCTTACTGCAATTAGTTTATGTGTGACCTAACACTAGGCCTACTAAAATGTATTTAAATTTTCTCATTTCAACAGTTCTCATTACTTTATAAGCGAGAAGTAATAAAATATTAAAAATGATCGAGAGCTGCAAACCATTTCGGTTCGTGGTACAAACGCTATTTTTCACCACACTATACCCTATTACAACTACTTCCCACAATAATAATGCACACTGATAGTCAACACAACTACAACTTTAAGGTTATGTGAAGAAATAATTAGAGGAATCAGCAAAAATAATAATAAATAGTTGCTAGGCAGTGGTGATAATAAAACAATTATATTGCAATGCTATGGCTAACTTTCAGCCACCAATTAACGTATGTAAAACAGCTAGTGATGTACACAAAAACATCATAGTGTGGTGAAAAACATGTTATTTGGTCATAGTAACTTCAAATACATTAATAACTTAAAACGCTACTCACTTATCTTATTGTAGGAATTATAGCTGGAAAATTCAGGTGAAATAAAAAAAGGTAGTATTCAATACAACCAATTTATTCGTAAATGTCTCTCAACTTAGAAAATATATGTACAGTAGACCTACAGTCACTCTTGTTGATTCTCATACGTAAAGATAAAAGAATAAAAAAACACATGTATAAAAGTGAACTAACACACCAGGCGGTAGGAGATGTATCTTCCAGCAGTTTCCGACGAGCGAATGATTTTTACAACCTAGAAAAATTAAAAAATATTTTAGGCAATTGATTGCTTACGTACAGGTAGCAGGTGACAACATTTACTATCCAGAGTCATTGGTGCAGTTATACATTATATGCCGACTTGAGTTATGGAAACACATAATATTTTATTTGTTCAGAGAAATAATAAAATACTTAAAACAATTGAACACAATTTGTTACCTATATAAAAATGAGTTACAAGAGAGTATATGTAATTTGCTACAATTCAGTTATCATAACAGCAACTATAACTTATTTATAGTTGACCAATCTCACTGGCCATCAAGCCCAAGCGTTGACCGCAAATTTGTACAATAACAATAAGAGTTACAAAAATTTTCACAAAGAAACAGACAATTATAGGGGCAATACAAAGACTAAGTTGGCGCTTATAGGCCTAAGAAACGCTTGGACTATGGAAGTAGCAGAAACTGAACAAAATGGAGGCAATATGTATTGAGGACAAAAATAAAATTGATGTCCAATGCATACAAAGTGGTAAATAAAGAGTCTAAAGATTTTTTAACATTGTATATTACATTAAACAGTATAAAGTATAACGATTATTCAGTTAACTTTGAATTCAATATTTTAGAATTTCACATGTTCTTTTGTTTCCTATCCTTGCCTATAAATATAAATAGAGTTGTTTTTAGATTTTTTTATGGGCTCGAGGGTTGTTGAAAAATACTGATTATTGTTATAATATTTTTAAAGATTATCCAAACACTCTAAATCTTGAACATAGGCTTTAAAATTTACTTGACTGTAAAAATGCCTCTAGATTTGCCTGTATTAAAATGAATACACAAATTTATTGTCTATTGAGAAATTATCCCTCATTTTTTAAAAAAAAATAGAAATTTGTATTTTAAAATAACAAAATTATTTGGATTTTGAATTTAAATAAATTTTTAGTAGGCCCTATTAGTTTGCACGTTTTTTTTGCAGCAGAATTAAAACACCTTAAAAAATAAAAAAAGTTGCACTAACAAAAATCGATTCTAAGTAACAAATATTGATAACTTGTATATTATTTCATAAATAATTAAAAAATCATTCATATCATGCAGGAGATTATGTCCAAAACAGCAGACTGCATATTCACTATGATTAGTATTGATTAACAAAGCTGAATCTACAAATTGAAACCGTGCTTTGTTATTTATTCGCACAAAACAATGTCGGCCAACTTATGAATAATTCCTTCATAAGCCAGTGATAGCGATATAGTTTGTCATGATATTAATTACACTAGCGAAGGCCGTGTGAATAGTTAACTCGACATATGCGAGCCAGCTACATTACTTTTTAAACAGTCGATTTAAATACCTCCATTTATAGTTGAATTCTGACAGGAAGTTGAATTTTTTAACCGAAACATCCGGATTTGTTAAGTGTAATGGTGGTTCCTATTTATTATTGGTGATCTACCTCTGTTATTTTATAGTTTGAAATGTTTTGTACATTGTGTGGAAAATGTGAAGGGGATAAAAGTTAAGGTTTTTATTATTAAGAAAATGTTCAATTAAACATTTAGTTTTGAAGTTTCAGCATGATGAAAGTTTTCACTACAAGTTTTCTTTAAATAATCATTGAAAATAAAAATGTTGTTCTTAGAAGCCAGTTACCAAATGCTTAAAAATTCTTTCTACACTAAATGTTTCTTGAATTAAGGCCAGGACCTCCTAAAGAAAAAAAAAATTAAAATAGAGGGTTTTAACAAAACAATCTAATACACCATATTTTCATGTCCCTTCTTACTTCAGTTAGTTATTAATTGAATTGAGAGTGTAGGGGATTATTTATAAATACAATGCTTAGTTCTAATTATCAATAAATGCAAGTTAATTGATAAGTGTTTTCTACTTATCCACACTCAACTTGATAAGGTAAGTCAAACATCTACAAAACTGTTTTTAACAATGTTTTAGAGAAAATTGTTTTCAATTTAGTAAATTTTTTGTTATTAGCATTCCGAAAATCACTGAAGAAAACAAGTTAGTATTATCACTCTGATGTTAATATGTTTCCTGTCATTTAACAACTCAACATCCATACAAATTTCTTCAGTATTCAAACCGTCACTCATTTTTCATACCTGCCCCCTCCTCAGCCCAAAATACCGACAAATTGGGTCCCCGGTTTGAATCCGGGGCAAATTGTTTTCTTTCAGATTGCTAAAAAAGTCAAGGAAACCAATGGAAACAACTTTAATAACAAATCATACCTGCAACAGATTTTTTGCTACCTAAAACTGCTTGAGTCGCTGCTATAACAGGTTCATGTAAAAAAGTTCTCAAGTGCTAGCAATAAATTTGTCACAGATTTCTATTAAAAAAAGATCAAACAAACAGTATTACCAGAAATTTACTTGATGTTAAAAAATAAATGAAGACAGAGCTGCACATTCATTTTTGAAAAATTAAATCTAGGCTATATAGGTATATACTTAAATGACTGTATATTTTACATTCAACCAATACCACAAACCTTGTTAACAATATAATGAAATGTTATATGAGGCACAAGGCCATGGTTTTCAAGTATCAGGCTTGTTTCAGTGTTTTTACTGTAGGCCTATTCGGTTGTTTCAGTAGTAGACTTACGTCTAAGTAAGTTAAGGTAAGCCTATAATCCTAAAAATATTCACAGTATTCAATGAAGACTCAAAATAAAAAAAAATTACAAAAAGATCATCTTACCTGTCCTCTCTTAAGCCCAAAGTACCTAGAGACAGGATCACCAGCTTGTATCCTCATCAGCTGGTTCTCCTTCAGCTTACTGTGGATAGGTTAAGGGATCACACCATGCATTGGTTAATATTGTGGTGAACAATCATAACACTACAACACAAATAGCTCAACAAGTCAATAAGATATATTAGTATTTTCATCACTATAACCTCTCCCGGATTAGTCAATTTAGTTAAATACATTAAACAGACATACATAACATGGTAGACATTTAACATCGTTCGCCGGCACACGTCACTGAACACAGTGTCTGAGAATTGTCTGATCACTGAACTCAACTTCAGTTACGTGTGCCGGCCAACGATGTTAAATGTCTACCGTGTTATGTATGTGTGTTTAATGTATTTAACAAAATTGACAACATTCGATGAATGAAATTTAACGTTCTGTTTTGAAAATTACTACTTAGTAGTCGAAACTAGTCAATGGAAGTTCGATTGAGGAATTGTGGACGTCAAGGTACGTAGCCTGATAATTGATTACCAATCCCAGAAGGCTTCAACATGAATATACTTTGCTGTGATTAAAAAAGAGTAGTTTTAGTAACCAAATCAAGTTAAGGAATTTATAACGGTTAGAATGGTTATTGGTTCATTGGGAGGAATCTTACCACTAAATAGATTAAATTTAGTACAATTCAAAATCTGGTATTAATGATGCGTCATGCTTTACCTGCTCTTTTGGCGTATATTCAGAGTGAGATTGACTCAAAACAGGGGCTTTGCTATCCAAACAGCTAAAATATTGTTAAAAACAAACAAAACACATTTAGATGAGTTGATCTGGTCAATTAATTTCCAAGGGAAACTATAAAAATTATAACTTGGCAAAAAGAATAGACTCTCAAAATAAATTATGTTAAATGAATCATGTAGAGTTATTTACACCATTGAAGTTACTAAAAAATTCAACCCCTAATATTTACCTTCTCTTTTCCATAAACATTCTGTTCTTGTGTATCAGCTAAACAATTTCAGGGTACAGGGTAGAGTGGGTTGATGTTTGGTATATGTAAAGTGTGCTTGATTTTGTTTACCATTTATTTTTTGCTTATTACAACACAAGAAAACAATTTAATTGTAAATTGTCGCTCGTTCTTTACTAGTGTTACCAGAGTGGAGCACACATCTTAAAATTTACCATAAAATAGAAGCATTTAGTTGACATCAGCACACTCCAAACTTCCAAACCCAAAACACAAACTAAAACAGATTTCAAAATAGGACAAGAAGACTGTTTGAATACATAAGCCCCTTTAAATAGAGCAATTTTGCCCAGAATGAAGCAAAAGCTAGTTTAAAAGACGTCAAATGTTCTCAATTCAAAGGATACTATCTATGGAGCAGTTCTTGCTTCTCCTCAGGAGTAAGTACAACGTGTTCTGGCACCAGCTCGTGTTCGGTAATGTTGATCAGAAGTTCAGACTCCAAGAAATGTTCCAAGATATACTTAGGGGCCATGTCTACAAGTGACTAGAAAAGAGAAACCAATTAAAATTTAGCTAAATGTTTTGGTTAGGCCTACCACAGACAGGTTACGTATATCCTAACTGTTAAAAAGAGGTGGTTTTCTATCCATCATAAGCTATCTCTATGTATATAAAAGGCAAAGCCCTCACTGACTGATTGACTCACTCACTCACTCACTCATCACTAATTCTCCCACTTTCCATTTATCTGGGAGGCTGAAATTTGGTACACTGATTCTTTAGGCATTAAATAGGAAAACTAAGTTGTTTTTATTCTGATCGGACTCTCGGGCTCCGCCCCAGTGGCTCTTGAGTTTCCCATGTTAACCTTATGAGTACTCATATTTAAATGAAATTAATGAATCTTAACAGCTATTTCAATTAAACAAGTTGGTTCTGTTCTATGATGTTCAATAGCATTAAAGTTACAAGGATTACCAACAGGGTTTAGCTCTATTTTTTTAAATTTATGACAACAGCTAATTTGAAACCAAAAGGTGAGTGAGCGTAGCGAACAAACTTCAACCAGGACGTGATTGAGCCATGCGAACGAGCTCACTTATGAAGTAAAATGGGGCAAAGCCCGCGGGTACAGCTAGTGAACCTATATAGGGTGTATATAAAGTCCCGCACGGGCTTAATATTTTCTAAACGACAACAGTTAAATCAATAAGATTTGGTACATCAACACCACACCTAAAAATTACTTTTTCAAGCAACTATGAATTTTCTGTCATATCATGGGGACGTCCCACAAGGAGTCGGAAGAAAATCTTAAATGAAAGCATAGGTCAATATGCACATCAAATGAAAGGTATTTTTTAGTAGAATACAATGCCGCAAATCACACTTCAAAAGGTTGATCCTGCGCAAAATGGCAGCCGTTCAAAAGATTTCTTGAATCTGCCATTTTGAATCTTTAAACGACTGCCATTTTTTACTCAGGCGTTCTTTTGAGCTTGAATTTACGGCATTGTAATCTACTAGTGAAGACCTTTAATTTGATGTGCATATCGACCTATGCTTACGTTAACAATTTTCTTCCGATTCCTAGGACTGTGCCCCCGTGAGGAGTAAGCGTATAATAGCAATGCAAATTAAATGAATCTTTGAACAACTGTCATTCTTGGCTTGGTTGTCTGTTTGAGTTCAAATTTGCGGCATTATATTCTGCTAGTAAAGACCTTTAAACTGATGTGCATATTGACCTATGCTCCTATTTAAGATTTCCTTCTGACTCCTTGCGGGACGCCCCATGATATGACAGAAAATTCATAGTTCCTTGAAAAAGTAGATTTTTAGGTGTGGTGTTGATGTACCAAATCTTATTGATTTATCTGTTGTCGTTTAGAAAATATTAAGCCCTTGCGGGACTTTATATACACCCTGTATAGTAAACCTAATGACTGTGATTGGCCACAAACCTGTTTGGCAGAAGGAGTCATACCAACTTGCACAACAATTATCGCTCTATGGATGTTTTCCTCTTGCATACGTTGGCAGTATGTTTTTATTGTTTTGATTCCAATTTTCGGTTCATCAGGGAAAAAGACGAACATCTGATCTGTAAATTAACATTTTAATACATAAATAAATAACTTTAAAACAATCAATAGGCGGTGTTCTGCAAGAAAAATTGCTTTATAAATTCTAGCTCTTTTGTTTACAAGAATTCAACATCATCTGCTGGCAACATTAGGCTATGATAAACGAACAGTCATTATGAAGTTATATTGAATAGTCATCACGACAGTTTAGCAAATGTCTTAGTTCTGGTTACATTGGATCAAGATTTACCAACAGTGTTGTTACCGTATCTAAAGATAAGTAACAAAAGACCAATATTGTTGGGTACTTCTTTTGTCTTTATAATGGGTTGAAAATTCAGCAGACGACACTTATTTTAGAGCGCCAAACCTGGCACTAGGGTCCCAATAAATCAGTTGACCTGGTGAAATTGTATATTCTTTATTAGCTCCCTAAGTTACACTTACTACATGGAAGGAATTCAATGACAGATTTCACACTAAGTAAATAGTAACATGTCGCATAAATTTACCTGTAGGGTCATCATTGTGCGCTACTAATACAATCAGGTCCCCTCTTGCAGGCCTCTTTTCACTGTAACATACATCGGTATTAGTTAATATTTTGATAGGCTTAAAAAGCCTAACACACATTTGAGCTAATCGCCTCATAAGGTACCTGATCCTTTTTTTCTTATTTGTTTCTAAGGTGTCTCGCTGGCCTAAGGCTATTAATTTTGTTTATAATTACTCTCACTCCTCTTAACTTAAGAAGGATTATTATATTTGGGGTATAGATTTTTCTAAGCAGACTACATGTTTAATACTCAGTTCGGTTAATATTATAAATTCCAGATGATAAATTTACTCATTTCCATTACCACCGTAAAGTCGAGCACATACAAAACTATTTCAGTACCGTACCCTACTAAACAACACAAAAAATTCAATAATAAGTCAAGCTAATGTAAGCATAATTGATCATTACAAATAGCCTACATGTATAAATTTGCTTGCACGAGTGGATATAAGTTAATTAATAAGTTTGATTTGTTAATAGCCCCTAATACAAACCTAGGTTTATCACCAAACTGGTCCTTGAACTGGTCTAATGTTTGGTCCAACTCATCTTGAGTGACAAGATAACCTCGGTCGTGGCACAACTGAAACATACAATCACAAATTATGTATCTCAGAGGTTAGGTCAAACACATAATACATCAACATGTAAACCTTTCCTTCTACAATACTTATGTCATTTTTGGTCTTAACTTATAGTAAGTTATTGTGTACTGAGTTTAATCTGAAAATGCCATCTATTTTTTTAGGAACAGCCCTAACCGCACCTTTCACACTACAGGCTTATGGCTTTCGCCGTCCGATTAACCGTACAGTTTCAGCCGTGTCTAGGCCTATGTTTCTTTGTCATTACATGGTTTCTGACCTTACCGCAAGATGAATATATTTAAGATACAATGCCACAATAAACATAAACAGTGTCCGATCAACAAGCCAGATTGCATAAACAATAGGCCTAAACAGCGCACTCCGCAACTTTAGAAGTTAGCTTATTTGCACTGAATGGTGGGCCGCTTCTATTCGATAAAAAAACTTGCAGCCTGAAAGCTTGCATTTAACTAAATTAACTTAGTCTACATGCACCACTGAAGCACGGCCAAGGTGCAGTCTGGTAGTGGCAGTGGGCGGTACAGTTTTCAGCCGTCGCCGAAACCGTGCAGTGTGAAAGCTTTCATGCTCTTCTTTACACGATTAAACAAATTTACTGGCAAGGGTTTTAAACATACGGCAAAACACGTATAGATCTAGTATGACAGAAGCGTAAGGGTTTGATAACTTAAGCCTCTGATACTTACAGTTTTTGGCAATTCATAAAAATACATCCTTTCTAACCCACCCTGACACAACTTTAACTAACTTAGCCTAACATGGATTAGGTCCCAGTCCACCTAAACAGCTGTAAGTAGCACTAATCCAAATGAACTTCTGTACAATGCTAATGTTTAAGTATTTAAGGCAAAAGTGTGGTTTGGATTCCACTATAAACTCTAGGTCCCTTAGTTGCCATAAACTGTTTGGGCTATTAATTAACAGCTGTGTCTTAAGGAATATGTCGGTCTTAGTCACTAACCACAAGATTACAAGCTCGCTCCACTCATCCTACACTCATCTCCATTTATACTTGGCTTAAAATACCTACTTTGTACAATGAAAAGTATTAAAGAATAGGCCTAGTATAATATGACCATTGAAATAGGCTGGTGAGTGCAACATTTTTCGCCACAGCCTGGTGTTGGAGGAGGTTCTGACATCCAACTTCACAAATTCTGCAGGCCTAAGCTTAGTTTAATGGTTTTTTGTTAGTAACTGAGAGGTTGTTGTCAATTCCAGCAGACTTAAGTGGAGCTAGAAAGTGTTGTTTATTGAATATAGGTTAAGTTCGGGAAAACACAAAACATTAAATTAAGATACAAACATCAAAAGAAATGATCATGTAGCGTGGGTTAAATAAATACGTAAATAATCCATCCTACCTCATGTATAGCCTAACCTAGAGAAGGCATCCTGAAATACCCTGATGAAGCAAGCCGCATAGAGAGGTTATGTTCACAGATTTCATTTTGATAATCAACTACAATACATACCTGCATTACAGTTTTTCTAATCCTCCAAAGCTTGTAAGTTTCAGCTTCATCATCCATGTTTAACTTTACTTAGTTTCTGAAGTACACTTTTCGATAAAGTGCAATTAAGTTGCTTTGCTGAGCTTAAAGTAAGCAAGGACAACAACGAAAACGAATAAACAAACGATTAAACGAAAACGAATCAAACCTGAAACCGAAACCCGAAACGAAGTGGTTTTCGGCGAACGAAGTGAACTTTTGTTTTGACCGATGCACGTCGTCTATTTGTAGAAATGCCGAGTAACTGCTCCACTGCTCCTGTTACTTTTAATGTAACGGTTGTGAGATTTTACGCTTATTCGTAGCGGGTAGCTGTTTTGATACTTTAAAACGAAACCGTTGATAGGTTGATATCTCCACCAAACCAGTGTTAATGTAATAAAACATAGAAGTAGGTCCGTGAAGTTGGCGTACCCATATTAGCGTATCCACTTTTGATCATACCAATCGTTAGTTCATCGTTAGTTCTCGATAGTTCCCGAATTTTTTCGTTAGTTCTCAAAAAATAAAAAAGTTATAGCCGATTATAAGTGGGTACGCTAACTTCACACTTCCGGGTTCTAGCACGCGCCGTTTTCTGAGGAGAAATGTTTACATCTATATACCAATCGTTAGTTCTTCGTTAGTTCTCGATAGTTCCCAAATTTTTTCGTTAGTTCTCAAAAAATAAAAAAGTTATGAGGCATACAAAGTGGGTACGCTAACTTCACAATTGTACAATTTCCAGCGGGAACAGTTTTTTTTACTATAAATGCCTATATCTATATACCAATCATTAGTTCTTCGTTAGTTCTCGATAGTTCTCCAATATTTACGTTAGTTCTCAAAAAATAAAAAAGTTATGAGGCATACAAAGTGGGTACGCTAACTTCACAATTATTGAATTTCCAGCGGGCACAGTTTTTTTACTATAAATACCTATATCTATATACCAATCGTTAGTTCTTCGTTAGTTCTCGATAGTTCCCAAATTTTTTCGTTAGTTCTCAAAAAATAAAAAAGTTATGAGGCATACAAAGTGGGTACGCTAACTTCACAATTATAGAATTTCCAGCGCGGGCACAGTTTTTTTACTATAAATGCCTATATCTATATACCAATCGTTAGTTCTTCGTTAGTTCTCGTTAGTTCTCCAATATTTACGTTAGTTCTCAAAAAATAAAAAAGATAAGGGGCATACAAAGTGGGTACGCCAACTTCACAATTGTACAATTCCCAGCGGGAACAGTTTTTTTACTATAAATGCCTATATCTATATACCAATCGTTAGTTCTTCGTTAGTTCTCGTTAGTTCTCCAATATTTACGTTAGCTCTCAAAAAATAAAAAAGTTACGAAGCATAAAAAGTGGGTACGCCAACTTCACAATTATAGAATTTCCAGGGGGTTCAGTTTTCTGACTATAAATGCTTATATCTATATACCAATCGTTAGTTCTTCGTTAGTTCTCGATAGTTCTGTAATATTTACGTTAGTTCTCAAAAAATAAAAACGTTACGAGGCATACGAAGTGGGTATGCTAACTTCACGATTTTACAATTTCCAGCGGTCACCGTTTTCCGACTATAAATGCACATTTTAAACTTAACATTTGTTGTACATTACCTGCTTTCCTTTAGGACTTAATATTATATCAAATCATCAATCGAATTATCATATGTAAATCTAAAAGTATTTTAAAATGTTTATTATATGGAGAGTTTGTTATGAATTTAGATATTGAAACTCCTATATTACTAGATTAGAGTGGTTTTCAACTTTTCCTAAGCCGTGTCAAACGCCATTTCAAGTTCTTCCGTCAACAAAATAAGCTGTCTCCAGACATGCGCCACTCCCAAAACACGACATATTTGCCGTTCGACGATCTAGCTGTCTTGCTATTCGCCGATTAACGAGTAAAACGTCTGCACACATGTGTAGTTTTCCCAACAACTGTTCGTTTCGGGAATGGACAAAAAATATTCGTTCACTTTGATGTGTGCAAAAATACCGGCAATGAACGGAAAACACGAGCACGAGCATTTGCTGTCATACTACTTGCGAGCGTGGGTACAGTCTGGAGCCGGCTATAGGCATGGAACTTGAATAAAACCCCCTTTTTGCAAATCACTAAACTAAATTTTAATTAATTATTTTAATATAACTAATTTATCATAAGATAAAAATATTTATTCTCGGTATATATTAATAATCATCACCAGTCATGAGTCACTGGTGAGTCATCCTCACCAGTGATAATGATGAAGAGCTAGAAATTCAAAATAGATTAAACCTAGCACAAAAAAGTTTTTCGGCCTGTCACAAGTTACTAACTTCAAAAATAATATCCCACCAGTTGTACCAATTCACAAAAAAGGAGACAAAAAAGACTGCAATAACTACAGAGGCATATCTCTCCTAAATGCCACCTACAAAATACTTTCCAAAATAGTTCAGAGAAGACTAGAGGAATACACAACAGATATTGTTGGAGAGCATCAAGCAGGATTCAGCAGAGGCAGATCAACGACGGATCAAATCTACATTCTTAAAGAGTCAATAGCAAAGTATTATGAATTCAACAAATCATTCTGTTGCCTCTTCATTGATTTTTCAAAGGCTTATGACTCCATAAATAGAAAGAAGTTGTGGATAAACATGGAGCATCTAGGTATACCAAGAAAACTTATAGAACTAGCAAAATTGAGTGTTTTAGGTTCTAAGTGCAAAGTTAGAGTAAATGGAGACGTATCGGAAGACTTTGAGGTGAACACGGGTGTGAGGCAGGGAGACGGGGTATCTCCATTGCTGTTCAATTTAGCCATAGAAACAGCTCTTCAGGAGATAAGAAAAACAGAAGTAGGGATTAAGATAGGAACAAACATAAACTTGCTAGCTTTTGCAGATGACATAGTATTAATTACACATAATATAGAAGAAATGAAAGATGTAACAAAAATGCTTATTGAACATACAAGAAAAATGGGGCTATACATAAATGAAGAGAAAACCAAGTTTATGACATGTGGAAGAAAACAAGATGATGACCAACCAAGATACCAAAATAACAACTACATTGAAATTGAAAAGTATAAATTTAAAAAAGTAACAAATTTCAAGTATTTGGGAGTCATCCTCACCAGTGATAATGATGAAGAGCTAGAAATTCAAAATAGATTAAACCTAGCACAAAAAAGTTTTTCGGCCTGTCACAAGTTACTAACTTCAAAAATAATATCCCACACCACCAAACTCAGGATTTATAAGACAATCATCAGACCAGTTCTTCTGTATGGTTCAGAAAATTGGATCTTAAGCAAGAAATCAGAAAGGAAAGCTATTGTATTTGAGAACAAGATTTTGAGGAAAGTGTACGGACCGATTTTTGAGGATGGACAATGGAGATCGAGACATAATTGGGAACTTAGAGAATTATTTAAGGATCCGGATATTGTCGCTGAGGTACGGAGCAGAAGACTGAGATGGGCAGGGCATATTCTAAGAAAAGATGACAACTCCCTATCAAAGAACATCTTGAGGAATAACCCAGAAGGTAGAAGACCCCTTGGAAGACCGAAACTTAGATGGTTCGACCAAGTGGAGAAAGACCTGAGGAAGCTAGGGAGAAGGAAGGAAGATGCAAGAAGCAGAGACCTATGGAGGCAGTGTGTTGGGGAGGCCAAGTACCATCTAGGGTACCAGTGGCCACAGCAGTAAGTAAGTAAGTAAGTATATATTAATAATCCAACACATTTAATTTTAAACGTATTTCTAAACTGTTTAATAACGATGCTGTGAATGTTTGAAAGAATAGTTGAGTGTACGTTTTTGAGAACTATCCAGAGCTAACGAAGAACTAAAGATTGGTATATAGATATAGGCATTTATAGTCAGAAAACTGTGTCCACTGGAAATTCTATAGTTGTGAAGTTAGAGTGCCCACTTTGTATTCCTTATAACCTTTTTGTTTTTAGAGATCTAACATCAATATTAGAAAACTATCGAGAACTAACGAAGAACTAACGATTGGTATATAGATATAAGCATTTATAGTAAAAAAACTGTTCCCGCTGGAAATTGTACAATTGTGAAGTTAGCGTACCCACTTTGTATGCCTCATAACTTTTTTATTTTTTGAGAACTAACGAAAAAATTTGGGAACTATCGAGAACTAACGAAGAACTAACGATTGGTATATAGATATAGGTATTTATAGTAAAAAAACTGTGCCCGCTGGAAATTCTATAATTGTGAAGTTGGCGTACCCACTTTTTATGCTTCGTAACTTTTTTATTTTTTGAGAACTAACGTAAATATTGGAGAACTATCGAGAACTAACGAAGAACTAACGATTGGTGTATAGATATAACCATTTATAGTCGGAAAACGGTGCCCGCTGGAAATTGTATAGTTGTGAAGTTAGCGTACCCACTTTGTATGCCTCGTAACTTTTTTATTTTTTGAGAACTAACGTAAATATTGGAGAACTATCGAGAACTAACGAAGAACTAACGATTGGTATATAGATATAGGCATTTATAGTAAAAAAACTGTTCCCGCTGGAAATTGTACAATTGTGAAGTTAGCGTACCCACTTTGTATGCCTCATAACTTTTTTATTTTTTGAGAACTAACGAAAAAATTTGGGAACTATCGAGAACTAACGAAGAACTAACGATTGGTATATAGATATAGGTATTTATAGTAAAAAAACTGTGCCCGCTGGAAATTCTATAATTGTGAAGTTGGCGTACCCACTTTTTATGCTTCGTAACTTTTTTATTTTTTGAGAACTAACGTAAATATTGGAGAACTATCGAGAACTAACGAAGAACTAACGATTGGTGTATAGATATAACCATTTATAGTCGGAAAACGGTGCCCGCTGGAAATTGTATAGTTGTGAAGTTAGCGTACCCACTTTGTATGCCTCGTAACTTTTTTATTTTTTGAGAACTAACGTAAATATTGGAGAACTATCGAGAACTAACGAAGAACTAACGATTGGTATATAGATATAGGCATTTATAGTAAAAAAACTGTTCCCGCTGGAAATTGTATAATTGTGAAGTTAGCGTACCCACTTTGTATGCCTCATAACTTTTTTATTTTTTGAGAACTAACGAAAAAGTTCGGGAACTATCGAGAACTAACGATGAACTAACGATTGGTATGATCAAAAGTGGATACGCTTATATGGGTACGCCAACTTCACGGACCTCATAGAAGTGTGTTTTATATTTAAATCTGATGCATGAGTTGCATATTTAAATCCTATCTCCCAAACAAAACAATAATAATTTCTTGTGTAATTTCTTAGTGTTGATCATTTGCTTGAATATGCAAGGAAGTGATATTATTCATATGATTTTGACACCTTGAAGTAATTTTTCCAGGTTATTTCTTCACAACTTTAACTTCTATTTGCAGTTATTAGAGATAAGTATCACATACCAGTATAAAGAACAACTCTTTCTAAAACTTTTAGACTAGTTAGCATAATTTTTCAAAGTTCTGAAGTGGAATTAGGGTTAGTTTTTCTGATCATACACACATGGGCCACAATGAAACAGTTGATGCTGGGCCACATTTGGCCACAATGGAACTGTTCCACTGTGACCCAACATCATGTGTTTCATTGTAACAAAAATATTACCTATCATATGGTATTAATTTATTAGTTTGAAACCCAAATTATGGTTTTTTTATTAATTATCCTTTTTGGAAATTTATCAATAGCCAAGTTTTGAAATGGCTGTTCCTACAGATCAATATCTCAAGAGGAAGAAAGTGAATTTTTACTTGCTTTTTTTAAACAACTAATTACGAGTAGAGCCATTTAAAAATGTTAGTTTTTACATTTATACTATTTGTTGTAAACAAGATTTATTGTACAGTATTTTTGCATTTTAATTTGTAAAACAGCCCATAAAAATCAGTTTCCATTTCATTATAAATTTTAAAATATATGTAATGTATGTGGGAAAGGTTGTTCTCTCAAGTACATTAATTTATCTTCTGAAGCTGTTAACCAAACAGGTAAAAAAACAAAAATTGTTTTGTAATTTTTGTTTCATTGTGGCCCACCCTCCCCTACTTCAAGTAGTACCATAGGCTTCAAGCCATAGACATGGTTTGGGGTGAAAGTGGCAGGATACCATTAAAAACAATTATATATATGGCTTTCCACTAAAAATTGGTACCGTAAGTTATTTATGAACTTATTGTATTGATATCAATCAGGGTTACATAGTTTTAGAACTTTTAGAGAGCTTATGAGGTTGATATGCAATGAAAAGAAACACGATTATATACATAAGCACATATATTTCTGTGGTTACAATTACATTTAATAAGCGTGTTTTTTTATTTCAGTGATTCCACCTCCTTCTGAATGTTACTTCTTGCTTGTGCCTCGTACTTTTCCCTAAATTCTTTGGTTGCAAATATGTTTGGTATCTGTAGAAAGTTTTGAAGAACCTGAAACATTGAATTACACATATATAAATCAATCTTTATTGAAATACATTGAATATAGTGTTTCATCAACATAATGTTTTGAATACAAAATAGGAACAAATTAATTTTTACAAAACCTATTTAGACCAATATAGTTTAGCAAGGGTTCTTGTCACACTGAGTAGATGTTATATGTACATTAATTGGTGTTAGAGGGGGTATGGAGTTTATACCCTGGGTTAGAGGGAGCCAGATCCTCCACAGGAAATGTTTGTTTTATAAGAAAAATTAAATGAGCGTATATGCTAGCTTTAACCTTTGAATTTAACTTTATTGTCTTATTATATTAAAAAACTCAACTTTACCACCCTTTCTAATCGACCAGCATCTTCCCCTTCTCTTCACTAGACTATTCAAATGACGCTCCAGGGGAAATTATAGTTTGTTAAAAAGGGTAAGATCAGGTGGCTCTCGGCTCTCTAGCCAGGACCATTTATAAAAATCCCAATGATCAAGGCCGTCTGGGTCCAGTTTTGAACCATTAAAAAGTTACCGTACTGACTACTGACTTTTCTCAAGATTGAATAGGCAAAATTCCAATTACTAGACAAGCAAAACAACCCCTAAGATATCCAGTAACACTACACATACAGTTTAGCTTGATCATGACAACCCAAGTTAATACTGGTATACATTTATTCAAAAACCAGGAATTCAATTTTTTACTATTTTCTGGGAAGTAAAACAGAAACTCAAACGGTGCATTGTTTGTAAGGTTTAAGATGTATTTTGTTAAATAGTTACCAACAGGAACTCATCTAACCTACCTTGACCCGCAAGTCATTGTACACAGGTGGCGGGAGGAAGTGGTATTCCTGTTTCACCTTGTCTGCGTAGGCAGCATACGACTCCGGGGAAGATCCCAGCACCACCTGTGGGGGAAAAATGTTCTTTAGCTGATCAATAATCCATAAGTATACTGATGTCTATAAAGGATCAATTTCAATATTGTATAATCTTTTTTTTTAAACATTTTTTTTAATCTTATCCTTAAGCTCCCGAATAGAGTTGTGAGTCAAATATTATCCTGATTAGAAAAAATTAATTTGACAGTCAAAACATATTCCTTAATCAAAATAACATAACATCAAATTTCACTAAACAAACAATGCCCGATGACAAAACATTTGCATTGTATTGCATAAGAAAACAGCGCTACGAACTTAAAACTGAAATATGTAACCTTTGAATCACCCTGTACATTAGGGTCGTCTTATCTACTGACCATATCAAGGTCAAGGAAGTAGTGTTTGTCGTCTGCTCCTATGGCCCCATCTGTTTTGTGCTCCTCTGTGCTACTGGTGTCTGCAGCTTCTAGCAGAACGATCACATCCGAGTACAGCAGACTTTCCTGTCAAGCAGACGACAAAGTTACTGACAAGAACATGAGACGAAGTAATGGCAAATTTGTTTTGTAAAATGTAAAAATATGTTTTGAAGGTGAGCAATGTAAGGAACATACCTCTTCTGATTTGGGGCGGCACACTAGCTCTTTGACCCCAACGGCCATCAAGAGTAACCAAACCCTATCATTACAATCATATAATATGCAAAACTGAACAAAAGTATGATAGCTTTAGCCTTTTGAGTCCAGTTTAGAACCTACATGCTTGGGCTTCACAATCAGAACACTAGTGCTGTAGACAAAAAATGTTAAATCTGATCAATGGGCGAGTGGTCTGATAACCTCGTATCCCGGGCCAAGGAGTCAGTAGTGCAGATCAAATTTGTAAAAATTTGATTTTTTTTTGTTCTTAAGGCAAGGTTTTTAGCAGGGCCGTCTTCAAAACGGTTTTCCGGACAACTTTACCAGGGCCTGGTCCCCGCTAAACAAACACGTCAAGGGGAGGGGTCCGGTGTATTATCTTTACCGGCCCTGCCAAAGCTGGGTACGGCCTGAATGAGAGAAAACCATAAAAGTAGGTAAATTATATCAATGAATGATCTCTGGGGCTTAAAGAGTTAAGGGAAGGTGGCACAAGGTTTGAAGAGTATTTAATATTCCCAATCAATAGATGTGGCATAAAAAACTGAACAAGACAGGAGTAGAGGCAGTAAAGTCAGATATCAGATATCAGCAGATTCACAGTTTGCTCATCAGTCATCAATCACACTGATTTCCTCAAACTCATTCACATCTCTGATAGATATCCGTTATAAAATCAATAAGGGTTATGTTTTTATCTATAAACCTATCCCTTCTGATAAATCTTAAAACTCACTTTTCCAGCAGAAATAAAAAAAACAACATATTGTTCCTCGTCTTAAGTGAGTTTTTAAGTTACAACAATATTTGAAAGCTCTTGTTTCCACCGCCAGGTTTTTACAAGCAAAAGGATATGACCAATATAAGATGAATCACATCATTTAACTTTCTCAACTGATGATTTCACTGATATGTTTCAACCTAGTTAAAAGCCATGGTGTAGCTTTTCTTTTTATTTTAAACATTTTTTAAACCTGTGTAAACTTAATTAAAGGGTGTCACAAAACATGCTTACTTGCTAAAATGTGAACTTACTAATGTGATTAATGTGATGAATACAATGCACAATTCATAGAATCCCAGTTTTATTTAAACTTGTATTTTCATTTTAATTAAGTAAATTTGCTTTCTGTGTTTCTTTCTACTATAATGTGAATTTTATTGTGACCTGTGTAGTGTGTATGTATCCAATATGAAAGGAGAAAATAAAAAAAATATTCTGTTATATTCTAAAAGTATAAAATAACAAAAGATTCTAGTTACGCTAAAACACAAAACTCTTCTGCAATTATTTTTCTTTGACTTTAGCCACCAAATGGGTAGGAAATGTATCAAACGATTGAGTAAAGAAATAGAATTACTACTTTTGTATCTTTATTCTCTACCTAATATGTTATTCAATTGCCACTGAAGACAGCACTCCAATTTTAAATAAATAGAGGAATTTTAAAATCAGGACTCTATATTTTTTATTGTGCACTTGCATTCAATGTTTAGATTAAAGTTCCATGCCAAATTTTCTGCAATAAAAAAAACTTACCAGCCCAAGTTCACAGTCCTTGAAAAACTCTGTGAAAAGCTCAATATTCTTCTTGTTATAATCCACCAGTCTTGGGCTATACTCTAAGCTGTAACAGTAGAAAGAAATACTGTAACTTTCTAACTTCCGCACAAACATTTAGATCCACACTTAGATTCCACACTTTGTACTTGATTGGTAAATTTTTTAAAACAAATTGTTAAATAAAAAAAATAGACAGTAGAAATTGGAAACTTGAATCACAACTATTTAATTAGTAATTTGAAGCAATGTAAATAATCGGTATTTTATTCATTAATATGTAATAGCTTGTTTATCATAATTGTCAACAATAATTATGTTTTGGTGGTCTGCTTTTTAATTCTTTAAAATTAATTTGCCAGTTTCATGAGTGTGTTCTTTGTTACACTAGGGCCTATAGTGATTGCAAAATTCCAGTTTTGCTCTCAACGAGGAGTGTGTAAAATAATTGTTGTAATCCTAACAATGTAGGGAACAAAAGGTTTTTTATATAGATTCTGAAGAAAATTACACCTGTACACTTGCATTTAATACATATACCAAAATTATTTTATTTTTAAAATCATTATGCATTCAAATGTTCAATGTTGTACAAGGTTTATTGAAATCCCTATAATGGTTATTTATAATATCTAATTCCCATATTGATAAGATGAATTATTGAATGAATAACCACATTTTGTACGAGTCATAAAATACTTATTATTATTTTAATATTATCTCTATTCATAATTTTGTAAATCTAACTAAGTAACTATAAATTACTTACTATTGGAAAAATATTGCAAAAGCCACTGCCACTGGATTCTTTAACTGTGTTTTGATTGTTTGAAAATGCTTAAATTTCTCTTCCAGACTTAGTAAATCATGATATTGTCTTCCTTCAGCACTATAATTCTGTAGTATTTTTGCCCACCAGTACTGTTTCTTGTCGAAATTAATTCCAGCGTCATTTGTTATTTCTGTCCACTCATTTTCCAGTTCCGCTGACATAATATTAATTGGTTAAACTATATAATTTTAATAAACTATATTCGTATTAAAATATGACTCTATCTAATTTTCATTGCACCCTATCTGACAGGTTCACCCCACAGACATTTTTCAAATTGAGTGCGACTGATCAATAGCTTCAGAGATGCAGGAGTACCAACTGCCAACCCAAAATTGAACAGTCTAGGACAATACGGTACTAATATAACAAATTTGCTAACTAAACATCCAAATGTACAGTTGATTTATGTTTTATAGTCAGTAGGAGCTACTTAGTTATGGTGAAAACGATGTATAACAATGATAAAAAAAGGGCTACTTACAAAATAGATTTAACACACTCTACGCATCTGTGTTACCGTTACCAGATTTATCGCTATTGTTTATATATTTATTTATAGCTTTTAATAAGGTTGTGAAATGTTTATTGGTGCATTTTAGTTCTAGAAATATAAAAGTAGGCTTACTTATGTTTATTTTAATTCATCGATCATGCTCAAATATTCAATTAATTCACAAATTGTGTAGTTTGTAGCTCCCAGAGTCAATAAGTTTCCGAACCACAACCGCTTTGACGTGTTCCCATGACCAAATATTTGTCCAGCGATTGGTTTTATAAGGCAGTCGGGTTAGAAAAATAGACGCGGGAGCTTTGCATGAATAATGTTTTGAAGTGGCAATTGAAATCTTATCTGCATTCCGTCCTTATGTATTTTCGCACATTAAACATTCAAAAGTATATACTAAACTTTATTTGACCTTCCTAATCATTGATAATGATTATTTAAATATAGTATTGTATGAAAGCAGAAATATTTATTGAGAATTTAAATTCCCTTTAACACTAACCCATAGACTACTAAAACCGTAGATACAGATTTTCTTTCTGCCTGTTGGGTTTTGGTTATATTATAAACAACAATCAATTTTCAGGTTAGAAAGGGCAAACAAACGGAATTAACCTAAAATGAAAATGATTCAATTTGCAAGAGAAAATAATATGTTTATTTTTGTAAACCGGTCATATTGAATGTCATTAGGCTGATTAATTAACCTTAGATAATGCCATTAGAATTCATATAATGGCTTTCAAGTGTAAGTTAATGGTTAGTTTGGGTAGGCTGGTTCTTATTGCGTTTAATTTGTAAAAGTGTTTTTGGTGTGCTATCAAAATCCAAAATTATTTTTTCTAGGCCTAGCATTAATTTACCCTAGGTAGCTCCGGTATGAAGCTAAAACATTCTTATTTATTAAAAGCATATTTTTTGGTGATATTAATTTGCAATTTAAACAAAATTTTATGTGAAGAACAACCAATACAATCACCTGTAACTGAAGAGTGCAAAGAATCAACCACCGAATATGTTAAAGTATCATTTTCCAGTCAAGTTGTCAGTAATGGTAAGTCCCAACAAATTTATTTTCAGAGTTAATAGCATATTTAAGTTAGTTTGAGTTAGAGTATATTTATTTACCATCCTGTTCAGTTATCAAGTGAATAAGTCAGTCTATGACTACTGTACCCGTCATGATGATTGATAATGATAAGTAACTTACAGTTTACAGTGGAACTGTGATAGGCTAATCCAAATTAATTGCGGATTGGGCCGACTTGGATGTGCAGAAATTTTGATTATCGGTTAAAACTTACCATGAAAATAAAGCAAAATGAATTACCACCATAAGTCCTACCTTAAAAAACAAATTTGTTGATTAAGTTACTAACTCACAGTCCCATTTTGAAATAAGCAAATTTTGTGCACACAATGCCTCATCACATTGTAACTAACTTACACATTATGGTATTGTTGTTGGCCTACAAGCATCCGCTTTGATTATCTTTATTTAGCTTTTAAGTTACCGTAGGCTACGGTACTTAGGCCCTATCCTTTGAAATTTTCTTACTTTATAATTTTAACAAGGCCTATCGGTTGCACTTTTAGTTTACGCCCCACCTTCATCCGATTGAAATTTTTTATAAAACTATCGATATTATTAAGTTATTGATTATTTCATTCGATTGTAAATATCGCTAACTTATTATTGAAGTAGGCTAGGTATCAGTTGTTATCAGCTGTTTTAGATCATATAGTTTATAAATACTCTATGTTTACTATGTTATGTTAAGTTACCTGTTTTAAATGTTTAATAGGCTACCGTACGTTATATTTACAAATAAAAATGTCATGAACAGAAGATAAACGATTATTTAATAGCCTAAATTCAAACTACAGTAACTTAAACAAAACAAAACTAGAACCAAACCTTTTTCTTGAATCCAATCAAAACCGGTTTCGGTATTTATTAAAACATGATGACAAATTTCACGGTAATTTAAGTTAGGCTACCTAGTTCATTTTACAATAAGCTCCATAACTTTTGTCAAAAATACTTCTATATAACTTAAACAATAACAAATACTGTAAGTTAAGTAAGCTATAAAAAAATAACAAAGTAAAATCGATAAAATAATGGATTAAGTTATACAATCAAATAAAATAATCAATATATCGATAGTTTTAATAAAAAATTTCAATCGAATGAATGTAAACTAAAGTGCAGCCGGCCAATCATCAGATTTCAAGCTCCCTACTAATGCAACTTAAACTTTTCAGAATACATTGTGGCTTTCAAGGGTTACTACAAAAGTTCAGCACGGAATAAATTCATAGCAGCTGCATTAAACGGGACTCAAATCCACAACTGGCGAGTGGTGGAACGGAACAATCCTGCAAGCGATTACCCGAGCGATTTTGATGTCGTCATAGTAAGTTTAAGTGTCTGCTAAAAACAAAAATTTAGGCCTAATTCAGTTTAGGGTTTCTTTTAGTTTTAGGCTAACTTATAATTTTTACAGTTAACTTAGCCTACTGAATTATTTATTATTTAAGTTATTAAACTTTGATATATATATATATATATATCACCAGCTGAAGTATCCGTGTTTTGCCACGGGAGATATTAAATTTAAGAGGAAAGGTAAAAGTAACATGATTTATTTTGGTAGGAGTGTGCAAGTACGGTACTTGAGTTGAGTATTTTCTAGTCTCGGCTTGGGGTTTTCAAGATAACTCACAAATCATTTTATTGAGTTTTAGCCTCCTGATCACATTTAAATTCTATAAATAGGTTTAAATACCTGCATTTATGTGATCTTTAATGTTGTACTATGGCAATTAGTTCCAAATCAACACTAGAGTCATCTTCAGGCTATTACAAATGTCATCTTGTGTCAACATTAATAATAAAATAATACAACACTAAGCTACACAGGTGTAATAAAATAATCTGCATGTGTTACACAATTTATTTTAACAACCAATCAAATAGTGAAACAGTAAATTAACACTAAGAGTGTTGCTATTGTAGTTTGCTGCTCGTCTAGTGGTTAGCGTATTGGACTTAAGTGGGAGAAGAAAAAGGTCAATCTCCAGTATATAAAAAAATATGAATTGTCCAATCTGACTTTCCCCCATAGAGTGGTTGTTTCTCTCAAATTTTAATCTCGAATCTCTTTTGCTATCACAGTTGGAAGAACCACATGGAGTGAATGGCTTGAGCGCTCTCAGTGAGCACCCTTCCATCCGTCGTGTCACGCCTCAGCGAGTCGTCCACAGAACACTACAGTACATCCCTGTCGGCAACATGACGGATGACGAGGTGAACACTTGGCCACAACGGACACTTTCCAACGCCTCGGTGAGTCGCTCATCTCTTGGTTTCCGATGTGAATATCAGTAGTAGCCTATTAATTTATAAAGTGGTCTTAAAACAGGATTGTTTAAAATTAGAAAAATAACTGTTAGGCCTATTCTTTTTCATTTGGGTTATTGTGAAAAGGTAAACTAACGATTTGTTTAAATTAATATAGGCCTAAGTTTTATTTTTAACTCTTAATTAAAGAGGAGTAGACTTCTCTCGTTGGAGCACCTCCTAACCGGACTCTTGCCCAAACTAAAAATAAATAAGCCTAGGCCTAGTTTGAACCATCCGAAGTTAACATATAAATCAAATCATATAATAAATAAAGGAAATTGTCTATTGTCTATATAGCAATGACATCCATGCGTAAGCCTACGGAACAGCGCAAGATGCACTGCACAGGCTGTGACTTGTTTGTTTAACTGGTTATAGACAATACGTTTGTATAATTGTGTAAGTCACATCCTGGTTGCCATCCCGATCATATGATTGCTAAAACAAACAGATTTGACAGTAAGTAGTCTGCTGTAACAATATCAACTTGTAAAGCCAACCAAGTGTTACTGTGAATCCAGAAAACTTGAATAAAAAATGTGTTTGTGTTTAGAAAAACCAGTTTTGGCATTCGACGGGCCGCCACACAAGCCGTCGCCTGCTGCGAGCCATTCCCCGGCAGATTACCTCCATATTACAAGCCGACGCTCTTTGGGGAATGGGTATCACAGGTCAGTTAAACTATCCTCTGTCAGACCTGTTGCATTGTTTTTTGTGGTGAAGTTTGACGGTCAGTTCGAGTTTACTAACCCACCAGAACATCACTAATAAATAGGAATTTGTGATTGAGTAGAGATTACACTTATAGAATTAAAATTATGACTGTAGCTACTCTTAGTGCCTCTGTAATAGTACAAAAATGATAATTTAAAAAAGAAATCTTAGGCCTGCTTACTTTGGTGAGTTTCTTAACGCCGTTGGAAACATTTTTACCTGGCCTGATGATAACCCTTCAATCCCTGGTCCACCTAACCCAGTGGCGGTTCTTGACTTTTTAAAGCCATTTTAAGGTCCAGAACTGTGTCCAAAAACCTCCGTTATGTTTTTATGACAAAATGTATGTTTAGATTTATATTTCCAGGGTCCAATGGGGAGGGTGGAGGCTTTGGCTATTTGTACACACACCGATTTTGGACGGTCGGTAATAAGTCGGTCGATATTTCTTCGGTTCATGGTGCTTGCACACATACCGGATTTTTATCGGCGAAACGACCAGTCTTTGTTTTTGTGTAAAGGACCAGACGGGATTATTGAATACTTAAATCCTAAAAGAGTTGTTGCCACGTGGTTATTGTCTGGACATATTAAAGCGCCGTAGGATTAAACGTATATTCTGGATTCATCCAATTATTTAAAGCAAAGAAAAAACGGGAACATTCCACACACTTAGTAATATTTTCAACTATTTCAGAATGTCAATAGCATCCTTATCTATAAAGTCACCCATTTAAAAAGTTATAAACACGCACTACCAAAAATAATTAAAAATATCAGAATAGCAGTTGCCTTAAATGGAGAATGGTGTAGCGAGAACTGCCGATACGATCGGTAAACAATCGGTGCGTGTGCAAGCTTGTATTTAGTTACGTGTGCCACTGCGTCGCCGGCACATCCCCGGCACCGACCGGTAAAAAACCGGTCGTCCAAAATCGGTGTGTGTGCAACGAGCCTTTGGTCCTATATCCTATAGCTCCCCCCACATGGAACCGCCACTGCATCTACCATCTAATTTTTTCACTTGTTCATCGTGACTTATTGATAAATGGCATATGGGTTAAAATCAACCTCACTCAGGTACACTCAGTTAGTTGGTTATAATACAGGGTGAGGCAGTGAAACGGCACGGTTTTGAAAAATCACAAACAATTCATTTAGAAAAAAGGATAGTTGTTTAACATAAATATTAAAAGTACACGAGTGGAAATTAATGTTTCACCTTAAAAACAATAATTATTTAACACAGTGTCAGTAAAATAGCGTGCTTGGTTTTGAAAACATGATTGAATTTTGGGATGAAAACCACCCTTAAAGTTTTTTTGCGTTTGCAAAATGTCTGCAATCGTTTTGTCGCGCTTTGTCGTGCTAGCAGTGGCTTCAAAGTTATTCACCCAAAGGAGGATAGCTTTCCTTGATGGCATGGGAGCCCGTGGCAATAGCCTGAACTCACAACGGAAAGTGCGCTGAGCACAAATCACACTATCCACGTTTTTGTAATACAGCAAACGCACATTGTGCAAGCGCCCAATGCTCCATGGCCACTGAAATTTCCACTTGTCTAGACGCCTTAGGTCATTGCCCCCGTACTCTAATAGCCCCTCGTCATTCCTCGTTATTCATTGTCAGCTGGTGACGAAATCGTGCTGTTTCACTGCCTCACCCTGTAATTAACCATCTACTTTCTTACCAACCACCAAAATTGTTCCATCAGTAATTTTTGATAGTTTATAACTGGACTGATGTTGTCTTTGATCATTGGCTTTTAAAAATTGGTCCTGGTTAATCACCAGCTATTCTAAGTCTACACACATGTCATGACATAGCTGTCATTTAATTCATTCAGCCCTTTTCCTTTACTCATCTCTAAAGTATACATAAAAATATGAATCTTGGAGTGTCATCCATGTATAAATCCACTCTAATCAACCCTTTCCCAGGTGCCGGTGTGAAAGTAGCCGTATTTGACACTGGGTTGTCGAAGACCCATCCCCACTTCAAGCGCATTGCCGAGAGAACAGACTGGACCAATGAGAAATCTCTGGAGGACGGACTCGGTCACGGAACGTTTGTGGCAGGAGTGATCGCTTCAACCAAGGAATGTCTTGGATTTGCTCCCGACTCAGAGCTCCATGTTTTCCGTGTCTTCACCAATAATCAGGTTCGCTTTTCTTCATCACTAACAAATTATTAAGCAATAGTAGAGTAGTGTCTCAATTATCTGACCTAAGATTGGCCGAAGCAAGGTTGGATAAGCTGTAAGGGTGAGTAACACAGAATCTGATAAAAATGCACATAAAACTAAAAAGTATCTCCGTTGTCAAACCTATTCAAGGCTTTATGTTCGTCTGTTAATGAAACCAACATATTTTTCACTTTGAAGCTATCATTACAGATAACATAGAATAGCCTACCTCTGCCATAGCAAACCCTCTCAGACTAACCGAATTTCCAATTGCCTTGTTGGGGTTTCACTAAAATATTTCCTTAACATTTTCAGATTTATTCCCTTTTAAAATTACATCAAATTTTTCAAAATCCTTAAAAAAAAACATATTCATGAATGAAACCATTCCCCAGGTGTCGTACACATCTTGGTTCCTGGATGCCTTCAACTACGCGATCCTAAAGCGTATTGGAGTTCTGAATCTGAGCATTGGTGGGCCGGACTTCATGGATCATCCGTTTGTAGACAAAGTGTGGGAGCTGACTGCTAACAGGGTGATAATGGTGTCTGCAATAGGCAATGATGGACCTCTTTACGGGTGAGTGAACCTTTTTGATATCGGTTTTCACTAAGTTAACATTAATTTTTAGCAAATTACCAGCTTTTAATACAATTCAGGTAATTGAATTTATATAAATTTCAGCTAATACTGACTGTAAATTGATATTATCTTTTGATTCCAGTATTGTTTGCCATTAAATAGAAAAACTCGACCACATTTGGATACCGCAATCACAAAATTTTGAAGCAAAATTTTTCCATTGGTTTTTTTTATTGGCACATTTTCAAAGCTATACGGTAAATGAAATGAAAATATTTCAACTTAATTTGTTTTGTCTCCTCTAATTGTTTTTTTTTTGTTTCAGAACTTTAAACAATCCTGCTGATCAAATGGATGTTATTGGAGTGGGAGGAATAAACTTTGAAGATCAAATTGCAAAATTCTCTTCAAGAGGGATGACAACTTGGGAATTGCCTCAAGGGTAAGTTTTAACCAATGTATATTACAGCTGGAAACCTGGTACAAAAGTAGCTGTTTTTCTTGGAATAAAATAAAAACTTTGTGGTGTGAATAATTGTTTAACAGTTAAACAAATGTGTTAAACAAGTGTTTAAACTGTTATCATTGAAATTAGGACTGAAATCAGTTTAAACTTGTTTGTGAATCCATGATTGTGTAGAAATAACCATTGTTTACTTGTTTTGCAGTTATGGTCGAGTGAAGCCAGATATTGTGACTTACGGGTCGGGAGTGAGAGGGTCAAGTATCAAAGCTGGGTGTAAGACTTTATCTGGAACTAGTGTGGCTAGTCCTGTCGTAGCAGGTGCTGTCACATTACTGGCCAGGTAGGCATAATGTAATGTAGCTGTAACTTAGATATTCAAGTTTTCCTCTTTAGTTTGGTGAATCCATAAATGTTATATAAACATAAAATAAAATATATATCTGAAGGTTTGTCCTTGGTGCATTATCAAACCATCCGGCCAATACTTTGTGAAACATAGTTCTTCAACATATTGTGTTACATTGTTTAAAAATACAGGAACGACACTGCAAACAAACAACATGTGTTTTATGATGCGGGAAAACTTTTTTTTAGTTGATAACTTAAAAAACTACAAGAGTTGTTTGGGTTTGAAAGTTGAAATGTTGAGATCTTTATTAATTCTCATTATTCTCAATGAGGCCATTGATTATAAAATTAACAGGTGCTCTAGTGTTGTGTTGTTGCAGCGGGGTGTTACACAGAGGCAATGTAATCAACCCAGCCAGTATGAAGCAGGCGCTGATGGCCTCCGCGAGGCGTCTGCCAGGTGTCAACATGTTTGAGCAAGGTCATGGCAAGCTGGACTTGCTCAAGGCGTATCAGGTGCTCAACAGCTACAAGCCACAGGCTAGTTTTAGTCCCAGGTATGTGTAGAGGGAAAGGGAAAACATTGTAGAATATGAATATAAATCAAATAGGTAGTTCTTTATTGATATAATTACTGAATAGGGCTTATTGTGGATATTCTTCATCATGATTAGTAAAGAACACATTTTTCAAAATGCTTTAGTATCTTATACTTTATACTTTTATACTTTATACTTTCTTATGAAATGGCGACCATACTATGTAGGTATTTTAAGCCAAGTATGAATGGAGATGAGTGTAGGATGAGTGGTGCGATCTTGTAGTCTTGTTAGTGACTAAGGCCGACATTCCTTAGACACAGCTGTTAATTAATAGCCCAAACAGCTAATGGCAACTAAGAGACCTACAGTTTATAGTGGAATCCGAACCACATTTTTCCTTGGTATATACGAATTGGTCTAATTATCAGGATAGTACTGCGGATAGTAGTAGTACTCACTAGTGCGGACGTTAATCCACACCAGGGAGTATCCCATCCACAATCCTATAAATATCCACAATCCGTGACCTCCAAGTAGCTGGATTACAGGACGACGCCACCCGTCCCAGAATCTAATCCTGTCCTCAGATGATAGAAGTATCTAAAGCATACCAAAATTATTAGTACCGGTACAGGAAGCCTAGCCGAAGCTGGATGATCTCAATGAAAAAACCACACCTTGTACAGTACACTCGTGATGTTTAGTCAAGTTGTCTTTGTGTTTTTTTTTTATATAATTTTAAATGTCTTTGTTCATAAAAGTCTATAGCTGTACCGTCATATGACCATATATAAATCTCTATTGTTGCATTAATTCATCGCGAATCACCAAAAGAACATGCATTCATTTTCTCTTTTATAAAATAAACCTCTTTTTATCAAAACCCTCAATTTTCCTCTACTATATTTAACCACACCGCACCCGACTATCCACAAGTGGATCTGCCATGTTGCAGATTAACCATAATCACAAAAAAAAAATGAAAATAAAAAATTATTTTCTGCAATCTATTTACAGTTATATATACAGCTACAACCTTATTTTTTATCTGTATTTGACAGCTACATAGACCTGGGTGAGTGCCAGTACATGTGGCCCTACTGCACGCAGCCGTTGTATCACACTGCTATGCCGACCATCGTCAACGTCACTATCCTCAACGGGCTTGGAGTGTCAGGCCGTGTGGTCGGCAAACCACAGTGGTACCCCTACACTCCTCAGTACGGCCACTTTCTTGAGGTAAAAACATCCGATGGAACACCTCGTTTTAGATCTTAATCCAATTAAATCATTCTTAATTCACAGATATACAGTGAATGTACATGTATATGGTTAAACAATTAATTTTGTATCTTGTGTTAAACAATCATCAGAACCTAATTTATGCAATTGCTACGATTGTGTTACTAATCTTATTGATGTACTAGTTTTCAATTCAAGTACATTCCACTTTTCATCGTAAATGTTTGTATGTGTTGGTGTTTGCAGGTATCTCTGACGTACTCGGAGGTTTTGTGGCCGTGGTCGGGTTGGCTCGGAGTCAGTTTGGGCGTTGGTAAAGAAGCGGCCGGTTGGACAGGTGAGATGTGTTAATAGAGATTAAGCTAGGTTTCAGCGGATATCAAACGATGATAATTGTGAAAGTGATAATATAGTAAAACACCAAACAAGTTAATGCAGCTTTTTTAGTGTCCAATCAATAAATACCAAAAATACTAGGCCTATATAAAAATATGTTTAGTGGTAATTTGTAGGACAACTTTAATGTGCAATTCATTCATAAAGTAACTTTGCTGCACTCAAGCCACTCATCTTCATTCATACTTGGCTTAAAATACCTACATTCGTATGGTCACCATTTCAAAGTAAAGGAAACTATTTTGCATTCGTCTGCGATTCAGAAAAGCGGTAAATGCTTCTCAGAGTGCTCAAAATGCACAAGTTAAACAATGAACTGTTGTCTATGAGGGCATTTACTTTGTACGAGAACTTGATTTGTTAGTCTTTCAGTCATGTTTAACACGTTCAGTACAAGGGGCGGGAATTCTCGCCCTGCGGTACCGGCACCACTGGTGAGGGGCGGGAAATATGTCCTTCTCCAATGCCAACAACCTTGCTTCAATGTGAGCTCAGCCATTGCTCGGGGGAACGTTATAATTGTTGACAGCCTGGATCTTAGAATGCGAGGTTTATTCTGGTGTAGGTTTGTACTAAAGTTTCCCGTAAAATCCCGTCTGGCAATGCTTTTGTCCCGGTTCCGGGGATTTTCTCAATTGAAGCCACATTACAAAGACACTGGCTATGGATCCAGGCAGTGCTGCTTGGGTGTTTCAGTGAACTACGTCCACTCTCGGGGTAACGCAGCACAATCACCACTGCTCTTTTTTTATTCGTCAGACTGAAATATTTGAATGCCAATTGTATTCACCGATTCCGTTTCGCGCTGGGGCTTCGTCGGGCCTCGCCGCCATTGGCGAGCTCCTGTTTGAAGGTATGCCGCACTGAACGTGTTAAGAACTTAATAATACCAACAATTATGCATGTTAACAGTTGATCTAATGGTTGTTGTTCAGGGACGGCGCAAGGCCACATACAGCTGACTGTGGAGTCTCCACCAGAAGAAGGAGAAACTCAGCCGAGAACTTCTACCATCAAACTGGCTGTGAGAGCAAACATCATCCCGACCCCTCCCAGGCAGTGAGTAGAACCTCGCATAGTATTCGTAAATTAAATCAAACTTATATTTGAAAAGATTTTTTTATCTTATGAGTACTAAAATACATTTCTGGATAAAAGAATCTACTCTTCCCATAAACCTCCACAAGAGCAATGCACTATTTATTTATTTACTCGTAAGTAGGCCTCTCCCAAGCTTTGCCACAGACCGGCACCAGATCTAACTAGTTATTTCTATATCTTTATAGAATAAGGAGGATAGCAGCTAGCTTACCTTGAAGAAGTACAGGTAGGCTATAGAAAACACTGGGACGGAATATTGCTGTGATATATTGTTCAGTGTCTCTTCTGCATGTTCTATGGCCTGTACTTCTTCAAGGTAAACTAGCTGCTACCCTCTTCATTCTACAAATCAAAATCCTCCTAGAGCCTTTCCTTGAACTAAACTAATTATTTCTATAAGATCATGGTGTAGAGGTGGATGGACGTGTTGCTCTTATTGTTGCTTCTGTAGTAATAGTAGTTGAATTTGTTGTAAACTGTATGAACTGATCATGTTTACAGAATTACATCCAGGATAATCAATAGCAATAGGCTAAATTTTCCGTAAAAAATTACTGAAGTGAAACCTGCAGTTGCAAGTTAAAAAAAAGTAATAGCCTACTCAAATGCTCTTAGGTTGTTTGGCACTATCTTTTAACTAGGCCTAATACTCTTGTAATTTTAGATTACAACTATGAACATTTCAAAATAATTTATCAAAGCTTATTTTTAACAGAGTGAATGCTACCGAATCAAAGTTCTGTTCTTAACCTAAATCAAATCAAATCAAATCAAATCAATTTATTGACACAAATAACGTTACATTGGGTGCTTATAGCAGTAACTGGTGTCTTGTCAATTACATAAATCTTAATAATAAAATACAATGGAAAAAACATTTTACATAAAACATAGAAGATTACAATAACAATAAAAATGTACAATGACTAACCCAAGGAGGTGTCTGCTAAAAAGTCTGAGATGGAATAATAAACCTTATCCAGTAGAATTTCTTTAATTTTAACTTTAAAAACATTTACTGCCAATTGTTTAAATTTATTCGGCAAATGGTTGTACAGCTTCAGGCCTGTATAAAAAGGACATTTTTCAAATTTTGTTGTCCGATGGATTGGGTAACTGTAAAGGTTCTTGTTCCTAGTGTTGTATTTATTTTTTATTAAGAACTTTTCAAAATCTTTTTTATTTTCATGGACATAATTAAGGCTTTCATAAATGAACAGGCTTGGGAAAGTTAATATGGACTGATTTTTGAAATGTTTTTTACAGGAAGCCCTAAATTTAGCGTTTGCCATATTTCTAATGAATCTTTTTTGCATTGAAAATATCTTTTTACTATTTTTTGAATTTCCCCATAAGGTAATGCCATACCTCAAAATCGATTCTACATGGGAAAAATAAACTATTCTGATAACATTTTTTGATGCACACTGAGAAAGAACTGAAAAAGCAAAAAAGAATGATCTTAATTTTTTTAACAAATAATCAATATGTTCCTTCCAATTTAGTTTTTGGTCAATGATCACTCCGAGAAATTTTTGTTGTGAAATATCTGTCATGTTTGACTTTTGAAAAAATAAGACGTTTGTTTTATCACTGTTTAGTGCCAGGCCATTAGCTGTAAACCATTCACGGAGATCTTCCAAAGTTTTGTTAACTGAAATTTGCACTTCCGACATTGAGTTGCCTTTCACAAAAGCAGTGGTATCATCTGCAAAAAGTATTAATTCTGAAAGAATTTTTTGGGGCAAGTCATTGATATAGATGATGAATAATAAAGGCCCCAGAATTGAGCCTTGAGGAATTCCACATTCTATATTTATCCAGTCTGAATAGTACTTTATTCCCTTTTTTATGATGAGAGTTCTTTGTTTACGGTTTGCCAAATATGATCTAAACCATTTAAGAATGTTACCTATTTGGTTGAAGTTGACAAATAAGCAGTTTTGAAACGTATTAATGATTTTATTCCAGAAAAAGAATCTTATGGGATCAATACCACAACCTGCGTTATCCTCCAGGATACTTCCCCAGGGATAATCTGAGAATGAAAAACGATCCCTTGGATTGGAATGGGGATCACATTCATACAAATTTTAAGGTGAGTCAGCAGGATCATGGTTTCATTTTCACTCTAAATGGATAGCAAAAGTTAACATTATTTTTTCTTTGTAAAACAGTTTAAATACTTGCATTAAGTAATCCTTTGTTGCCTGGTTCTGGTTGGCAACTAGTTTTGGCTATTCTTAATATATAGAACCATCATCAGGCCTACAATGAGTCAACTGTATTGCTTCATTTGAAGGGCGCAAGGAGATTTTGACACATGAACGAACAAGATACATACATGAAAAACAAAAGGACAATTATGTAGAGCAACACGACTAGGTTGACGCAAAAGTCTAGACTAGAAAATAATTTTTAAGACTTGTTAGCCTCCGGATTACGTTTGAATATTTATAATGGTTTAAATACCTGCATTCAGTAATCCGTTATGCTGCTTGTGGCAACTATAGTTTCGGTTCACAGGGAACCATCTTCAGGCCGTACAAGGCGTCGTTATTCACTTCCATATATGAAGGTCGTCATAAGTACATAGAACACGAACACACGAAAACACACATTGACACGAACATTTAACATTAAAAATACCGAGTACTCGGGAACACGAGACAGGTGACGCGACCGGGTGGAAGTTGTAGCTCGAACTGGTGGTCAGTGGTCTAACGGTATGACGTCAGCCATTGTCTCCTTATCACTGCCGGCTCGCATTCATTCCTTCTCTCCTCCTCCCCCATCCAGTATTTAACACGTAATTTATAAGTAATTTATAACACCGCAATCAAAATACTGGATGGGGGAGGAGGAGAGAAGGAATGAATGCGAGCCGGCAGTGATAAGGAGACAATGGCTGACGTCATACCGTTAGACCACTGACCACCAGTTCGAGCTACAACTTCCACCCGGTTGCGTCACCTGTCTCGTGTTCCCGAGTACTCGGTATTTTTAATGTTAAATGTTCGTGTCAATGTGTGTTTTCGTGTGTTCGTGTTCTATGTACTTATGACGACCTTCATATATGGAAGTGAATAACGACGCCTTGTACGGCCTGAAGATGGTTCCCTGTGAACCGAAACTATAGTTGCCACAAGCAGCATAACGGATTACTGAATGCAGGTATTTAAACCATTATAAATAGAAAAAAATGCTTTTTTGTAATTTTGGCCCCACTTATTTTAAATTATATAACTTTGATGAGGCTGGATAAGGTTTATATAGTTTCATATCATCTAAATACTTGACGGCTTGAGATAGTTACAATAAAATTAGAGGAGTTGAGGTACCAAAATCTCATTGGTATTTTGCTAGATTATTATGATTCTAAATTTTAAACACTTTTTGACTTGTGGAGATAAACGTGTTCAATAGTCTTTGACCATGATGGTTTTGATCCCTCTCAGGACATGTACCAACACGTTCGCAACAGTGGCTACTACATCGAGGTCCTTGGGACCACGCTGACGTGTTTCGACGCGTCCCAATATGGTGCTCTTCTGATTGTTGACCCGGAAGAGGAATTCTTCCCTGAGGAAGTAGGGAAGTTGAAGCGAGATGTAGATGCAGGATTGTCACTGATAGTGTTCGCCGACTGGTACAACATCACCGTCATGAAGAAGGTTAAGTTCTTCGATGAAAACACAAGGTGGGTTTAAAAATTGAAGTTAGTGATGTGTTGTGCATTTTTTATGTGATTTTGGGGACTCTGTTGCTTTTCTTGACTTTTGGATGTTGAATTAGACAACCCAATATGTACCAGCTGTAGTGCATTTTTGATCAAATAAAACATAATGGGTTGTCCCACTCATAAATAGTGCTACTTTCATGGTTCTATTTTATCTCTGAGTTGTTTATGTTTAGTTGCATCAGCTTACTCCATCGGCAGTTCAATACAGTGACATCCATTTTTATTATAAAACTGGCTTCTGCTTTAACATTAGAACAAATTACGAAATGACTGCTTTTATTTATAATCCAAGCTATAAATAAAAGCCTGAAAATAGTTTTTCTCTTGAACTTTTTTGAATTAGGATAAAAATGTTAGAAAAATAAAAAGAAAGACTAAACTAACATTCATCTTTCTTTATAATTCCATCCACAAATGTTCCTAAAGAAAATAGTTCTGACTGGTTTTAGAGGGTCTATTGTTTGTAGGCTATACATAAAAATGAAATGACTCAACATTTATCATATCATACCATAAAAAGTCATTAACCCTATTTATGAAACGATAATAGACAATGGTGGATGCCCGACACTGGAGGTGCTAACGTCCCTGCACTCAACGACTTGCTGGGCTCATGGGGCGTTGCGCTCAGTGACCGAGTGTTCGAAGGCGACTACACACTGGGCGAACACTCTGGATACTTCGCCTCCGGGACAAGCATCGCTCAGTTCCCGGCTAGTGGGACGCTAGTGGCCGTGCCTCTCAATGACCAGGGTGAGTTAACAAGGCTAAATTAACAAAAGGATTTGCAAAAAAAAAACTTCAATGCGGATTTCAATTGACTTTTTGAAAGAAATGTATCCAATAGACTGGCCATCAAAACCCCAACTTAAATACAGGCTGAGTGACCTCCTCAATCCTTCAGAAGTCAAGGGGCAGTCAATATCAATTCTAGTTAAAAACCAATCCTACTACCAACATGATTGACTGTTGTAGGTGCTGAGATGGTATCTAAGGAAGAGACAGCTAACTCAGAGAAGGAGACAGTTCCAATACTTGGGTTCCTGCAGAGTCATGCTCAGGAGAAGAGTGGCAGGATAGTTGTCTATGGGGACTCCAACTGTCTGGATAACAGCCATCTCACAAAAGGTCAGCATAGTAATAATTACATGTTTTTACATTAAAGGCATATTCTAATGTCTGAATATGCCCTGTAGTAACTGGTATTTATTCTTACTCTGATGGTAATTTTTACACGAAAAAATGATTCTATGCTTCATATAATTTGAAAAAAAGTTCAAGTATCAATAATGAATGTTGATGAGTAATTAGAAACACAACTCTAATTCAGGAAACAATATAAAAACCCAAATTAAAAAATTGAAATGTATGGGTCCACCTTTTCCAACACACCACACCATGTACCTTGCAATGTGTTTTCCAAACCGAGTAAAACAACCTAAAGCAATAGCTTTCTGTACGTCAGCACAAGCTATTGTTTTACTAACCTTACAGCCTAGTCGCATAACATTTCCAAATCCTTCATTACGATTCGTCATTTCGACCCATCCTAACCCAAATAAGCAGGTATTTTTTTAAATGTTTTTTTTGTAACACCTCTCTTTATTCGTATGCTTTTGACAACTTCTTGTCTTATTTCCCCATCCAGAAGGTGTTCTTCCATCCAGATCTCCATTCGCATAAAATAATTGTTAATTCATGATTTTCAGACTGTTTCTGGATGTTGGACGCAATTCTGGAGTATACGTCCACGGGTCACTTGCCCTCGGTTTTCACAAGGAACAAAGTAGAAACTCCTAGAATTATCACTGATCTTCCGCAGCGGATGAAGGGGAACAACCTCTACAGGTATGGTTGTCATATAGCCCTGTGTTACAGTGCTTGCCTAACTGACGATTCTAATGTAGGAACAATCTCTACAGTGGCCAGTCGATCTGGAATTCGGTAAAGCTGTGGATTGTATGTAAATTTTGTATGGGACTGGGAAATTATAGATTTTGAATAATGACTTATAAAATCTGCATTTAACTGCTGTATGTTTTTCACATTGTTGTGTTAGGTAGGATAATCACTATTGCAAAGAATTATCTCCTATGTTGCCGTGATTGTGATAGTTGATCATGCATGTGATTGTGAGAATTGATCATGGATTTTGCTGGGATTGTGAAAAATCATCACAGATGTTGATGATGCCACTGGCGATGACCTCGAATCTTGCTGTTTCTGAGACCAGGTCCTTTTCAGAAGAGGGCCGCCACTTTAGTTTATTTTGGGTTAGGTTAGTTTATAGCTTACTCGAACATTGTTTTTATGCTTTATTCTCAAAACATTGGGCCTCATGAAAACATTATGAAAAATTAAAACTTAAATTAAAGTGTTAATTTAGGTTTTTGATTGTATATTTTCAGTGTAACCTTCTGATATTAATGTACTGTTGTAGGTACTCCAAGGTACTGGAGAATCACCTAGGTAACCCACAAGTCAGACCATTGCCAGCTTGTCCACATATAGTGTGGGCCCCTCCCATCCCCCTCAACAAATCTGCACCCACGTAAGTCATTCACCACAGCTGTTGCTAACCAAAAATACAATCTTTGTATGCAAAATTGTCTATTAAAACTTCTATGTTTCGATTAGGTTATTTTTCTTGTGTAACAATGTAACAATACAGTTAAAAACACTTTATTCGAGCTAATATGATATGCTACTTATAGAACCAAAGGGTATAGAATTACCAAAAATAATAATAAATTAATAAACTTAATCTATAAGCTAGGAGAAATTGACATGAAGCCTTAATAACTTATGTACTCATCGACTATTGGGAATCTAAATGAATCAGTTTAGGCATTACAAAGCATCAATGTTTATTGATTACATAAAACTTTTTTATTTAGCTTATTAACTCGCTTACGAGTCACCGAGCAAGCTTTTACGGTGTTGGCTTGAATTTAACCTCTTCACTGAATTTAATTAAGCATATATTTGTAGTGTATGTCAAATTCTGATTTAGTATCTTTGGTGTAAAGTAGAAGCTACACTTTGTAACCGGCCATCTTTCAAGTGAGCTTCTTTTTTATCCGGGTTACCTGGTAAAAATGCTCTTTTATCAGGTTATTTTTAACAATCATCACTTAATTAACCAGTCATTTTGTTGCAATTGATTAGGCAATTAATTATGGACAGCTTTTGTATATTTTTCAAATCAAGGTGACAGCATGGACCTTCCAAAAAACAATTAATTTTATGTAAAACTAAAATTCAACGAGTTGACAATAAATTCAATGACAACAAAGAATTGATCTAAATATGTTTAAACAGGAACCTGTACAAGTCGCAGAAGCTGCTGTCGTTGTCTCTAGACGCAGAATTGCCGCTGTGGGACCTGGGCGGGGCGGGTGGAGGGGGGTGGCGCAGAGAGGACATAGATATGCCAGAGTACCTCAGTGAGGACGAGCTCTACACAGTCCCTACGTTGCTACTGGTAGCGCTCCTAGTAGCAGTGTTGTGCATCGTGTATCGCTTCTTGCGATGTAGGACTCGGCCGAGGCGCAAGAAGCCGACGAGGCTGCGGAGACTCATGACCTCAATACGAGTGCCTGCCGTGTAACTGTGATGTGTTGATTTTAGGTCACGATCATATTAGTGATTGTGCAGTAGTCATAAGGTTGCATCGGTACTGAGAAAAGTCAATCTAGGACCCAGCTGTCCTCGATCATTGGGCTTTTAATATGTGATCCTGGCTAGAGAACCAAAGTTAATTAAAAAGCTGAAACTTAAAGGAACCAACAGAAAGGTACCATGCAGTGCAGCCTGTGGATACCTAATAGAACCACTCACATTTTCCTGGAGTAGAAGAGGTTCAAATTTTAGTGTGAAGAAGTGATGGAACAAGTTTTCACAAGGATTCAGGATCTGTACCTTAACATGGGTGAGAAAATATCTACATCCTTTGTATTCCTTTCACTATTGATGAACTAGTTATCCCTTTCCCATGTTAAACTAGCCAGTTTTTTAAATATGAATGAACAGTAGTTAATTGAGCCACAGAGTAGGCTGAATTAAATTACTGATTTCTGTCGAATGCACAAACTTTTAACAAAGTGAAACTAAAAGAAAAGCTTATTGTAATTTATAGCATATGTTATGTCACATCAAATACTACAGTAAATTTAAGTTATTATGTTGGGTAGAGGATTCATTACAGGGTAGAGGATTTAACCTCTGAGGACGTCTAAAAACGTCCCAAGGAGAACAAATTCAGCTGCTGAGACGCAAAGTCACCTCATGTTAATGTGGTTATTATGTATAGGGATAGTCTAATATTGTTCAAGTTGTTATGTTTTCATTAAAGGATACCAAATTTGTGAGAACATTTTGTGAGTATAAGCACAAAAACATGACTCACTATTTCTGTTTGCTTTTATTGTCCAACATGGAAAAGAATGGAAGGACTGTGATGGCATTCTTGCAAAGATATTCTCCAGGCTCAGAGAAGAAGACAAAAACAGTCGGTGATTCTGAAATCCATAGTAAAAAATGTAGAAAGCTTGAAGCTTTGACAAAGGATCAGAAGTGTGTCTTGTGTAATTTAAACGATAAAAAACAAATAATAGGATATTTCTAAGAACCAATTCGACAATGATAGTTAGGTTTGACAAATCTACCCATATAAAAACCTAATTTTCAAATATATTGATATCTAATGTGATAGTGAATTAATCACATGGATCCTACTTTTTTATTTGTTTCATAAGTGTATCAAGATTTATTTAAGTTTTAGAATGGTTTTAGGTAATGGAAATTCAATGTAACTGAATTCTTTAAGGTTGCCTTTTAGCGAATTTTCTTAGGAAAATGGCTGGTACATTGTTTTTCATTAAAGACTTAGTAGATCTAGGTCTAAGACTTAAAAGTAGCTTATCTGGGTTCCTATTCTGTTTCTTTGTTCCCAGAAGCCAAAACTTGACTTGTTCAAATTGTTAAATATGTGTATGTATATATATAATATTATAAGCTGTTTATCTACCATAAATTATGTTCTTAAGCTCGATAAACTTCGTAACAATTCTCTGAATATAATGAAATTTAGATCAAATGTCTAGGTTTACATCTATTTAATAAGTTTGCTAATTAGCTCAACCATATCTCGCAACAGGAGTTTTTACTCTGAAAATGTGTGTTTCACCTTTACACACAGACTTTTTGAACACTTCTAAATTCAAAGGACAAACAATCAACGCATATTGGTCAACGAGACACACAATTATAATAAAATGGAAATTTATTGCTCCTAGTAGCAAACCTGAATTTATAGATCCAATGTTTATTTTACACTGGGCTTTGTACACAAGTGTAAATTCCCTTTCATTCACATGTCAAATGAAAAATTCTTAAACAACATAACCTAGTGTATTCACATGGTATGGTGCTCTTAATTAGTGCTAGCCTCTAGGCATTGGTATATTTGACAATACTTATAGATATTCACCATTGAAAATGATATACCATCATTTTGTAAACTGCATGATTTTCCACTGTTGTCTATTTATGTATAAAATTCTATTTAATTATGTCTGTCTGTCTTCCATACATTTGTGATTTCGCCACAAATGATTCCTTGAACAATTACCTTTGAAATTATTATCCCAACTTAATATATCATGTACATAGTGTAAGTATGTATATAAGTATTTTGTCTATCGATGAGTGTTTTTATGAGGTGATTTAGTCTTTAATTACTTTTTTCCATGTTTGTTCATTGTTACAATTTCATGTAGTATAATATTTATTTGGAAACTACTGGAACTGGTAATAAAATAATTAATTAAATTTATCCCTTAGACTGTACATAAATTGTTATTCAAGATCTGTAAATCGCATATTTAAAATAAGTTACAGCAAAGTATACAACCAGGTATTCTATAAAATGGCAACAATGAATCAAGCAAAGCATGAAATAAAGCATGGTCATCAGAATGCTCGTTGGCACTGCAGGCAAAGACTTTTGTTTCCATGTTAGGCATTAACTAACTGAATCTAATATGAAATATAAACCTAACGTAGCCTAATAAAAACAATTTCATTATTCTAGGCATTATCATAGATAAAACATACTCCCTTTGTAAATTTCTTATCCTTATGGATCAGCTGAAGCCAATTTTATTGCAAGTTCTGTCCGGTGCACTGCTGAGGTCGTGTTTTATTTACAACTAATATTCACCTCGGATTTGCGTCATTGTGTTTCTTTTGACAAACCCTTCAAAATGAGAGGTCACTCAATAGGGGTTGCTATTTGAAAAAAATAAGTCACCCCTCCCCCCTACCCTGATAGGGGGGTTAAAAATATTTGTGATGTAAACAATTGCGGAACCTTTGTTAACAGTTATTGCCACAAACAGAATATTTCTATATATTTCGGTTTTAAAAATACAGATTTGTTTCAATACTTAATTTACACACTGTATAACCAAGCAAACAATGAAGTTAACTTTAAAATAATTGAAACAAAATTTTGTTGACACCTAGCAATCAGTATCACCGGACATAATCTAGACACAATAAACAAGCTTCAAAATTTACAATGGGATGAGAGTGGTTGGTTAGTCTATAACATTATCTGATCTAAAATAAACTAACCATAAATAAAATATTTAAATATGTAAAGAAAATAGGTTTTTTACGAATATCTGTATTTTATATTTTTTCTGACACACATGTGGGTATTTTATAGAATGCCTAGGCATTATGCACAATGCCTAGTTAATTGTGATGGGGACACCACCTAGGTGCGTATTTTAACCCAAATATGAGTGAAGGATGAGTGTAGAATGGAGTGAGATAATCTTTTGTAGCTTTGTTAACCCTACAAGTCAGCTGGTTCAGTAGCCAAAATCATTTATTTAAAGCCCAATGTGTCATTGTTCCTCCATTTTAACTTTGCCTAAGAGGCAATGGGTAGAATGCCAAATCATTGTATATAGAAAGCCTGCTTTATATACTTTGCTGGTAACTTTTCAGTAATTTATTGTGTGGCAAAGCATTATAATGCTTGTTCTGTATATACTTTTTGATTTCCTATAAGCTTTTATTTCTGTTATACTTTTATATTTCATACAAGTGTAGGCCTATAGTTTATCTTTTTATAAAGTTTTTAATGTCAAATGTAACCTTAACCCTTAGTTTATTTAGTGTTAATATATATATTTTAAGAATGAGAAACTTAAAAATATTTTTTATAAGGATAGGCCACCTTTTTTTTGTAATACTCCTACTTTTTGTATTGTCTTTCTGTTTTGTACTTTGGCCAGTTGTACATTTACTTAGATACCGGTACTAATCTGTTATTTACTGAAATATGTTTGTCTTGGTATATTTTTATAATTTTAAGACATATTTTATTTTTTAAGTTTTTTACAGTTATTGTAGGCTAAAGTATTTATGCCTTAATTTCTTATACATCGTCTATATTAAGTTGAACAACTATTGCAACTCGTGTTACACTGTAACGAGAGTGATATACCAAAGAGTTAATTGTTCATTTACTACACCATCAAAGTATCTAAAAACACTATTAACTTTTTAGCGGTATAATGTTATTTGTTTTCAATTTAAAATTTGTTGTAGATTTTTAATGTGTAAATATAAATTTTCTTACAATTGTTCATTATGTAAATCTCATGATTATTAATTATGGTTTAATTTTACCTTTTACCTCCTTTAGTGGACGACGTAGACAAATTTATAACTAAATTGAATTGGACAAATTTATGAAATAACTCTTTAAAGTGGTCTAGTAAAAAATAAGTATATTTTTCTACGAGATAAATATAATTTACAGCTCTTGTGTGAAGTAACATTTCTAAATAAACTTAAGTACCGGAGAATAACTTAAACCTAACAATCGCAGCAGTCAGTGACCGTTGGTCTCAACTCCGTTAGTCTTTGAAGTTCCATTGCATTTAGTTTCCTCCGACCTATAACCATGCGGATTCATTGTTTGCCATCTCCAAAAGTCTTCACCTAAAGTTAACAGAAAACTATTATTAACTAGCTTTGAAATGAAAAATGGATAAAAATATTACTGCTTAAGCTGTATCCATTTTCTTAACATTGTGATGTATTACCTAATACATAGCATGATAACATATACATTGACAATATATGGTATAGTTTACCTTGTCAAGTAATCCAAATTTGTAAAGATCAGTTGATTTACCTACATATGTTTTGCTGTTAATACGGCATCGGCATCGTCAGGGTGACAAAACACAGGCATAAGTCACACAAAGAAAATAAAAAAGCAAATACATTACAAAAATATCATTATTATGTTTGTGTCACGTGATAGGCTTATAAACAGTATTATGTTCGTATTGTATTCATTTATTTATTTGTGTTGGTGTGACAGTCTGTGTTTTTATCACCCTGACGATACCGTATTAATTGCGTAACCTGTATATCAATCACCTGATCTCTATAAATTTGGATTACTTGACGAGATAAAATATACCATATTGTCAATATATAGTAATCCAGGCACTCTCAAGATAGAATTTAATACAACTGTTACTTAATAATGGTTGCTGAGCTCCTGCGCCTCTTCTGCTCGCAGGGCACAGGTTCTAGTTTAGTCAGAAGGATGCTAAACTCCAGATTTTATTAGAATCATAGAGATAAACTAGTTATAGCCTTAAATACTTTTATATCTACCAACATTTGCAAAAAATTGAAAAGAGAATTGCTTTTGTAAATTATGTAAGCTCTAGATGATTAACATTAGAGGTTATAGTCAGTCATATAGTATTTCCCGTAAAATCCCGTCTGACAATGCTTTTGTCCCGGTTTCGGGGATTTTCTCTCTTCAAGCCACATTACAAGGCCTCTCACTACTTATCCAGGCAGTGCTGCTACCTTCATGGGTGTTTTGGGGAAATACGTCCAATCTCGGGGTAACGTAGTACAATCACCACTGCTCTTACGTTATTTGTCAGATTGAAATATTTGAATGCCAATTGCGTTCGGTACCGCGCCAGGGCATTGGCGAGCGCCTGTTGGAATGCCTGCCGCACTGAACAAGTTAAAACAACTGTCTCCCCCAAGCCCACATCCCTCTTGAAGCGTTCTTTTCTGATCTCACCTAGCTTACCCTAAAATACTCACACATCTGTTCTAAACTGTACTTGGACTCCCATCCAAGTTCCTGCAGGGCTAATGAGGTGTTGGCAAACATGCTCACAATATCTCCGTCCCTCCGCGCCTCCACGTTGAATGGAACCTTGGTCCCAGTAACTGCCTCGAATGTCCTCAACAGCTGTAGCACCGACACCCCCTTGCCCGTGCCTAAGTTGTACATCTGAAAGTGACAGACTTACACATAGTGGTGATATCTCGGGTAGGTGTCCATTGTAGTTCCCGTCGGGCCAGCTCGCCGTCGCATATCAGCGTGGCAACGTCCCCGACACGACGGTCGGCCTGCTCGCAAGGGATGTGTCGACCGCTGACACGACTGAACACTTCGACCAGCTGGTGGACTGACAGACCCGCACCAGCACCGAGGTTAAACACCTGGCATGCACCTACATGTTACCAACTGTCTACGAATATGTGGTGAGTTACATGTGAATTTGTTTACGATTATTGTGTGTTATAGTTGTGGTTACTGTTTAAATCTATGGTTAAGTGTGTCCTATGAATACATAAGATGTTTATACATCCACACATCAGGTAAAAAGAAGATATTTAAAAAAAATGTTTACAAGACTACTCGTCTGTGTGTACAGAAAGAGCCACTGCTTTCTCATTAATTTTTCATGTTTAAAAATTTGGTACGGTAAACTATTTTCTAGCATCCCCTATTATACCGAAACCATAGTAAAAAATCAATTGGAAAATGAGCTAGGCAACAAGAATTGTCATGGCGCAAATAGATGGTCCATCTTTGGCCATCGAAATGTAATAGAGCAGACGACATGGATCTCATACTGCAATATTGAAAAATTTCAGAAAACAACTGATTGATTATATCAAGAAATAGAGATGACAATAATATGAACGTTGTAGATCTAGTAAAAAAATTGGTAATTCCGAAATACCTTTTTCGCCTTTATTTAGGTTAGCCGTTGTTTTACTGTAATTATGTCTTCATTTAGAAAAAACAATAACAGGCAAAACTTTGACATTAGATTAGGTTGGTAAATTAAAGAAAATACAACATTAGGAAATATTTTAAAAACGATTTTAAAGAAAACTCATCTAAATGTTAGTTATTTAAATAAATGTAAGAAAACATAAAGATGAAGATTTTAGATCGGAGAGTTTGTAATGTAAGCTGTTGTTGCTATGCAGTGTGAGGTTATGTACCTTTGTGATACATACATGGGATGAATGGAGAAAATGAAAGTATTAGTGGCAAGAGAGAGAGGAGGGTGCAATCTATCGATGCTACTACTCTCGGAAAATCCTAAGAGCTACACAAATATAAACACCCAAGTTACTTTTGAACAAAAAACATTAACACTTTAAGATGCTACTTCTTGGTTCTTATTGCTTAGTGACTAAAAGCCTACAGAAGAGTTTCAAAGTTATAAGGTTAGTTAAGAAAGACAGTGACATCCAGATAAAGAATATTTGTTCACGATATATTTAAAACGCATAGGATCAACATGTGGGATTCTTGACGTCTTGAACTTGCTCAGTTATGCAAGTTTGGTAACGAGTTAAACTCTTGCCAAAGAGAGAGGAAAAACATACCTCTTAGTTCTGTTACTTAATAAATTGTATTTAAATGTAGTTATAAATCGATGTTAATGTTAAAAGTTACATTCATAGTTATAAATTTGTAAATTAAATTTATATTTATAAATCTCTAAATTTTTGGAAGAAATAATTGTGTTCTTGATATGCGGATAGTGCCGTCTTTGTTTAGAATCCATAGAAAATCACGACTCTGCTTCCAAACCAAAATCAAAATCTAACATCTAAACAAGAATTATCAACACAGAAATAAGAATCTATAGTGACAAAAAATGTAAAAGCATGCTTAAGAATTGAAACCAATCCAACAAGGGTCTACACAGGAAATAACCCACAGCTTATACCACAGAGGAGAAACAATAACATATTTCACTTACAATGGAACAACTATAGTAACATCATCAAAATTGTTTAACTAGGTACCTAATGAGTTCGAAGTATAGCCCCTGGCTCCATACCGTACTCTTCTACAAAACCAGGGTTTCTAGTTACAGTACCGTTCTTAGGTTAGTATATACTTTATAACCGTAACCATCTACAGTACTGTATGTACTTATACAATAAGGGTTTTCTCTGAAACATTCCTTTTGCAGCCGTCCTACTTCATTTTGTGCATGTCATTTGAAAGCTTATAGTCTATCAGAGGGTCAAATGGTAACCATAAAAGTGTTTTATTTTAAGGTTTGCCCCCCCCCTCCATAGTGTTTGATTTATATCTAGAATTTGCTTTCAAAGATTCAGTGATGCTGACTAACTTTCTCTGTATCAAAATTTACAGATTAGATGTGAATTAAAATGTGAACAGCGTATCATTCAGTTAAATGTTTAACAGTTTATGAAAATGGATTTTAAATAGGTTAATGTTTTGATAATTGCAATCTGATTAAGGTAGGATTTATGGTGTAGATCTAAAATCAACAAATTCAATTATAGTAATTTAGTTATTCACCTAATGTAATTTTAAACAACATAATTTTTGGAATGTAAAATTATACTAACTAAAATGTACCAGTGCATCACAACGGGTAGAGAAAAAAAAGTTAAGAGAAGAGAAAAATTGGTCCTTTAGTTGAGGATAATTTAGATTTTGAGTAAATAATCAGAAACTTGAAAATAGTAAAAATTAAGGAAGAGCCTTGGTACTAAAATGAAAAAAAAAAACGGAAATAATATATGAATGACCTTTACTCGAGAAATCATACCGACATGTGATGAATACAAAAATATTTTTGAACTCAGCCAAAACCACAAAATATTAGGCACCAAGAGTTTAAAAAATATCCTTATGTGGTTTTGATGAAGCAAGTAGGTTTATCAAGTAAAAAAACAAATTTTTACTATTACTAGTATAAAAATAAAGAATCACTGTGTTCCTGGATTCTAAGATCAAATCATCGTGACTATAATGCTTTGGAACCTAAAATGGGTTACAGTCATCCTACAAAGATTTATAATAACGAATTGTAATATTAATATTGAGGGATATTCAAATTGATGAGGTTAGCTGTCACATTTATCCAGATGTCAGCTCGTGTATGGTTAGTACCAGTTAATACAACATAATGGTGCACTAGCGCTTTCAACGTGAAGTTCAATGGTATGAAATAGTTTAGTAGATAAAATAAAAAACTAACCTTAAGCCTGAGATGATCTCTTTGCAGCTTCAAGAGAGCAGCGACATGCCCTGACGCTAAGTCCATGACGTGGATGTAGTCTCTCACACCTATAAAAATAAATTGTTTCAAAATTGAAGTAACAATAGTCTAAACGTGGGATATTGGGTTTATTTTATACAAATATTTCTTTGGTGAAATCTATTTATCTATTTACTTCTGTTGACCAATCCCGTTATATTTATATTAGGCACGTGCGAGCCCACAATTTTTAATTTAGCTGATTTTTGGATGTTCAACTTTTTTTATCTTGATCGTCTTGCGATATCGTGAAAATAAAACCTGTTTTTCTGACTTGGTGGCTCAATTATTCAAGTTTTCGTGATAGCTAGGTTAGGATAAGCTCACTACTTGTAACATTTATTTAAAAGAGTGTTTTGTAAATAAACTGGGAATGGATTTCAATAACGAATAACCTTTTCTTCCTGAAACCTAATCAAAGAATGTGTTTCTTGGCGGGAACCTCAGTTTTCCCTCACATTGTTATCGGCTTCTATGATAAAACTAATCGTTGGATAGAGGTGTTGATCGTTACAATTGTAGATTACAGTAGTAGTGTCAGATGTTAATAACCCTCTTATTTACCAGTTCCATCGACGGTGTTGTAGTCACTGCCAAAGATGGTGAGCGAAGGCTTGTTCCCGATGGCTACTTGAGCCATGTAAGGCATCAGATTGGTGAAAGCCTTCGTCGGATCCTCCCCAATGAGACCTGACTGATGAGCCCCAACTGGGTTGAAATACCTCAGGGAGATGATGTTCCAATTCTACAGCATAACAATAATTTGCTTGGAAGTCAGTAATGGATTTTTCATTTTTTTAAGTTATTAGCATGTAAAATATAATATACTAGCAGAGTACCCGTCCTTCGTACGGGGTTGGCATATAAGTATAAAATACTTATTGTAGTTATACTCAAGCTTTGTGTTTGCAATGGGGGAGAACACAGTTTGATAAGATTTCTTTCTTTAAATTTACAGTTACACATCTACCATAGCCATAATGTTCTACCACTTCACCTAAACAATAGAGAAAATAAATGTTAAAAGAACGCAAAATACCACTAATTGTTCATGAAATTAAAAACAAACATAACTGTAAACAATCATACTTTGACATTTCTCATTGCTATCACAGTTTTTTGTTGCTGCTTAGTTCAAATTACCTGTTTTCATAAATGCAAAAAAATTAATAGTGTTGCACCCTGTTGGTGAATCTTGTAACTTTTTAATGCTTTTGCATATCATAGAACCAACTTTTTTAATTGAAACAGCTGACTAAATTCTTTAATTCCCTTTAAATATGAATACTCATAAGGTTAACATGGGGAACTACAGAGCCATTGGGGCGGAGCCCGAAAGGGTTATTGAGATAAGAATATGCCTATATGTTAATCGGGAATGTGAGCTATCATCATGTAAAATTTCAGCCCAATCCGTCCAGTAGTTAATGCGTGATTGAACTTCAAACAAACAAACAAACAAACAAACAAACACACAAACTTTCACATTTATAATATTAGTAAGATTTGTCAGGGGAGTTTTGAATGTTAGTTTGAAGGTAGTCCAAACTTCAATCTTATTCAATGTCTGCCATAACTGTTCTACAATGTTAAATAAAACCATGTTTACTAACAGGCGAAGAGCCATTGCACTTTCTTACACTGTTGTATACATTAACAAAATTAATATTTCAATAAAGTAAAAATTAAATAAATTTTTTTACTTGTCAGCCATTATCTACAAGCTTCTTTTCTATTTCTTGCTTTTTTCCGCACTTGAGGACGAGATTAGATTCTTGAATGTTGTGAAACCCTTAGGCCAAATACTTTCTCCTATAAATTGCCTTAGGAGCAAGAGTAAAGTTAAATTTTTCAAAAGGAGTGATGAATAGAATACTCTCCATTTTTACCCACCTGATCAGCTGCTGTGATGTCTTTGAGCATTTCCTCTATGAAGTACTTAGTCCTGCCGTAGACGTTGGTGACGTTTCCTGTCGGGTGATCCTCTGTGATCGGTAACCTCTCAGGATTGCCGTAAACTGTGCATGAGCTCGAGAACACCAACTGGTAGCAGCTGTGTTCTTTCATCACCTAAAGAATAATGTACTGATTTTATTTTATTAATTTACTACTCTTGTTTGAGATGTAGTTAAAGATATGTATGAGCAGAAAGGGAGGCAAGAGAATATGAAGAATATATAATATAAAAATTTCCTTTTGTCACTAATATCTGACATTCATGCCTAACCTAAAAACAAACAGCCAAATCCAAAGTTCCATGAGATAATAGGCTTTTTTCCATTAAAAGGAATTGAGATAGATGGAGTATGTGAGATTTAAGGTAAATTTCACTGTCAACAAAAATATATTTACTACAACTGCTTAATTTGTAGAAAACACTGTGGATGATAAGAGCCAGAGAAAGTATTTTAAGGATACAACTTCCTAACCAACTTCCTATACAAATAGTAAAATTAGCGCCAGTCTTTCTGACGATTACTTAAACAAGATAGTTCTCTTAATGAGGTTTAATAGCTTCTTTCTTTGTTAGATAAAGTGAAAGTACTTGTGTCAAATTTCTTTAGTTTAAAAAACTGTCAACACATGTAGTTTTTTTTTGCATTGAAGAATTTGTAAAAAACGTGTGAACATGTAAAATTAACCAAATTTAAAAATATAATCCAACAGAATACATAGAAAAATTTGAAATTGGAAAAAGGTTTATACCTCTAGTAGGTTGATAGTGCCGATCAGGTTATTCTTGTAGTAGAGTAAAGGCAGTTGCATCGATTCCCCAACAGCTTTCATTGCTGCGAAGTGGATAACACAGTCTATTTTGTGCTGGAACAAGCGTCAGACACATAGGTATTATGCTAAGATAAAACATGCAGCACTAACAACAATCGAAAATAGCAATAAGTCCTCAACCATGTTTGTTGTAATGGGAAATTAACAAGACATCAGTTACTGTTGTAAATAATTATTTATGTGGCTTTTTGTATTGATAAATTATTTATTTGATTTAGATGTTGATCAGACATCTATAAAAGGTATCCATTAAAAATATTGTTTAAAATTTTTTTTAACATGCAGTTTAGTCCTGCCAAATGGGCACCGCACAACTATAAACAGTTTTTGAATGTCTAGACAAACCTATACATATTTTGTATGCAAGTAACACACAACTCCAAAACAGGTGTTAATTACGACCCTGGTGGTAAACCAAGGAACTTGTAGCTTCAATAGTTACACAGTACATCACCTTCAACATTTTGACTCTGCGTTACTTTTGGGCATTGAGATATTGGACGGGCGTACCCGACAACCAAAGTGCTAGCGAATAGCAATTATCTTTTTCTTTAACAAACTCATTTTGATGTATTTCATAAAATGTTATGATGTTGTTAATTTGGTGTCTATATTGTAAACAAAAGTAAACAATAGGCCTACTACATGAAGTCTCAGTTTACAGTTTTGATCCTTTTTCCTGATGACATGGCATTTTTTAAACTCAGCACCCTACTGGTGCAGTTTGAGGGATTTACTGTTTACTGCACTTGTAACACTACTGAAACACATCATTGGATTCTTTCAAATCAAAATTACAATCCACAAGCTTTCCGATACTGCCTGTTATAAAATGATAATTTTAATATATCCTTATGAATTTCCACCACCACTGATTTATTCTACTTATACTTACTTTATCGAATATCTCCACAAGTTTTGGTCTGTCCAGCAGATCGCATTGGTAGAAGGTGATTGTTTTTCCGGTTATCTTCTCCACCCTCTTTAGACTCGGAGCTTCTCCGTTGCCGTTGACGCAGTTGGCAAAGTTGTCAACTGCTATGACTTGGTAGCCATTGTTGAGTAATTCTACAATGCAATGGCTGCCGATGTAGCCAGCTCCGCCAGTAACAAACACTGTCTTCCACTTATCAGCCATTCTGTATTTAACGTTAATACATACACAGGTAAAAAGATTATGATAATAATAAAATAAAATAAAACGTTACACAAAAAACCTTTATAATTACACATTTAAATTTTCAGCCAAATCAATCAAACAATTTATATAAGCGCTGTGTAATTACGTAGCGTGTATGCCGTAACTACATGGCGCTCCCAGCAGTGTGCGCCAGAACCTTGGGTAACCGCAGCACAGCTGATGGTCTATATTTAATTCTTTTTGTCTATGATGGTATGTCAAATGCTAATTGAGGCTATATCTTCCAGGAAATATAAAATTTTAAATATCAAAACAGATATAAAAATGAAGGAATAAGAAGATGTTGTTTTCATATATTCTATTGTAGACCCATGGTGTAAAAATAAATAATTATGATTGCCAAAATACTTCAATGTACAATACTGAGTGAATGTTTCCTAACAAACTACGGAATAATATTCTTAATGGGTATAAGTTAAAATTTGTAATGAAAATTTTTTCATTTGTTGATCACCATTAATCGTAAAGATACAAAGAAATAAAGCCACAATGTAAGTGTTGTTATTGATTTGGAGGTATTTTAATTTCGTGTTATTTATTGTATATTTATTTGCAATTGTGGTTCTAGGACCTTGCCGAAGGGGAGGGGGGATGAGGGACTAAAGGGAATGAGCCTCTGAAAATTCAAAGCTGTTTGATGACTTTTTAAAGCCCTTTTTAATGTCTAGGACTGTGTCCAAAAACCTCTGCAACATTCTTAAGACGAAATGTTTGTTTAATTTAAATTAATAACCATTCTTAAAAGTGAACGATAAATATTTAGCATAAAAATACTTGTATTAGTAGGCCTATTGGAAAGTAAAAGTACACTGTTAATTTGTATTACAATAAAAAAGACTAAGCTTGCTACTTGGATGAGCAAGCAGAGGAATGGAATGTGTTGGAAGAAGCCAAAGAATAAGGCATTCTTTTGTAGATTCCTAACAGATTAACTGAGACAGAAAGCAAGAGCAAAAAACTGCCTAAGTGAAACCAGCTGTATAGCTCAACAGTTGAAAACCCACACTCTGCACACACTTTCCCAAGATTTAAAAATATCTTAAAAACATTTACTTATAGATTTTAATAACCTTTAAATTTACTTTTTATTTAATCTACATGCCGGTATTTTGTGTACAACCAACACCCAAAACCCTGCACTCATTGATAGCTTAGGTTTTAAAAGATGTGTTGTTATCTTCAATGTTTACCAGGCTGTATTTTAGAATTATTTGGCATGTTTTGAAAAAAATGTCTTTTGGGTAAACAAAGTGTTAAGATTTAGAAACCTCTATGATAACTTCTTGGTAGGACCTCTACTTGGAATCTAAGTTTTTGTTTCACATTATAATACACTCTTTTTTATAAAATTGATGGTTAAATTTTAGCTAGGGCTTATCGTGGATAAGTTCTTACAAAACTTCAGCTGTAAAATGGATATTAAACCTAACTCCCTATGGGACCCTCTATGAGTCTCTTTAGTTCAATCCCACTAATTTTTTTATTATTATCTAAGTGATGATTATAATTATGAAAACCATTTTACATTGGTTTAGGATATACTTAACTAAATTGAGATTAATTAAAGTAATAATGAACAAAATATGACACACTTTCTCCCATTATCTCGTCAACAACCTTATCATGGTTAACTTAGTGGGAGAACTGTGGTATGGAGAAAATCAACAAAAGTTGTAATAAATGTTGAACCTTGATTTTTACAACAATCCGGGGGTTGTTTTATTCCGTTTTAAAGATAAAAGGAATACAAAATTAAATTCAAAATTAGTCGAGCTGTTAATTTTAAAATCTGATTTTCCCATCATTAAGTTGCAATAACTTTTGAATAGCAATTTTTACAACAATGGGGGTTTACAATTTTTGTTTAGAGTTAAGAGCTATATAACACTACATTTTTATCCATTTCGTTCAAACTGTGTTTAACAGTATTTTATGTGTTTCGTGGGGAAATCTACATTACAAATTGAAATTCCCAGAAAGTGAAACACCGCCTGGAGAGTGGAGATAGCATTTATTCCGTCAATGACGAGTACAAAGCTACGATATGACGCATGCTCAATAAATAAACCAATCAGCTTCGAACCAGATGTTGGAGGAGGGGGGGGGGGGGCAAACTTCAAGGTCGTTGCCATGGAAACCATTCAAGACGATAAATAGAGCTCAAATCACAGTGAGAAATTACATAAAATCCCATAAGAAAGGATGGCTAACAATAATAAAGATCGGGTTGATAAAATAGAAAATAGTCTGCTAAAAAATAAATCAACGATAAAATGCATAATTTATTTTAAAAGTCAAAGACGACACTTTATTTGAGCGAGGTAGTGGTAGTGTTCCTGTCACGTAAGCTACATTATTGTTGCGCGAAGAATGAATAAATTACATACAGCAATTAGTTATCATTCTTTGCGATATACAAATGCCGGTAGTTTAAAGGACATTGACCCGCGTTTTCAAGGACAACGAACGGAACTTGAATTAGAATCGTGACGACGTGAAAAATCCAGACGAAGTTACGAAATTGTCAAAAAAATGACTGTCAAGGAGGAAAGGGAATTGAAAAGGTTATGTGCTCATCTGTCGAAACCGGTTTTAAAACCCCAACAAGATTCTTTGGAGGAACGCAAAAACTAAAACCTACCAAATCAAACAAAATGGCAAATAGTCCTAACTTATAAGAAACTGAAATGTTGCATAAATTACACTAACACCGTATACAATAATTCGTTTACCTAAAAGTTCTTTAACAATTTTTACAACTGTATCTACAGTCGGACGAAAATAAAAAGCGAAAAATAAAAATACGCAGTACATAACATTAAAAATACATTAAAATCAGAGATGAGTTTGAAAAATACATACCTTGAAAGGGAACTGTGATAGATTCAGACTGCACAAAAACTATAAAAGAACACAACTGAAAAGAGCAACCTTTATATTTCCTTTCGTTGTCTCAGACTTAGACGTCTAGGATCCACTACTTCTTTGAACTAGGGGCCGCAACAGCAAACAGCACGACTGAACTAGACAGTAGAGTTAGTAGTAGACAGAGACAGAATAGTCGTCTGTCGTGTCATCCCCCCTCTCTCTCGCAAGACGCAAACTCAAAGGATGATTGGATCCTTGCCCTTCAAGCGATTCTCCAGCGTTGCCAACTTGACTTGAGTAATCAGTGTCGCCACAATTCACTAGATGAAATCATTCGCGCCGACGTTATACTGCAGGCACTGGCACGAAGGATGAGTCACACAAAACTCTTTATTATGATGTAATCCATTGGAAAACGGGTCAAGCGATGCACTTCGTGTGGTACCCATAACATCCTTAAGGATTTTGGATTTTGGTCAATGGTGTCACCATAGATTAAAAGTAGACATACATACTCTCTATACCGTACTACTTTTATCTATGGTGTCACACAAGGAAAACGGGTTTTTAATATATTGTGAGAGGTGGAATATTTCTTTAATAATAAAAATCTTAGTTTTTATGGCCAACTGTTATTTACAAACAACGGTAGGCTTTAAAATATAGGCTACTTCAACTTAAAAAACAATTATGTCAATTAAAAAAGCTTTAAATGAGTGTCTCCCTCATACAATTAATTGCTTTAGTAAAACCATAGACTAACCAAAGGTTAGTGAAATCTGTAATCTATGGTGAAACATAATTAAAGCAGATAAAATCGGTTTTTTAAACCAATCAATTGTGCAATTTTTGGTGATAAAGTTGGGGGAGGGGGGGTTACCTGTTTCAGGGGTTGGGGAAAAGACTCTTACCAAGCAGTCCCCACCATGGAGTTGAATTTTTCTATGGAAAATGATAATAACAAATTTTTACAAATATTTAAAAATGTTTGCATATACAGTAAAACTAATAAGTTTGGCTTTACTTCAATGTTCAAAAGTTCTGTACTGTATATGCAGTTCATTATGTTCAAATTACTGTATTGATATTGTTGCAAAAAGGAAAATATCAAAATAACAAACAGGGGTTAAATTTATAAAACGTACAAACGTAACAAGAAAAATAATTTATTTACATCCTAAAATATGTTTTTCAAATCTTAACAAATATTCAACTAGTCTTATCAGCTTGTTCACCACCTTCTTTACACGCCAACATCTCAACGCTGGACATGTTGTAATCATCCAAAGTATCATTTAGTTGACAACCAAATCCCGACTTGTCAACAGGAGACTGGACCTTTGGTTGACGAAACTCATCCTTCTGTAGATTCAAAAAGTCTGGAACGTATTTTTGCATCATTCTGTAAGACTTGACAAAAAGAGTTAAATCTGTGGATCTGAGATCTCTGTAGAAATCAACTGTCAAAATGGGCTTTCCTTCGTTAACTTCCATACATCCGAATATTTGAAGTGGTGTTTTAATTTTAGGAATTTCTTTCAACCCTGATGTGTCCAACAGTAACCGCCAGGATCCTTTCTCCAAGACACTATGAAGGTAACATTCTTGTGTGGACAAGTCCAACTCAACTCTCCCTACTGGACACACCTTAGTGTTTGACCAGTGATTCAACGATGTAATTACAGACAGTTCCTCTACTGAAAAGAACAAGTAAGGAGGTACATAGTTATCATTCCCTGACAACCTAGGGCCAGATTGATTTGGGTTTTTCAACACAATAGGACTGCTAATGCTGCTCAGCGTATTGTGAGACGCCGATGGTGAACCATTCACAGACGGCAAGAGGGATTTCCCCAACTTTTTCTCACAATAGCTATCGATGGATTTGTACTCGACTAACGGTGGTGCTTTGAAGCTTTCGTAACCGAGAGAGGAGTGGACAACTTCACAAGAATTTAGTTTCCTTTTTTTCTGAGGTATCTGACTTGAAGGTATGTCCTCTTCTGCGGGATCGTCTTCATCAAACATTTTTTTGAGTTTCTTTGTATTTTACTCAACTGATTCACTAAGTTTACATATTAAATGACTAACTGTTGACTAGTTAGCTTTCTTGGGAATCTTCCCAGGGCCTGGGTCCTCTTTTGTTTGTCCAGGTGTCTATGTCCATCTGGAAACAAGTTGATGAATACATTTGTTGAAAAAGTAAACATTCCTGGAATGAGTAAATATGCAAATATTTTATAACTGAATGTCTGCGTAGAGTCCCACTATTCCGAACCCCGCTAAAATATTCCTATCCTTAATCTAAAATAAAATAAATAGTTACCAAATGCTTACCATTTGGTAACTATTTATTTTATTTTTTAACTTGAATACAAACTGTGAAAATGTCATCAAAGCTAGCAATGTCATCTGAAAGACTTGCAATGTTGCCACGATTTTCGAAGGAGCTAGCAATATCTCAAAAATATCAATGTGCTGTTGAAGATGATAGCAATTACTCTAAGAAGGTTGATTCTAACAATAATTTTGCAAATGTCAGCAAGGCTATCGATGTCACCACAAATGTTGGTGATGTTATTGATGTTGCCTGACATGTCCTAGAATTAAGTTATGATGTTGCGACGTCAAAAAACCTGGAGATATCAGATCTCTTAAAGAATTAAAGAAATATTATTAAAGGAATTTGCTCGTCCCTAATTTCTGTTAATCCAAACAGGGTTCAGTACCAGTTAGTTAGGAACAGTGGGACTCTACTAAAATCTACATGGCCCTTAGTGATCTTTTTGTCCTATCAGTATTTTTTTCAAATTTTTGAGCGGATGTTCCTCCGTTGATACCAGATCCCATAAGAAACATGTGATTGGACATTAGAAAATTAACACTTTTTAATACTGCTTTAGTGAAACCATAGACTAACCAAAGGGAGCATATGTTATCTATGGTGAAAAACAAAGCAGAAAAAATAATTTTTTATACCAATCAATTGTGAAATTTTTTGTGGTAAGGGCAGGGAGGGGTGTAAAATGGTATTGTGTTCAGGTTTTGAGGGAAGTCCATACCGTTTTACGGAATGCTCTATAGAGTTGAATTTTTCATGGAAAATAATAATGTTGTTACAAATATTAAAAAATATATGCATTTTTGCATAGTTTTAATGCATTTATATTGCCGATATAATAAAATATTTTGATAACATAGATACCACAATTTTAAAATTTTCTCTCTCAACTGGAAATGTGTGTCTTCCAAAACGTTGTTAATAATATAAAATAATATGCTCCAGCATAGCTAATGCAAAACAGGACAATTTAAGTTTATTCATACTTGAAGATGATGATACAATAGTGACACAAGATGGATAAGAGTACACAAATGAATCAATTAAACCAGCTTATAATTTAAAAAGTTCAATGACATGACTGCTAATTAATTTCACAGAAAGATCTAACCCAGAAGTCTCACTGAGACAATAAAAAAACATCACATTTGAAGCTGCTAGTGATATCTGCACCAGAATCTAGGAGCACTGTGTATTTTTAAGTAGTACGTTGAGATAGTGAAGAACCTTATTTAACTAGTATGATCAGCTGTTAATACAACAATGGTGTATTGAAGTCAGTTCTTGTCTACCACCCCCACCACTTACCTTGCCCACCAGCCAGTGGCAGCAGCACTTCTAGATTCTGGTGTAGAAACTATAGTAAATATAAACCCATCGTTTTTTATGGCGCAATAAGAGTTCTGGGTTAGGCCGTTATTCTCTGATAATTGTTATTCATAGACATTAAACATGAATCAGCTATCTATAGTCCTTATAATGAACCAGCTGAATTAAATTATTCAAAGTGTATTTACATCTAGTAAGTTAACACTCATTTTGCTTTGTGTGTTCTCTTTATTTCTCATTTTGTTATTAAATTTAAAATTGTTGTGACTGAAAAAATGTGTAACCAGAAAACACATCCTCACCATGTAGCCTACTTTAACTAAATGAAATGAAATGAATGATTTATTGTCGTTAAAACTATGTACAAAGCTCATGACAATCGTCAAAAGAAAAACAAAACAATCAAGATGGCTGTGGCATTAAAACTAAAATAACAAAAACTCTAAACCAAAGTACTCTTCATGTTTGTACAGGCACGCCTGGGTTAAGGTGCTAGTTTTTAAAACTTGTTTTGAATTTCAAAACACACAGGTTTTTGATGGATGCAGGCAAGAAATAATTTTATTTTACTAAACTCTTCAAAACTAAAAAAGATATAAAAATTATGCTCTGAAACAATAGAGATAGGGACATTTTGCAGACGTCAGTATAAATCAAACATGGAAACAGGCTTTAGATTTGACAGTAGAAGTCTAATTTTAGTAGCCTATGCAAGTTAAAGATAAGTCTTACCTCTTTCATTTTCTCATATTCTTTTTCTAAAGTAACCTCTCCAGGTTTCTTCAAGTTCTTGAGCCCTTCTATTTCCTCTGGTTTCAAATTTCTTTGGGTAGATGAGTATTCATACCTAAAAAGGTAACAAAATATAAAATAACTGATAAACAATCTGATGGTTGCAATGTTTAAAAAATGTAATTAAACTACAGTAAACGTTCAATAGTTCGACACGGGCTGAGGCTACCCGTCAAAACATTAGCGATTGATATTTTGTTTTGACAGGTACGCCTGTCAATGACCAGGACCAGTTCTTTCCAGTTATCAGAGTGAAATGAGAGTGAAAACAATTGAAGATCACAAAAGATTTTTTCAAGTGATTAATTGTAATATCATGTGTTAACATTCCTGTTATTTGATTAATGCTACAAAGTAATTGGCATGTGCTGTTTTGTAGCATTGAAAATAAAATAAATAAATAAATAAGTGATTTTTAATGGTTACTAAGTTTATTGTGATGTAAGTTGACTTGAATATTAATTTGTCATTTATTGTTGACTTGAGACTAATGAACAGTGAAATTCTTTAAGCTTTTAGCGAATTTCCCATATAGGGAATAAGCTATTACCGTAGTACTCATGGTAAGACCTGGACGCGGGACCGATTTTTTTTTTCGTTTCGAGGTCCCTAGAGACCAAAAACACCATCCGTTCAAATTCATATATATATATATATTTATATATATATATATATATATATGTGTCCGTTAGCACTATAACTCGAGCAAAAATGATCCGATTTTGATGAAATTCGGTACAAACGTGTAAACCTACGTTTATTCGAACGAGTTCGCGATCCAGCATGATCGGACCATGGGAACGGGGGTTTACGGGGGGTTTTATGGGGTAAAAATAGGTTTTTCGCATTTTTGACCCAAAAAACATAAAATTTAGCAATTTCTTTCCAAACCATTTTGTAGAGCTTAGAAAAACAAATAATTTAGTATATTGAAGCGTTATTATGCGCCTAATGGTTACGGAGAAAATTCCAAAGAATTGTAAATTTAAAATTCCCATGTTATTCTTATGGAGAATAAGTAAACTGTTGTAGTTTGCTTGTTTATGAACATATTTTGATCAAATTTGAAAAATGTTTTTATTTCTTACTAACTATTAACATAAAAAAAAACAGTTTTACCTCCCTGATGCAGCAAACCTAAGTACTTGTTAAACTAATTCTATTTAAATCGGGAATAAATGTTATATTTTTAAGTAGACATTTCAGTGTAAATCAAATGGAAATTCGCTTAGTCTGCAGGTTTGCTGCAGCGGGGGTATTTAGTATTTAATAAATTTGGGTGATTTCAAAATAAAACTTAACTGGAATGGAACAGCAGGAAGTAAGCAATAGGCCTGCATAGTGAAACACATTTTCTCAAAAGATTTGAACCTGCAATACAATGCTCTCCCAAATTCACAAAAAATATTTGGTCGTAAGTTTTAACATTTTACTTTTGTGATTAGAAAGGCCATGAAGCTATGTGCATTAAAAATATAAACACATTGTCCCCTCATGTGCACAAAAGTCAGCAAGGTTTTAGCAGACTTTGTTTTAACCTAGAAACCCGTTATACGGACTAGCCTCGGTCTCGAGGAGTCCGGATAAGAGGGAGTTTAAACTAAGTCCTTTCCGACTTTTGTGCACATGAGGGGACAATGTGTTTACTATATTTTTTATGCACATGGCTTCATGGCCTTTCCGTACCAAATTTCATGCAGATCTGAAAAGGTTAGGTTGTGAGCTGTATTGATTTGGCATGGACTGACCCTTACTGCAATCACGTTTTTGGCCTCTGAGACATCAAAATGAAAAGTAAATAGGTCCCAGGTGTAGGTCATGCCGTGCCACCTACGGTAATAGCGCCTTCCTAAAGGAAGATTCGGGATAACATAACAAAAGATAACATGGAGGTAAAGTATTGAATACAACTGATTAATAAGGGTTATACGGTAATCTCAGGTTCATGTTCTCACTGTTGACGGTCAAGTAAGCACCAGGAAATTGTGTGGGTTAACTGTGAACACCGACCAAGGTACCTATACAGCCTATACCGGTACTCGGGAGATAAACTTCAGGCTTTGGGCAACCTACACATGACTGTAAGTTAATTCTAACTGTTGTTTTAACAAGCTGCATAACACTTCATAAACTCCTAATCTATATCTATAAAATCCAATGTATGTTTGTTTGTATGTTTGTCCTTTATGGACTCCAAAACCGCTCGACAGATTGTAATGAAGATTTCAGGCATTATTAAGCATTATTCAAGGATGGTTTGTGTGAAGTTTGGTGCAGTTCCGTCAAAAGGGCTCCGCCCCAGTGGCTCTGGAGTTTCCCATGTTAACCTTATGAGTACTCATATATAAATGGAATTAAAGAATCTTAACAGCTGGTTCAACTAAACTATCTGATTCTGTGATGTTCAATAACATTAAAAAGTTAATAGGTTTACCAACAGGGTGCAGCACTATATTTTTTTAAGTTATGAGAATAGCTAATTTGAAACCAAAATGTGAGTGAGCGTAGCGAACGAACTTCAACCTGGAGGCGAGTTAGCGTAGCGAACGAGCTAACCTGAAGGCAAGTGAGCGCAGCGAACGAGCTTCAACCTAAAGATGAGTGAGCGTAGCGAACGAACTTCAACCAGGACGTGATTGAGCCATGCGAACAAGCTCATCTTGAAAATGAACGAGCATGACATAAAACCACAATAGGACAGGACGACGTCTGTCGGGCCAGCTAGTAACTTATAAACTCTACTGCACTGAGTTGCTTTAAAATTGTTTTTAGAAATAGTGAACACAAATAAACAATACCCAAGTTAAGAAATGCAGAATAGTGATGGAATCTCTTATCCCCCTCTCCCATAGCTAATTAGATCTCTGTTTGAAACTAAAAAAAAATGTTAGCCTAGTCTCAAACTTAAACCTAACCCTTGCAATCATTAAGTTAAACAACAAAACATGAAATTTGTGTAACATAATAGCATAAATGTAGACCTTGTTGAGTGTTTACAATCAGGTAAAAATTAGCAACATTTACTTACCTGAGATTTGTAAATTGTTTTAGAAAAACAGATCCCCCTAGGACTAGTAGGAAAAAAGGGGCACTGTATTTAAGCAATTTATTTTTAGATTTAGCTTCCAAGAACAACAGCAATTTTTCTTTGTTGAATAAAGGCATGAAATGAGATTTCATTTACAAAAATAGCACGTAAAATCAATTAAAAATTGGCTATTAAACTTGCTATGTATTTAACCTAAAACGGATTGATTGGTAGTAAGCAGTAAGCACTAAGCAGACGAAACAGACATGCCGCGAGCGTTTCAAGGCAGGAATTGGACTATTGGACTAGCCTACTGCGCATGCGCAAACCATAAAATTGAGCTGATCTCAAATGAACGACTCTCATACAATTGAAGCAAAAGAGTTGTTTACTGTTCTGTCTTCTCCTTCTGTCGTTCTCGTTCTGTGATTTGTCTGCCCCTGCCGTGCCCCATACCATAGCGAGTTTTCAAAGTCTTAAGTGTTTAAGTTGTGTGTTTTTGTTTTAAATAATTTGAGGTTTTATCGAAGTATCGTATGTTTTTAAGTCGGATTTGAGTCAAGGCCCCACTTGAGTGTATAAAAGATTGTTTATTGTTATGCGTTCTACCGTGCCAGCCCCGTGCACCCTTGTAAGTTAGTTTTTATAGTCTTTAAAAGTGTTTGTTGTGTTTTGTTCCAAGTGTTGTCTAAATAAAACAATAAGCATTACCTGTTATTATGCTATTGTATTGCATTTACTTAGTTTAGTAGCTCTTAAGTAAAATTTTATTTCTGTATCATCACACAGTTAGGACATGGTTAGGAAGGACTACCTAACCGACATTTCCCATAAACATTGCAAAAGGATGAATCTTATAATTATATAAGAACTGTCTAGGCTGTGTGGTAAAAGGCACTTACAAAATAAGTTACCAAGCGGTGTAACTTTCATATTAGAAACCCTTGGGTGAGTTGTATAAAGGCCTAATCTTTAGGTTGACACATTTAACCCTATAGGCCTAGCCTGTAAACCATTAACTGTTTGGAAAAAAGTCTATGCCGTAGGCTAAATATGGTCCTTGAGCCAATTAAATGTGTAGGCTAACTAACATTAAAATAACTTAGGACTTGGCTAGGCTTTGCATTACGCTGGCGTAGGGCAAGGCTAGGTTCCGCTATCAATAGACAGGCCTACACTATAGTACCCTACTAGGTTACTATATTATACTTATTGGGTATCTCATTCTTTGGCGTTTCCTGTTAAAGGGAACATTCATTATTATCGATAATTTCTTTTCGATATAAGCTTATAAATATTTTTGTTTTACTTCACGATCCATAACTTATTCCTTCTGTTATCTTCAAACACATTTAAATGATCTACTAATTTAGAAGTAGGCCGAACCTTGTTTAGCAAACATTTAATAGCCTCTTTTATTGGATCAAACTAAGCTAAACTAACTATAACATAACTAACCAAACTTGCTGTATGATCTACGTTAGGCCTACCGTTTCAAAATTTTGTTTAATAACAGAAAAGGCATGGGGAATGGCTGTCAAACGGAATTTTGAAACGTTTGGCCTAAGTTACAGCAAGTTTAGTTGGTTTTGGTTGGTTTAGAACATTATCAATTCAATAAGTTCTTATAGTTTAATTAACCTCAATGTATTTGTTTAATTGTTTGTTGATAGGCTACTAAACAATATTTATTTAATCCTTATCGAAGTTGTCAACTGATATGTTTTAATTGGTATTAGGCTATCAATATAACGGACAGAAAAATAAAATTTCGATATTCGAAAAGAAATTATCTATAATAATGAATGGTGGAATTTATATTTTATATTTAAGTATTCCCTTTAACAGGAAAGTACCCATTCTTTACATTATACTTAGCCTTTATAAAGGCTACTCATACACACATATAGGCTGTAACTTAATAACTTAGAATGCTGTAACCTTTTGAAAGAGGCATTTCCTCGCGCTGTTGTAATAGTCAGAATATTAAAACATTGTTTGTTTAATTTAAATGGCGGTTTGTTTGAAATTATTTAGAGTAACATGGCCATGAGAAACGTGCTATTTGAAACTCCAACGAAAGAAAAATATACGTTAAGTTAAAAACTATTAAATTGTAGTTATTTGTAGCGCCCAAAAACTGTTGTGCCGTTGCCTACTTTTAAGAACAAACAGTCTGCCATCTACTTAGTGATGTAAATTTTTTTATATACAATTTTTTCTTTAGTTGGGGTAATTTTGATGAAACAATACATTTACAGTCTTCATTTTATGCTAGAATGTTCTACTATAAACAATGTAGGCTATTAAGAACTGCAGTAAAGTCCTTTAGAGAACCTGCAATCATTATTGGGTGAAATAGCAGTTCGTTGTACAAATCGTAGGCTACTTGATATTATTCCCTGCGATATAAATTCCGATTTTTGTTTTGAGTATTAAAGGTATCGTGATATGAATATTTAAAGCCATAGAGTCTTTTCAAATAGACTTTCACACTGTGCTGTGGTGGTTAAACAAGGTTAGTTCAGTTTGGTTTAGTTTATGTTAATAAAAACCAGGTAACACCTAAATACAGTAAATCCAAATTGTTCCAATAGCATCATCATTGGGTTGGGTTAATGTTGTACAGTTTTGTATCAAAACTGATTGTCAAAAGCGCCAAATTACCTAGTCGTGTCTTTTCATGAGTAACTTAGCTTATAGGAAAAGGCTAAAAATTTTGTTAATGATACCTTGTTTGTTTATAAACTATAGGCCTACCACTTTCAAAAGAAGCAGCGCAGAACCATGGCTGTCTCGCGCACGTAGGGGTGAATGGTGATGGTGGGGAAGGGCCTGGAGCAGAGGTGGCCCGGATAAGTCGTTGGGGTGAGGTGTCTTTCCCCACCACTCTGATTCTCCTGCTGTCCTGCATGCACGACTCAAACAGGTGCGTGGTTTTTTTCTATGTGGTAGGCCTATAAGCTAACATAACCTAAACGCCGCAATGGTCTGTAAAAGATTGGCGGGTGGTCCTCTTTTTAAAAAGACCCATAGGCTAACAGATTAACAGTGTTGGGAAGTAGCGCGCTACAAGTAGCGACGCTACAGTAGCGCGCTACTTTTTTTGTAGCGTTAGCTGTAGCTACGCTACTTTTAAGATTTTGTAGCTTTAGCTGTAGCTAGCTACATTTTTAAAGTAGTTGTAGCGGAATTTTAGCTACTTTTCTCGCTACCTACATTAACATTGTTTGAGATAGTGATTTTTATCATAACCTCAACCTTACGTGAAACAACCTCTTTCAAACTGAGATTTTCAAAAAAATTAGGCCTACTTTCTTGGCTTCATACAGCTGGTTGCAGCCGTTTCATTCCCTATTACAACGTTGTGTGGACATGGAGGCCATTAAATGAGTGTTATCCACATTTTTGGCTCTCATTTCCTTTATTTACTACTCTATGATTACTGTCAGATAAAATAAAATCGCTAGTTGCAGACGACGTTTAAACATTACCGACAAGAGAAGCTATCGAATGCTTGCAAGTGATTGACAGGGAAATTAGTAATCAATTTAGTTTCTTTATTATATCGATAGTGTTTTAACTTGGGTTTTAATGGAAACCAACACTAAACCTTAAAATAATGAGAAAGCTGGTCTATCAACCTTTGCTTCAGCTGTTGATTGTGGTTCATCATCACAAGCCCTTCCTTGGTTAGATTACGAAGATTTTTCAAAGGTTTACTAAATTAACAAAGAGGAAATTACCTGATGAGATTTAAGATATGCCTAGACTACATGATAATTGTAACGAAAATATCTCCATATAACATGAAACTTACATTGAAAAAATAGTATAGTTTGCTCCTGCTAACAGCTCTTGTATAGGACTATATTCCTAGGCTATGCTATGGTTAAAGACGAATACCAAGTTCCAAGTTCAATTATTAGGAATATATCTGTTTAATCCTTGCAAGAACAAGCCTACTATAGCCAACTTGTTACATAGCCAAGTAGGCCTACATGTTATTTTTACTTTACAAATTTCAACATGTTTAAATTAAAAACCGATTTCAGGATAAGTTGCTGAATACTGTTTTCATTACCAACTAGGTTGAAGCACAATTTGCCCTATACATAATGACAATAAAGGACGATTTCTTGACATTGAAAAGTGTTATTCCTAGAACAAGTAACTTATCACTATGGTTAAAAGTTATAGCAATGTCGTTTTTAACATTAAAAGTAAAGAAAGGCAATAAAAATGTAGTTGCAATTAATTTTATATTTACCTAATGTGCGTGGAATAAAAAGTAACGTCTTTGGAAAAGTAGCTAAAATTGTAGCTGTAGCTACATTTCATTGTAGCTGTAGTTGTAGCTAGCTACTTTTTCGGAACTGTAGCTGTAGCTAAGCTACTTTTTTGAAAATGTAGCAGTAGTTGTAGCTAGCTACATTTTAAAAGTAGCTTCCCCAACACTGCAGATTAATACTGTTAATACTGTTCTATGAAATGGCGACCATACAATGTAGGTATTTTAAGCCAAGTATGGATGGAGATGAGTGTAGGATGAGTGGCACAGTCTTGTAGTCTTGTTAGTGACTAAGGCCGACATGTTCCTTAGACACAGCTGTTAATTAATAGCCCATACAGCTAATGACAACTAAGGGACCTACAGTTTATTGTGGAATCCGAACCACACCACAAAAAGTTTGTTTTCGTGATTAACGAATTGGTCTAATCATTAGGATAGTACTGCGGATTGTCGTAGTACTCACTAGCGCGGACGTTAACCCACACTGTTGCAGTGCAATGTAATTTTCAGAATCAGTCTTCTTCGCTTTGTATTTAGGCTAAGTAAAATTGATTTTCCTTGCTGCATATTAGGGAACATTATTACCATGTTTAATAGCCATGATAAGGTACAGTAGACTCCCTCTTATTCGGACACCTTTTAACCGGACATCGGTTAAACCAGACAACACTCAGTAGAAATTACATCTCTTTAACCAGGCAATTTTATCAGCACATCGGTTTAATCGGACTAGGTCGGCAGGAAGTGGGAGGTAAGCGTTACTGAAACGACTGTTCTTGTGTTAAGGATATGAGTGTTAAGGAGATATAAGGATATAACAGTGATTACTAGTCTAAATACAATGCTCTACTACATTTTAGTCAAATACTGTATATACAGTATGCATTTAAACGGTCTTTTTGGGACGTCAGTTTAACCAGAAAACCCATTATCCGGACTGGCCTCGGTCCTGAGAGTCTGGATAAGAGAGGGAGTCTATTGTACTGTATATTTTACCACGTTATAGTGACACGAATAAAAAAATAACAGCCAAAACTTCATGCAATAACCCCATAGTACCACAACAATATGTTTACTACGCTGTAGGCTTCACATTGAATGTGTTTTATTAAATTAAAGCTAAAACAGAGTTTTTTGTTACAGAGTCATTGATTGAGGTGCTGGTGAACTGATTGAAGACTTAAAAATGTTTTGCTATAGTGTGAGGTGTGATAGTACGGACTGTTGTGATAAATTACCACTGTTTATGATTTACTTTATATGTTTTAAAATAAATGTTCTACATAAACTATTACAATTGAATGATCATTTACAATGCCATTATTTCCAGCTGTAATATTTGTTTATACTTCTTTTAATTATTTTTTTACTTTGTTTCTAAACATAAGTTCTGATGTAGTCATTGCATAATCCCAATGTGTAATCACTTGCACTTTCAAAAATATAAAATAGTAAACACAACAGCTTTTTATATACCATTGTTATTATTTATTGGTGTTATTGTATTGCAATCGTTAAGTTGCATGCGTAGTTGCAGATGCATTGGTCTGTTTAAATGTATAAAGGAACTAAAATAAAATCTGAAAATTCCAGACTAACAAAGATTATTCAAACAAAGGAGTTGAAGTACTGTACGTAAAAAAGTCCTAAAACTCTTATTTTAAATTTGGTAAGTTTAATTTGATACCAATATCAAGTGTTGACCTTATTTCCTATATTTTCTCTGGATGGTATTTCAATTTATTTTATAATTGCAATGATTCTGCTTCACTAAAATTCCAGGGCATGGACTGCAATCAACATCTGCCAACATAAAATTCGATAAAATCTAAAAATTTGTTAACTCACTTGTATATACTGTTGTAAGAAAGACTAAGTAAACCAAAAGTATGGCTTTTATTCATTCAAAATTACAATCATGTTTTAGTAAAGAACAAATACAATATTTACAAACAAATCAAATAATAAATATTATCAGGTGATAATGTTCACATCACCACATATACCGTATAACATTTTAATACAACGTGAAAAATAATAGGATTTCCTGGAATTTTCCAAAATGTTTAAGATCATTCTAAACATCCCAGGCATTTTCCTTGAATATAGCCTACTCAGATAACTGAACAAAAATATTCTAAGAAAATTTGTATATAGAAATCTGGAGAACATTCTCAGAATATTCTGGAAAAGTACTCTGGAATATTCATGGTATATTCTGAACGTAAGTTTAAATTATTAATTTTGTCAAGTACCACAAAATAACTTGAAAAATACAAAAACAATGTTTTTAGGGCAAAAAATGAGAAAACCCAATTTTTAGTCCATTCCCATTGTCAGTACCGAATACTTCAGCAGCAGAACTGAACTGAACTAGTAAGTTATGACTCATGAGTCGACTCGTTGAAGACCAAATACAACTGAGTTGGTTCTTTCTGGCGCATGCGCAGTAGGCTAGTCCAATTCCTGCCCTGAAACGCTCGCGACATGCCAGACAGAATTCAGAAAATTCATAAGCAAACAATAGTAAAATGGCATAACATAAAAAAAACCTTTGTCGATGTCAAAAGGCTGGCTAAACTTGACACAGCCATTGATTAAAAACAGTGATTTCCAAGATACAACTTTCAGGTTTTACTCTAAAAATTAATATCAAAAAGTATGTATTTATTCATTAAAATTACAGTAATATGGCTTGCCGAACCAACTAAGTGTAAAGTAGCTTGGGGCAAGAGGTAACTGCACCTCTGCACCTACATTATCATACTAATATTATAAATGTGAAAGTTTGTGTGTTTGTTTGTTTGTTTGAAGTTCAATCACGCTTTAACTACTGGACGGATTGGGCTGAAATTTGGCATGATGATAGCTCACATTCCCGATTAACATATAAGCCTATTCTTATCTCAAAAGTCCTTCCGGGCTCCGCCCCAGTGGCTCTATGGATCCCTATGTTAACCTTATGAGTATTCACATTTAAAAGGAATTAAAGAATTTAGTCAGCTGTTTCAACTAAACAAGTTGGTTCTATATGATATGCAATAGCATTAAAACGTTATAAGGTTTACCAACAGGGTACAACACGATTAGGCCATTTTTTGTTTGAATTTTTGACAATAGCTAATTGAACTAAGCAGCAACAAAAGCTGTGATACGCAACTAGACAACTATCAAAGTATGATTGTTTACAGTTTTTTTTAGGCCTATATGACCATTTAATGAATCATTTGTGATATTGTGCAAAGGTTTGATAATTTGTTTTCTATTGTTTAGGTGCAGTAGTAGAGCATTATGGCTATGGTAAATGTGTTATACTATAGCATACCGTAAACTTCAAGAACCAAATTTTATCAAACTGTGTCGTCCCCCATTGCAAACACAAAGCTTGAGTATGACTGCAATTAACATTTTACTCTTATATGCCAACCCCGTACGAAGGACGGGTACTCTGCTAGTCTAATTATAAAGATAAGTGTAGCTAAGGTTCGGACCCCAAATCCGAACCATTGGTTACCAAACGTCCGAATAATTTGACGTTAACTTAACAAAATTATGATCGGGGAATTTAAGATTGGGCCTGTTATGGCCACATGACTTGACTAGTCAGTTGCAGTCCAGTGTTTTTGATTCTGCAATCTGCTTGCTCATTTCCTTTATCATAATTGGGCTTTTACAATTTAGCACCTACAGAACAAAAGTACCTAAAGATATACCCTACATGAATCAATAGCTAAAAGTCATAACACTAGTTTCTATAATCAATGCTACTGAGGCTTGTTGTTTGTGAAGATTGTACTACAACATTCCAACTCTAACTCCAATGGAGCGACTTTTGAGTTTTGACAGCGTCAGTTATCAGCTGATATTTTAGAATTCAATTTTCATTTTTCAATTTATTGAATTAGAATTTTGGGAGGGGAGGGGTGAGGGAGGCCGGTACTGTGAGGGGTTATGTACGGTGTACGTGTAAGTACGAGTGGGAAAAAGATCGAACGATCAGAGTAAAAGAAAGACCGGTTCTCTTGTTTATTGAAGTAATATTACTTCCTTATCGCTCTACTTAAATTTGAAGACAAGAGAAATGATGATAAGGAAACTAATTGAAAGGATTTAGTTTTTATGTTGTTTTCAGTAGACCTAAGTTAATAGCCTACTATTTAAATAAGATAACTTTTAGAACAAAGTGTTGTTTGATATCTAACTTATAATACAAAAACCTTTCATACGAATACCGCAATGTCGTCAATTCACTTGAAGGTAAGAAATTACACTCGCTCTTTTGATCATCTATTCTCGAGGCTCTTATCATTAGGCCTAGTCCTATTCCTTGAATAATGCTATCATTAATTAACTGCATTTTTGTTGGTGTATAACTTACTGTTGAACCGGACAAACTTCATTATTGTCTGTCCTTAAGTTAATCAAGTTATTTCAAGGCTTTCCAACAGTTGAGGGTTCTGGAAAATACAAGGAATATAAGTTAGGTTAAGTTTTGCCTTGCTAATAAAGGATGTACTCCGCCAAGTAGGTGCTGCGGCGGTTGGGTTATCATAGGCCTAAATATGTTTGGGGAATTTCCTCGTTTTGTTATAAATCAAACGATACAAGATGAGTCATCACTCAAGACACTGACCCAGACACAAGGCACTGACAGGAGATGTGCACGCCCCGGTCAACGACCTGACCTTGGCCTACTTGGAGGGAATTTGGCTGGCGAAAGTATGACTCATCTGGTATCGTTTGATACATAACGAAACAAGGAAAGTCCTACAAACATATTTATGATAACCCAACATAACCCAAAACCGCAGAGCGCTGTATAAGGGTGGCCTCCGGATATTACAAAAGTACCGTCGTTTCTATGTCCCCAGAGGCTGAAACACCATTCATAGGCTCTGAAAGCATCATAACTTGAGTAAAAATCATCTGATTTTGATAAAATTTGGCGCAAAGGTGTAGGCGTACCTAGAAGTTACATTGGAACGAGTTTACAAACCAGCATGGTCGGTTATGGGATCTGGGTTTTATGGGATGAAATTAGTTTTCTCCATTTCTGACCCCTAAACATAATTCTTTTTAGCATATGTTAAACAAATTATTGATAAGAGCGGTAATAGGCTATTTATATTAAGGTGACCATAGGAACCTATCTAGGCCTAGTATATCTCTGGAAACTAGATTTTTTTTCCTGAAAATAAAAGTGTAGGCCTAAACATTTTTCTGCAGAGACAATAGCCTAATTAAGTTACTTAGTTAAACTAAGTTACAATCATTTAAATTTTTTATTTTTATTTAACTTACCTAGAGTTGATCTTCCCTTTCTCTCTAAAATCTAATCAGTTCGCCTAATTCACATTTTTTATTGATAAATTTGTCATTTTAAAGTACAAATATATGACTCACAACCTACACTTTGTTAGTTGAATGTTAATTTAAGTTCACAAACTATTTTAAACAGGACTTGGCGGCTGGTTCATAAGACTCTGATGCAGATTCCTCCCATTTCAAGACAAAAAAATTAGGTCTAATAATAGTTAACATAGATATGATTTATATTCCTGCATTTGAATTTACATTTTATATGTTAGCGGGTTCAATGTTTTTAGGACGGGATGGGTGATAATGGACACAACATGTTTTTGCAACAGGTTGTACGAGGAGAATCATTATGAGTCCAAACTCCCATATAAACTGCATAGAAAAATTCAACCAATCACAGCCCTACGTCAGGCCCTAGAATAATCCAAAAGATATAATGCGTTTGAGACTGCATCCAAATAGAAGTTTTAACTATTGCCACAACGAGCGCATCTGTAGACTGTCAACACAATATTAATTGGAATTAATTTTACAATCTGTTAATTTCTTAGAACAGTAATTAAAATATTTAGCAAAAAAATTGCAGGGAGCAAGCACCTCATTATCTAGTGATTCGTATAGGTTATGTTCATCGTGCCGCCGGTGTAAATGAATTAATAGACTAACTAGCCTATTGTTTCTCGAGAAGGGAAAAGTGTTGTTCAATGATGCTAATGAATTAGGAATTCTGTTAAAATATTTCTGCACAGTATGGGAGTGGAGAGGACAAATAATTCTTACTAGAGGTCATCCAGGTCTTATCATATGCTTGCCTATTAATATATATGATATATTAAAACATGGGAAGGTTTTGTATTTCATGAATCTGAATCAACTACCTGACGGATTTTTGTTATTTCTGTGTTGAAAAGCTGGTATGGAACTGCCTCTAAAATGTTTACGTTTACGTCTTACGTTACAAGTTAGTCAAACTAAACTACTGATAGTTGGTATTACACAGTTTTAAAACCAACGTCTAAATACAGTAACTCAAAAAATTGTAAATTTTAAAATTTCCATGTTAGGTGTTGGTGAATAAGTAAATTATTGTAATTTGGTTTTTTATGGATATATTTTGATCAAACTTGGCAAAATTACTTATATCATACTGAGCTATGTACATATATCCACTTTATTACACTCCCTGTAAACATAGGTGCTCATTATCCTAATGTTATTTGAATAGATTTGTGAAAATCAAATCAGCAAATGGAAATTCGCTTAGTCTGCAGGTTTGCTGTGACGGAGGTATTAAATTCTGTCGTATTTCAGATTGGAATCATTGGTGGGTCAGGCTTGAACAACCCTGACATCTTAGAAAATGCTAAAGAAGTATCAGTAGACACTCCATTCGGAGCACCATCCGACTGTCTTATTGTTGGGAAAATAAAAGGAGTCGATTGTGTGTTGCTAGCAAGGTACTGTCCCCAGATAAATAAGTAATAAATAGACTTTTTAATATTTGTTTTTCTTAAGCTTGACATTTTTTGTTTATAATCTTTAGCCTACTTCTTTAGAGTCCCAGAAAAGACAAAGAAATATTTTTACTGAACATTATAAAAAAACATGGAACATAACAAGAAGTTGATTATAACAATACCAAACCTATCTATTATTAATGAATTTGAAGTTGATCTAACACCTTATCTTTTTACACTGCACACTCAGTTTTGTATAAATGTTTAAGGTTTTTTCAATGAACTTTGATTTTAACTGTTTTAGGTAGACTTCTAAAAGTTAATCTTGGAACTCAAGAATATAAAATTACAATTTAACTTACTTATTTAAGGCAAATTGATATAATTAACTTAAGGATATTGAAGCATACATCCTGTCCATAAACCAGCTGTTACCAATTTTTATAAAAAAGCACCTGATACCGTAGATTTATAAGCTACTATCAGAGTGCCCCACCAATCATATTTTTTTACTCTATTCATTTCTGGTATTGTGATAGTTGGATATGCTATATTTTACAATATGTGATGTCTTAACAAGTTGGTGTATTCTATAAATCAGTAACTTCAGCATGGTATTGTGATAGTTGGATATGCTATGTTTTACAATATGTGATGTCTTAACAAGTTGGTGTATTCTATAAATCAGTAACTTCAGCATGGTATTGTGATAGTTGGATATGCTATGTTTTACAATATGTGATGTCTTAACAAGTTGGTGTATTCTATAAATCAGTAACTTCAGCATGGTATTGTGATAGTTGGATATGCTATATTTTACAATATGTGATGTCTTAACAAGTTGGTGTATTCTATAAATCAGTAACTTCAGCATGGTATTGTGATAGTTGGATATGCTATATTTTACAATATGTGATGTCTTAACAAGTTGGTGTATTCTATAAATCAGTAACTTCAGCATGGTATTGTGATAGTTGGATATGCTATATTTTACAATATGTGAAGTCTTAACAAGTTGGTGTATTCTATAAATCAGTAACTTCAGCATGGTATTGTGATAGTTGGATATGCTATATTTTATAATATGTGAAGTCTTAACAAGTTGGTGTATTCTATAAATCAGTAACTTCAGCATGGTATTGTGATAGTTGGATATGCTATATTTTACAATATGTGATGTCTTAACAAGTTGGTGTATTCTATAAATCAGTAACTTCAGCATGGTATTGTGATAGTTGGATATGCTATATTTTATAATATGTGAAGTCTTAACAAGTTGGTGTATTCTATAAATCAGTAACTTCAGCATGGTATTGTGATAGTTGGATATGCTATATTTTACAATATGTGATGTCTTAACAAGTTGGTGTATTCTATAAATCAGTAACTTCAGCATACGCTGTTAGTGGCTCAAAACTAATTTAATTTTCCTTCTAAAACTGGCTTTGTTTTGTCAAAGTTGATTTGTTGCAGACACGGACGTAAACACACTATCAACCCCAGCAATGTCAACTACCGAGCCAACATCTGGGCGTTGAAACAGCAAGGCTGTACACATGTGATCACGTCGACTGCCTGTGGCTCGCTACAAGAAGACATTCCACCCGGGGACTTAGTGCTACTCGACTCCTTCATCGACAGGTTGGCTGCATTTTCCTCATATTCTTTGAACAGTAAAAAGGAGCAAATTCAGGGTGTTTACAAAAGAATGCCGACATTTTAAACGGTAATTGCTTGGGTACTATTCAAGGTAACTAAACGTTTTGTAAAATCGGAGTTAAAATAACTACGTTTTGTTTCCCATGTAGCAAGGGAGGAAACGTTGTCCTTGGCATGCGCAAAACCATTGCAGAGTAGTAGGCCACTATTGCCACTATCCACTCATACACCACCACTATTGTCCGGCCACTATTGCGACTCATACGCCTGACACCAGTCCGATGTTCACGGCGCAAAAGCACAGAGTTTAATCTGTGGTTTACAGAGTTTAAATGGATTGCTAAATAAAACTAAATTTAAATCCACTTGATTATAAAGAAATTTGATGCTGGTTTAATGAGTTTTGTGGCACCGTAGCGTTTGAAAGGACATTTGACCTGGCCAGCTTAAACAAGTGATGACGAAGTCAAAGAAATCCCACAATTCTGCATCAGGATCCCGAAATAATTGATTGCCCGACGAAGTCTTCAATTGAACATACCTTAATCGACACTTCATGATGTTATCTGTGAAAGATTGAGTCTTTGTGCCTACAAAAATTGAGTTAAGACATCAGATAAACCAGCCGATCACCAAGCGTACAGACTGCCAGTTTTATGCTTATAGGAGATTGATGAAAATCTAAATTTTATTAAATTGTTCAGGATGTTATCAAAGTATGAGGAAAACACTTTATTCTTTTCTGTTCAATTTGATGTTTAAATTGTTTAATTGTCTTCAATAGTCCCTGAGCAACGGACGTTTAAAATCCTGGCATTCTTTTGTAAACACCTTGTATTAATTAATGGCCTGCTCAAAGTGTTCAATAATTTCTTTATCATGAATATGAATTAAATATGAACATTTTACTACAAGACAGTGAGACTGAAAATGGTTATTTTAAGTTAAGCCTAGCCCATCACGAGATACAGCATATAGAAAAGGTAAAGCTAAGACAAGTTTATACTTGTTTTGAATACAATCCGAGATACAATATTTAAAAACAGAAAATGAGAGATTAAAATAATTTTAAGCCTTGAGGTCAAAGTAAATATTTCATGTTGTTGAAGTAGGTAATGTTTGTTAACCACTTTAACAAATTAACTTAATAATCAAGTTTTGAGTAGTTACTTATTAATTCAGCCAATTGATTACACTGCTTCTGCCAAGTCAGACTTATATATATTATTAACACTTTAACCGAAACATCTTAGATTTAATATTTTTTTAAGTATATGCGGGCTTAAGGAAAGTACGGTAAAACATATATTTTTGTACAAATATATGTATTATAAAAGTAATATTAATTTACAAAAAATGTAATAAAATGTATAATAAACACAAAACATACAATATACTGGAGACATAAAATAAAAAATAATAATCTCTTTGTCTGAGCTTGTCTTTTACATACAGTCACAGCCTATGCACACTTTACGGGTTTTTTGAAAAAAAAGCCTTTGCATAAACAACTGCCTAAAAAGACCGACAGCGCGATATACGTTACTCGAAAGATCCGGCACTAGAGACCAGCACGTTTTCAAAATGGAGACGTTCACTCAATGACCACTGATTGGGGACTGACGATGATGGGTGAGGTAGGGAGAAGAGTAGGAGGGGCAAAGGTACTGAGGGGTAGCGGTACGCACGTCCAGCAGTTTTGCCACTACAGGAAAATCAATTTTCCCTCCGGTCTCACAGATCGGTATCTCGGTTAAAGTGTTAAATTACTCTACATACAAAAACACAACTAACATGTGTTTCCTTTAGGTGTGAAGAATTTAACACTTAAAAGTTTAAAATGTTTCTTCCAGGACCAAACAAAGGCAGCACACATTCTTCGATGGGAGTGAGGAAGGATTGCCAGGCGTATGCCATATTCCAATGGAACCGGCGTTCTGTGAAGAGACGCGCAAGATTATTATTGAGGCGGCGGCAGAGCTTGGCTTTAAGCTGCATCCGCGTGGAACGGCTGTCACCATCGAGGGACCGAGGTTTTCCAGCAAGGCAGAAAGTCTCGTCTTCAAATCCTGGGGAGCTCACCTGGTCAACATGACTCTCGTACCCGAGGTTAGACGAGAGAAAAGTCTATTTCTTACCAGTGTATCTAATAGATTCCCAGGTCAGAATATTGGGTTCCGATATAGGACTTCTTCAGAGAGCAGATTTAAGATAAATGTCCTTTAAATTATAATGAAATATCAGTGTTATGTTTTGTGACCTGTTATCATATATCTCCCCAGGACTCAAGTATCTATTTTCAGTATTTTCTCAGGTAAGCTATCTGAACGCTAACCCCTTTAGAAAAAATTGGTAGCCTAATCATAATACATTATCTACTGACAGGTTGTGCTAGCTAAGGAGGCTGGGCTCAGTTACGCTGCGGTTGCTATGGCAACGGACTACGACTGTTGGAGAGACCATGGCGACGGAGTCTGTGTGGCCGATGTTTTGGCAACCTTCAAAACCAATGTTAGCAAGATCACCAAACTGTTCCTAACTGTTGTGCCAAAGATTGCTGAGAGAAAGTGGGATGACGTGGTTAAAAAGAATAAGGTAATTTCCTGGGTTTCAAATTATACTTGTAGAGGACATTCATTGACTTTTGGATTCAAAAGTAGAAATTACATGGTCCAGCTGCAGACATTCTTTTTTTTCAAGGGTATAGTTGAGTGAGCCACTTTTAAAGTGAGTTGTCCTTTTTGTTTGGCTTGGTTAAAAAGTTGGCATACTAAACGGAAATCAGTAATTAATGTCAGCAAACTCTTTGGCTCAGTTAAATCTCATCAATCTTTATTCTAAAACTTGCAACAATTTATAACGGAAATTTGAAATCGAGTTGCATACTTACTTTAATACTTTTATCTGAAGTGCCACATACGAAGGTAGGTATTTTAAGCCAGGTATGAATGGAGATGAGTGTGGATGAGTGGTGTGATCTTGTAGTTTTGTTACTGGCTAAGGTGGACATGTTCCTTAGACAGGACTGTTAATAGCCCATACAGCTAATGGCAACTAAGGGACCTACAGTTTATAGTGGAATCCAAAACCATTTTTAAAATTGCTTTGTAATTTATAAATTGGTCTAATTATCAGGTTAGTATTGCGGATAGTCGTAGTACTGAAAAGATGTTAATCCACAGATCATGCTTATAAATATCCACAATTCGTAACCTCCAAGTAGCTGGATTGCAGGACGACACCATTGTAACATACATTATTGTATATCCCTTAACAATGCAGTTGTATTTTCTACATAGAACACTTTAAATCTTCATCAGGTTTTAATTCTTCTTAGACTGTGTAAATACGTGTCTTTTGGTATTTTACCTGTGTTGCTGCTATAGTTTAATCTGTATAAAACGGTTAGTTTGTCATATTTCAGTCAGATGAATCTTTCTTTTTTGCAGGAAACTGTTGACTCAAGTGTGATGATTCCACAAGAACCAACGTCAAAACATTAGGCAACAATTACAAATATGGGCTTTCCAAATAATATACTTATGTGATGTATACGAAACTTAAAACATTCATTAAAAGTATTTTGATGGTTATCTTTGCTGTTTTAATTAGAAGCCTAAACCCAATAATTGTGTGTTTAGGGAATGGCCATCAAGATTTACTATGGAAAATCTGTTATAGGTAACTTAATTCTCATCTTAGGTGATCTTATGAGTCTAATGAACATTGTTTTGTCACTGGGAGGATTGGCACCAACAGCTTATCCAGCAAGTGGAAATCATAGCATTTAAGGTTATTGTAGCAAAGTCGAGGTGACCCAATATTTCTGATTCAGCCTTGTGTCAAGACAAAAGATGTTTTTTAAACCCACCCTAATTACTAAAGGTCCGAGTTTAAGTAAAAGATATGTAGTAATACATTGTTTGTTTTACCGTTCGTAGAACCTGTAGTTTATTTAAGTAGTAAAATCTTACTGTAGATTAAAAAACCAAGACATAAAAAGTTCTGGTTAAAGGACATTTCTTGTAAACTAGCAGTTCTTTTGTTAACTCTTACCACAAATCTAAGAAAATATGAGCATAAGTTTTGTGATTGGCTAAGAATGTCCAATAGTTCGTTTGACAAGTTGTTGGTGCTTTTAAGATGACTATGTTTAGGAAAAAACTAGTTTTTGAAATCAGCTTCAACACTACTTAAAATCTGCAACAACATGTCATTTAATTAATTGGTAGTTATTTTTCCATAATACGATGATTATTATTCCCTATTTTCACAGGTGGCGAATTTATTTCGATATTCAAAAGTTAGCTTGAGCAACAGGCAAAACAGCTAGTACCACATAATCATCAACTCGTAAATGGTAAAAACACAAACATGTTTGACAAAGAAAATATTTTATTGTGCTTTACTTAAAAAATTAAATTAACAACCAAGCAATATTTGGATATAAATATAATTAACTATATATATATACTCGAGTCACATATTTCTATTAGTTTAACAACAACTAGATGGAAGTCATCTGATACAGACGCCACCAACCTCACCACACTTAACACTAGTAGTTAGCTTAAGTTGGTAGTACTGACTTGTAATCCACTGAAACAGCTGTAAGAAGCTACTAGAAATATTTATATTGCCCGTGTAAGTTATATACTATGATTAACACTGAGTATTCTGATTATATACAAATTCCAAAATTGTTTTATAAGAAGCAACCACCAGAAACGGATTGTTAATGCAGTTATAAATTAAAAGAAATTTGGGTTTTCTAACAAATTTTTAGTGATGAAACTATGTTCATTTTAGAGTAATAATCCAAAAATATTTGGTAAAATACATATAAAAACATGATCACTAGGATTTGGTTGTTAAATAAAATACTATTAAATTAAAGGTTCAAAGATAAAACAACGCAAATGTTAACATTTTTATTATAAAGGATGCACAAAACTTATTTATTAAAATCACATTATCGTAATTAATTTAATTAAAGCTATACAGAGCTACATGGGATTTTAAACAATTTGTTATGTTATTAGGACCTTCATAACACAATTGATACTTAACAATTACTTTATAAGGTTGGCGATAATTAATTGTTCTTTCTTAACGTATCAAAACACAATTTTAGTAAGCTTAGGACAATATAAAAAAGAGCAATAATCATTCTATACCAACCTGCAGCTTTTCGACTATGCTTAAACCAAAATAAACTTCCAAGTCGACATTTTTATATTAACCAACAAGCTTCATATAGGTATTTAAACCTTATTTTTATAAAATTACATTCAGTGAACTTTAAGAGGTGAACATTCTCGAAATCGGATATTAAAACAAACAGGGCAGTGATACAAAACCTAACAAAGCTAAAATTTGGTTTGATAAAATAATTCTAAAAGTAAGCCGATCTCTAACAATAATATTTCACAAAGTACAATGTTTGAGTAGGCCATTATGAGATAATATTCTGTAATACAATATCTTCGAGATACTGACATGCTTCAGACCAATCCTAAGCTTTTTTAAAGCTACACTCGTTCGCTATAAAATAGCAACAAATTACCGAACTTCATTTGCGTACAAACAAAATAACAATACAAATTTCAGAATTATAAAATTTATTAATCGTTACAAACAATTTATAATCGCAAAGCTATTGAATGTACCTTGTAACATATTACTAACCTTGCAGCAATCCAATAAATAAGAGATAACAGAGAAATAAAGGAAACAATATATTTACAATATCAAAAGTAATTAGAGGCATCGATAAAATTGAAAACTAAGAACAAACTTAAAATTTTTGCACCATTTGTTCCAAGTTTCCAAACAATAAAATCTGACTGTTTAAACGTAATTTCAATGTGTGATGTAAAACATAACCTAACCCAGAAATTATCACTTTCGATTAGTACAGTTTAGTTTTGGTTAGCTCGAATTGTATAGGGAATGTAGTTTACACACAAAGGGTGTTTTTAGACAAACTTAGCGAACGAATAGCACAGTTAAACATTGTGAAGAGTGAAATAGCGATATTTTACAGTTCCGTTAGTTGTAGCCGAGATGCTGGGGGTGTTTCATCTTCTGGCTGATCTGTTCCTCGTTGACGAGCTGAACACGGAACTGATCGTTCTTTTCCAAGATCTGTTTCAACACTTCGATCTCTTCAACCAGCAGATTCCGCAGCTGTTTTGAATACGCTACAAACAGACGACAAAATGTACTAAGAAATTATATCAGAATAAACTACTACTAAACAGATTGGAAAAGAAAACAATTACAACCTGGCAAGATTGGGTAATGAACAGTAATATGAATTTTGTATCTTGTATGTTCTAAAGCCTAATGTTCTTATAACACTTATTTCTGAAAACATTCTCCACATGTGCTGTATATTGTCTATTGTCTTAAGATACAAAAACAACGTCTATAAATCAGGATGATGCTGAATGACAATAAAACACAAAGCATAAAATTGTGTGCAATTAACAATGATGGCAACAATTAAAAATACAAGACGATTTGTTCAAGTTATGTTTAGTCTGAGTTTTGATAATAAATGAAAGAAATGTTCACAAAGCAAACTAAAAAAAAAAACATGAGCATTTTAAGGCAAAATGGTTGACAGGTGCAAATTCTAAGACAAATTCATATCAATGTCTTAATGTGACAAACTTATGAACATTTGTCGTTACATGTTAGGAACTATGAAATCGTGCACAGCAATAAGAGATTTTAGACATGCTTTTTTTCTTTGAGGTTTAATTTTTGTTTAGGAAGATTATTATGATGATGAAGTAATATTTACATTAGGTTTTATGTTGTTTTTTTTGGATGCAAGCAAAAAATTACTGAAATTTAACACTATTTATGGTTATTTTTTTAGATTGAAATAAAAATTTAAGTAAATGCTATACAAGTATTGATTAAAAAAATTATGAATGATAAACTTTTACAATCGAACCATTTTTGTGAACAAAAATCAGTTTGTAAAAAAAATAATATGATGAGTTTAAAAGTGAAAAGGTGATGTGAAAAAAGACACAGAGTGCAATAATGTACAGTTTATTAAATATTCTTACACTATATACAAATTTAAATAGAAAAGACAAGATGCATTTCATGCACACTCAAATAAATAATTAAAAATGGCAAAATATCCTTCCTAAAATCTAAAAAGCCACTATGCAAATCTAGTAAAATTATAACCCCCCACCATAATTTTAATAACGTCTAATATTTTAACAACTTGGCGGAAATCATTATGTTTCAAAACTAAATCATACAGCTAAGTAAAGTGTATGTACAGGTTGAAGGTAAAGATCTAAAATTGCTACACTAATACATCAAACTCAGATCTACAAAGAATGACTAGAAGAAAACTAGAAAAGTAAAATAGCACCATGGGATCAAAACTAAATAAGTGTAAAATTTAAAGAGCAAATTTTAGGGAATAAAAATAAAACAAGTCCACACCAAGATACCACAAAACTCTAAAGATAATAATTCTAACATAGAATAGAACCTGTATTTGTGAAGTTGTGTTCATTGAATTGCTTTTGTTTTTACCGACCCCTTTTTTCAAGACGGAATAATTATTTTCATAGAATAAATGTATTTTAGAGAAAACGTAACTTTTGTGTTGTGTGGGTTTGTAAAACTTATTTTCTGTTGGTTCGCAAGACAAGTAAAAAGCGATGCAGTAAATACAGTTCGAAAGTAAAGGTTGGCTAAAAAAAACTAATATTGTACAAACTATTGTCTTTGAATTGAAACAACTAATCATGAAAAAAATCATCAGAATGAAATAAAATTTGTTTAGCTACTTAACAAATAACTTATTTGTCGCTGAACTGAATTCGTCTACAGAATTTTTCCTTACAAAAATCCTAGCCATCGTTTTAGATACATATTTTCATCACAGATGTTTTTTAAATAATACTAAATACAACATTATTTGTACCCACTACAAGAGTTTGGTTTTTTATTGCCCATATCCTCAACCTAATAATTCTTAAGCAAATCATAATTGGTTCTACTTAAATCAAATTGTTGAGTATTTTTTCATCAAGTACTAACCGATTTAATTTTCTGAGATTCTGTTACTTGTGCTCAGTTACTTTGTTATCCCTTGTGCTAATTAAACAATTTCCTACTTCAGTTTTTTTGGAGAAGTTCAGCTAGTCCTATTGACGGTCAAGAAGTAAAAGATTCCAATACGAAACATTCAACACAAAACTGATATTTCATTAAAGTGTCTTTAGATAGAGCAGGCTCTACCAGGTTCTGTGATGACAAAACGTATAGGATAAAAGCTTTCATATGATAACTGTTTATGGCACATTAATAAATTTACGAGGATATCTTAGACAGGCTCTGATTAAGTTTGAAACCACGCCAAACTGTTGTCAATCTATAAACTCTCTGAACCTTAACCACTCCCCCCCCCCCACAGCTACGTCCTCTCCCAATTGTTGACCCACAGAAACACTATAGTGTACAGCAACGGCAGGAAGGTGTACGCGGCCACGTCCCTCACCCACTGTGCATGCCTACCGTCTTGGTCGTAGTCGACGTCGCGCGCCATGTTGAGTAGCTGCGCGTGACGTTGCTGCCAGCTCGCATGACAGTCCAGTACGCCTTTGTGTGTCTCGAGCACGTCCTCCTCCAACAACTGCAGCTGGGACACCGCCTCGTGGAACGTCATCATCTCCGCAGAGATCTCACCTTCCTGCAGACATTCAGATGGTTACCAAGCTGTTTAACAATCAATGATGTAACATAGAGCACAGGGGCCGAAGTTTTAAATGAATTTCGTTAGTAAGGTGTATCAGAGGAAACAGCGTACCCTTGCACAAGAAACACAAAAAATGTGACTTTTTTATACAAAAATTAGGATATTGTGAATATTTCTGTGTCAACGACACTATTTTCAAACCTTCAATCGTTGACACTAAAACAACCAATGCAACCAAGCTACAGCTAGACCTAGTTGGGAAGCTAACAATGGCTAAAAGGTTGAAACACGTACATCACAAGTAAATATAATTAAAGGTGTTGGTAAAATACAATTCCAACAATGAACGCCTGAATAGTAAATGTGATTACAAAACCTGATTCCTAAAAGGGTGGGTTTGCACAAAAAAAATGGCAAAAATCAACGACTTACATTGAGAGAGCGCAGTGTTGCCAGATCGTCGTCATCGAACACCTCGCTGCCGCCAGAGTTGTTGTGACGAGGCCGTTGTGGCTGTTCATCATCGGGTGATGAGTTACTTTTGGGTTCCGTCGGGTCTGAGGCCGCCAACTCCTTCACTCGGTCTGCGTACCTCAACGTGTTCAGCGAGTGTTCACATGAACTGAGGCCGGGACTGATCATTGCGATCTGCAAAAGACCGACACACCCGGTAAAAATATATTTTGTATTAATTAGGGTCATTCCTTCAGGGTATGGACATCAAAAGCAATAAAATATATATTAGAAAACTCAAACTACTGTATTCAAATTTCCGAGTATCTAAATCACATAAAGAAAGAATTTTTTAAACCCAAAAAACGGTAATAATAATAATAATTATTATTGCAAGAATCGATATTAAACAAGGCAGAAGCAGTGATTCCTAAACATCTCCTGCGGTTTTGTGCACATTACCATCGCCTCCCACAGTCACAGAAACATCATTATCAACTTCCGTAATTACAAAAAATCTTGAATTCCTACTGCGGGCATACGTACATCAAAATGTCTTTCTCAGTCACAGAAATCTCAGCATTGCGTCTTGGACATCTTCTGCGGTTTTGAAGGCATCATCGTCCGCTACAGTCAAGGAATATAATCATCGGCCTTCTCAATTGCGACAAAAGTGTGTGTTTTTTCATTGTTGAATCTTTGCAGAAACATTCTGCGGGCGATAGTAAAAGCTCGACTTGACTCTGCTTACTTAATAAAATACCCCAAATTTTGGTAAAAATCCAACCATCAAAATTTTTACCATCCAAATGTGGTAAGGTCCCAATTGATTCTGATGGTTGTAGTCCTACTGTACTTGTGAACCTGTCAATCTATGAGTAGCTACACTCACCATACAAGTCTTGGACTTATCACCGATGAACGAGTCTCGCAACACCTGCGTCAGTTTGGAGACTCGGAACGGCAGATGAGCGCCCTTCCTACCAAGCGCTCGGATGCACTCTTTCAGCGCCAACAGTGACTTGTTGATCTCTGCTCCCTCCATCCGCGTTTGCCTATTATACAAAAAACAGTGTAACAAAGGGTCTAAATTCTGAAGCTTTAATCCAATCCCAGGATTTCAGGATTTGTCTATGCCTTTCATAATAGCTTTCCTAAATTATATTAAATGTAAGAGAAGGAGTTTTATCAAAATGGCCAGGATAGAATACTCGTTAAACCTCGTCATCATTTTTTTTTTTTTTTTTTTTTTTTTTTTTTGAGGTTGGCGGCCTCTTTTAATCCTTCATTTGCCCGTCCACATTGACTACAGATCTGTGCGTGGAACATATCCAGTACAGTGCGAAGGTGAACTGTACTGATCAAATGTTTTCGGCAGTGACCAGGATCCGAACCCAGGACATCGCTGCCTTGGGCCCGAAATCCGTGACACTACCAACTGAGCCACCATTAAAGTCAGGTAATATTCTAAGAACACTTCTACAAGGGTGAGGATGATATAGCTCCACTTGAGTGTCTGCAGGACTTCCTGAGTGTGTCTAGGGTTCATATAAATTTAAATAAATAATTAGTTAAAACTATGGACCAGCATTCGTATCGACTCTTTCTCAGCACTCTGGAAGAAATTTGAGTGAGGCTGGTTCTAGATGTAGGCCTAGGCTATTTTGTGATTACAATTTTATACCCCCCTGGAATTTACATCACAAAGTTAATTAATAATAACTTATAAATAAATACAGCTCTTGTAATTCTATTAATCCCGGGATTAAAATACGGCAATCCTGTGATTTCAAGTATCTAAAACCGGCCAGGGTTCAGAGGTTGAGACCCTTAAGACAGATGTGATAACTCAAACGGACACTATAACTTGTGGACTGCTATCGTAAACTAGGTTTGGGTACGTGTCCTAAGTCAGGTATTGTTCAACTATAATTCGGCAGGTTCTTCATTACTGCCGTTCGACTGACTTCTCACTAAAGGGGACTAGAAACCAACAGAAACAAGTTATTATCTTTAATATTACAAATACATCTAAAATAAAGTGTTATGGTAATTTATTTAAAAATCTCTGGTTATTTGATTCAAAATTTACGTTTATTAGTTAAGGTTCACCCTTTTTTATTTGCAACAATCAAATATGTTTTTGGATTAAAATAACACCTGTAATTAATCCTGATTAAACAGCTGTTTGGTCAGCGAGTTACCTGTTGGCAGAAGACGTATCCGCGCCCCGCTCGTTACCAGCTAGATCGATTAGCGAGAACTTGCCGTGGATGCGGTTCATACCGGGCGGCCGCAGGAGGATTTGGAACACAGCGTGTGAACGAGATGAGTTGGAATTGGCCGATGTCTGCCCAGAGGTCCTGCAGCAAACAACAGTAATCAAACATATGTACTTGATGGCTCCATTATGTCCATAATAATACTGTAACGAATTACTGATAACGAATGTTCAGTCCAGTCCCTGAAGATTGGTTATACAGAGTTTAGACAGTAGGTTGATATTGGATGGCCTATAATGTATAGGCCAAGTAATAAGAACAATTAAAACACACACAAAATGTGTCATAACAATAATACACAGATATCGCTGTCAAGTCTATACATGTTTACAACAAAGCAAAATAATTATTGACTATTTATTCTTGGCTTCTCTCATCATATGTTCCTGTAAGTTTCATAAGTTTCTATTTGTTGGTTTGAATAAGTCATTGCACAGAGAGTCTTATGTTACTGTCCCTCCTCAATGCTGATGCCTTGAGTGTATTTGGTGGTGAGTTATTTTGTAGGGGTCTGCATTTTGTAGGGGTCTGCGGGTCAGACTTTTTTGGTTCGGGTCGGGTTGGGTCGGGCCGATAATTTTGGTCCTCGGGTTTCGGGCCAAAATCGGGTCGGGCCAAAAATTATTAATTACCGGATTTTTTATATTTTTTTAACTCCTATCTGTGTTTTTAATATTACTTGAAAATAACATATGGGAAAAAAATGTATTTATGTATATTATTTCATGTTCATAACTTATTTAAAGCTTAGAAGTTGCCTCAACTGCAAGAAAGAAGAAAATAATTTTTTTTATCAAGCCATTCTTTCCCATTTTCATAACTGTTGAAATATCTAAACAGCTATATTACAACAAGTTTGTAATGGAACTTAATATAAAAGGATCATAAACAAATCAATTAACCTTATCACAAGTTTAGGGCCTGTGGACTGGCTTCAAGACTGCAAGCAAGAAGAAAATAAAAATTCTATGTTTCCACCATGCAATATGAATAATTCATTCCCTGCCTCCTAACCTCCTAAGTACAAAAACCTCACACTTACAATAGCATTATTAGTTACATCATCATAAATAAAGAATTATCTATTATTGGCATTAGTAGGCCTACAGCTTTACATAGGAATTATTTTTTATAGGGCCTAAAATAGTAATAGACTAAGCAACATGGCAAGTGGAGAACTCATTGAAGAAAAGATATTGTGTAAACTAATTTACTATAAAACTCTAAAACAGTAAAAATAGCACACATACATTGTTTATGGTATAGTTATAGTAAAGACTGTAAAAATTGCATATCATGTCATAGGTACACAGTTATAGGTATTGCAAGAGATCCTAAAACAACTGATTTTAGCTAATAAATGAAAAGAATTAAAAATCCATAAACTCAAGTCAAACAATATCACAATTATTAGGTACCCAAAAAGGAACTCTTAATATATAGAAAATTATATTAAATCAAGAGGAAAGAAAGTTAAATGCTAATTTGGCAACATAAGCAGACAGCAGAGACATTATTGTGCCCTAATTAGCAACACAACTCAATGTTTTTATACTGTAAGTCAATGTTTTTGAAACCGTAGGGTCTTTTTCTCGGAAGGAAGGGTAGTAGAATGTAAACAAAAAACCATGAATCACTCTCACAGCCGGGGCCGGGGACACTCAAGGTTACAGACCCTCCACCTCCCCTCCCCTCCCCTCTTACACAACCCGAGCCAGGCCCCGGGACACTCAAGGTCATAGACCCTCCCCCTCCCCCGCCCCTATTACACCACCTGGTTGTTCCAATTGCTGACAAAATGCAAGTAACGAAACAAGGAAGTAGAGATAAAAGATATATTTTCTTTATTCAAAAATATAAAACTGTTACAGATAATTTATAAAGAAATTAATTCATGGTAGTTTGTGTCTTGTAAATATTGTATTGGATCTTAGAAATATCTTTTTTGAAACTCTATCTAACCTAAGAAAAAAATAATTTTACTGATGAAAACTTTCATAAAATAAAATTATAAAATATTTAGGCCTAACCTCTTTGTAGACTTGCTGATACTTGATACTTAAAAAAAAAATGAAATAGTGACCATACAATGCCTAACCAGACGATCAGAAGTGTTGTTTTGTTTTGTTACTGAATGACAAAAAGGACAATAGGAAAATAAAAGAACAAGATGCAGATCTGTACACTATATCAGATATTTCTTTTGTTTATAATTTATTATGTAAATAAAATACTAAAATATATTTTAAACTAGGTATGGAATAAACAATAAATAATTAAAATGGGACCTCTGGATAAATAGTCTTTCTTTTGACTTCGTTTTCTTTGCACTGTTGAGTCACGGCTTTTGTTATGTCAGTAGACAACTGGCTCTGGCTAGTGACAGTAAGGCAATTGCTCTGTTGTGTCTTTGTTCTTAAACGTGAGCAAACTTAATATTTAATTCTAATTTTAACATTTTAATTCCTCTGTAATAATATATATAAGAGTGTTTCTTTGAAAATTACTTATTATAACTTTGAAAATAATAATAATTTTTTTTGGCGACCCGATCTTGGCCCCGAACAAATCTCTGACCCGACCCCCGCTGGCCCGACCCGACCCGAAAAAATCGGGGACCCGCAGACCCCTATTATTTTGATGAGAAAGCACGGTCTATAGACTAACCTGACGGTGTTTCCGTGCTGAATCAGTTTGAGAACTTCTTCGACAGAATCCACAATCTTCTCTGTCAGCCCAACAATTTGCACAACGTTGTTTCCGTCTTCTAATACTCTTAGTTTTGACTTGTCCGCCAAAAGGTCGAATACCTGCAATATCCCAGATTTATAGACGTTATCCAATAATTTCTTCCATTTGAATCTTATAAGTATATTCTGCTTTGTTATATTATGTACAGACAAGTACGCTAGATAAATTTTGCTCAAAATATACAATTTGCACAAAGTTAACACACTAAAGGGAAAACACTTGTCTGAATCATGCCTAGAATGTAAAGGGTGTGCGAGTACTCAAATGCTCAAGTATTTTCAAGCAAGTATTTCAGTAGTACCTATTTTAAAAGCAATAATGTTAACAATTTGTGTCACATCCAAAACTGTTCAATAGACGATAACAAGTGTTACTATCCAAGAAAAAAACAATATCTTCAAATAACAAAGATTAGAATGCCTAACTAACTCATATTGATAAAAAACATGACTTTTAAGGAGGCACTAATACTTTTTTTTATAATTACACTTTTAACAGCTTATGTACTATAGAAAATATTTGATTCATTGATTTTGTAGACATCACTTTTTCCTGGATGAACTGCACAAAAATCACTGAAATGCACCTAGCTTCCCAATGTATATTTAAATTTAACAAAAGCTAACAGCAAAAGGCTACTTCGGTTACCACTTTGAACCTAGCAAAAACAAACAGTTTTTACCTTTCCACTGTAAATTTCAAAGAAGCTAGCGGAAACAACAAGGTTGAGAGGTTTATACTGAGGCGACTTTAGGAATTTGAACACGTCCTTCGCAGCCATAGCGTATATACCCTTCTTGCAATCCTGAGTCTTGCCGTTAAAATCACCTCCCATCGTATGCGTCTTCCCACTACCAGTTTGGCCGTAGGCGAAACATGTGGCCATTCCGCCATCGAATATCGTTTGGACTAGAGGTTTAGCGGTGAACCTGAAAAAAAGAATTGGGCAGTTAAACATTGTTAAGAAACATTGTTAAGATTGTGTAGAACTCTCTTATTTATCAAAAAACAATTGGATACAGAAGACAAAATCAGATTTACTACAGACGTATCTAGGGGTCCCTCAGGGTTCTATTTTGGGCCCTATTTTATTTATATGCTACATTAAAAACCTCCCAAATGCATTGACTGAGTCAGCCAGTATATTAAGTATATATGCTGATGATATAAATCTTAAAACTTCGGGTAGTTCAATTACTGATATTAAAAATTCTACTGAATTGGAGCTCAAAAATATTGAACAATTCTTAACAAACAACAATTTAACACTTAATACAAACAAGACAAATTTTGTTCTCTTTCATACAAATAAGATAAAAAAAGATCAAACCCCTAAAATTAATCTAAATAATAAGCCGATCAATCAAGTGAAATCAACTAAATTTTTAGGCTTGATAATTGATGAACATCTAAATTGGAATGAGCATATTACATATTTGGTTGGTAAAATTAATTCAGGCTTGTTTGTTTTGAGATCAATGGCTTATCTCTGTGATAAAGCTGTGTTAAAATTGACATACCACTCGCTTATAGAATGTCATATTGGCTACGGAATCGAAATTTATGGTGGGACAGCACAAAAAAATTTGAAAAAGGTTTTAAAACTGCAAAAACAGGCCATTAGAGTTATTGAAAAATTTAAGAATAAGAAGTCGGTGAAAAAGTACTTTAAAGAAATGAAAATTTTTACAGTGTACGGTTTGTATATTTTTAAAACTATTCGGCATGTTTATAAAGAAAAAAACATTGAAGTATCCCATAAATACAATACAAGGTGGAAAAATCATACTGTAAAAAGTCATCATCGTCTGAAACTTTCAAAAATGAAGCCTTCGTATATTGGCAATTTATTCATAAGAAGTTTGCCTGCCTTACTAAAAAAAGATCAAAACAAACCCAATTTTTTGAAAAAGCTAAAATCATTCTTAATTAATCTGGCTCCCTATAGTATAGATGAGTTTATAAATCAAAAATGAATTAGCTGTCCATTCTAAAATAATTGTCAAATTTATGGTTAAGCCATTTAGATTAAGTTTTATAACTAATGTTGTATGCTTTGACACTATTCATGTATATAAAATGTATAAAGTGAATAAAGATAATTTGATTTGATTTGATTTGATTTGAAGACTTGATCATTCCTGTCTGTTTGTGTTGCATGCTGTATCGGCTCAAACACTCAGCAACAGAAATGATCACAGGTGAAATTAAATCAAACGAAAATGTTTCTTTATGTGACCTTTTTTGGGTCCTTATGGTCCTTTTGTACAGTTAACCTCTAACTATATGTCAAGGATACATGAGAAAACACCTATATCACTTGAGGATCCATAATGGAGACAAGCATGAACTGTTGGCAGTCTGAGGAGACTACAGAATATTTGTTGATTGACGGCAAAATTTGAGGTACAGGAAATCACTCTTGGAACTGCCTCAAGATGATGAACTCAGCTCGAGGACAGGATTTGCAGTTTACATATGAAACTATTCCAATGTATTTGTACAACTTCTAAATTATTGCGATTACTTTATACTCTAATGTAGGCTACTTACTTATAAACTATTTCATTGGAGCAAGTATCATCAAACGCGTAATCAAATCGAAAGTGTTGGTTTTCAAGATATTTCGTTAGATCTACTTTGTTCCTCGGTTCGTGAACAATTATTTGGTCTCTGCTGGGCACTGAAATTACATCAACTTCCTTCCGAACCACTTCTGCAACAGATAAAAACAGAGGAGTTAAACTTAAGGGCTGGTTACACACAGGTGTCATTCCTCGGTTCGTGAATAATTATTTGGTCTCCGCTGGGCACTGAAATTACATCAACTTCCTTCTGAACCACTTCTGCAACAGATAAAACAGAGGAGTTAAACTTTAGGGCTGATTACACACAGGTGTCATTCCTCGGTTCGTGAATAATTATTTGGTCTCTGCTGGGCACTGAAATTACATCAACTTCCTTCTGAACCACTTCTGCAACAGATAAAACAGAGGAGTTAAACTTTAGGGCTGATTACACACAGGTGTCATTCCTCGGTTCGTGAATAATTATTTGGTCTCTGCTGGGCACTGAAATTATATCAACTTCCTTCTGAACCACTTCTGCAACAGATAAAACAGAGGAGTTAAACTTTAGGGCTGATTACACACAGGTGTCATTCCTCGGTTCGTGAATAATTATTTGGTCTCTGCTGGGCACTGAAATTACATCAACTTCCTTCCGAACCACTTCTGCAACAGATAAAACAGAGGAGTTAAACTTTAGGGCTGGTTACACACAGGTGTCATTCCTCGGTTCGTGAATAATTATTTGGTCTCTGCTGGGCACTGAAATTACATCAACTTTCTTCTGAACCACTTCTGCAACAGATAAAACAGAGGAGTTAAACTTTAGGGCTGATTACACACAGGTGTCATTCCTCGGTTCGTGAACAATTATTTGGTCTCTGCTGGGCACTGAAATTACATCAACTTCCTTCCGAACCACTTCTGCAACAGATAAAACAGAGGAGTTAAACTTTAGGGCTGGTTACACACAGGTGTCATTCCTTGGTTCGTGAACAATTATTTGGTCTCTGCTGGGCACTGAAATTACATCAACTTCCTTCCGAACCACTTCTGCAACAGATAAAACAGAGGAGTTAAACTTTAGGGCTGGTTACACACAGGTGTCGTTCCTTGGTTCGTGAACAATTATTTGGTCTCTGCTGGGCACTGAAATTACATCAACTTCCTTCCGAACCACTTCTGCAACAGATAAAACAGATGAGTTAAACTTTAGGGCTGGTTACACACAGGTGTCGTTCCTTGGTTCGTGAACAATTATTTGGTCTCTGCTGGGCACTGAAATTACATCAACTTCCTTCCGAACCACTTCTGCAACAGATAAAACAGAGGAGTTAAACTTTAGGGCTGGTTACACACAGGTGTCATTCCTCGGTTCGTGAACAATTATTTGGTCTCTGCTGGGCACTGAAATTACATCAACTTCCTTCCGAACCACTTCTGCAACAGATAAAACAGAGGAGTTAAACTTTAGGGCTGGTTACACACAGGTGTCGTTCCTTGGTTCGTGAACAATTATTTGGTCTCTGCTGGGCACTGAAATTACATCAACTTCCTTCCGAACCACTTCTGCAACAGATAAAACAGAGGAGTTAAACTTTAGGGCTGGTTACACACAGGTGTCGCAGACATCATGTAGTAAGGTACAAGTTCTATCCATTAAACAGAAAAACATAAACGTTTTCTGAACCTTATGCTTTTTGCATGTTTGAGACATTTATCCTACGATACTGAGTCAATTGAGTAATTATTATTTTAATTTGCTGACCGTGCAGGGTTTTAAATATGTTTGACCCATTCTCAATGCAAATGTGGAGTTAGCAAGCCAGTTTGCTACGACCCAACATCTGAACCAACTGAGCCAACAATAGATGAGTAGAAGAGGTTTTAAGAATATTTCAGAATTAAACTAAACACAATGATCAATTAACCACTCAAAACATGTTTTGTCAATGGCTGAATAACCTTGTGTGCATGCGCCAGGCCACGTACAACCAACCGGTCTTGCGACACACAGATTATTTCTTGGACATGCGTCACAAGCAGTGTGTAAGCTCTGGTTTTATAACATAAGTTTAGTTTCACCTGCAGAATGCCTCGGACACGTAAGATATCGTAGACTATATGTATAGCCAGCCTTACAAAGTTTTCCATCCACAATATTACCATATGTCACTACAGCAATAAGTGGAGTTTTGACAACCCAACCTAAAAAGGCTGCAGCAAGATCAATAAAAGCAATACAGTAACACAAAAAAAAACTATGAAAAACATTTTAAAGAAAAAAAATGTTTTGGAACAAATGATTTGAATAACTCAACAATTAAAATATTTCTATGAGGCATTAAAGAGTGAACCAAGCAATTAAAGTACAAACCTTTCTTGTTGAGAGGTCGTTTTCTTACACAAACTGTAATTTGATGATCTTCTACTGGGTCGGTATCTTTGATAGGTCGGAAATCTATATTGGCTCGGTAATTTCTGAAAAAAAAAAAACATATTAGATTAAAAATGTCATTAATATTGAATAATTTTTACCTCAAGGCCATTTTTTGGTTAGGCACAAATCAGAAGGAAGGCTTTCTACTATTTATATAATATCCATTATCGGCAAATTCAAACATTTCAAAATATTTTTCAACTGGCACAGTACCCGTCCTTCGTACGGGTTGGTGTATAAGTATAAAATGCTTATTGCAGTTACACTCGTGCTTTGCGTTTGCAATGGGAGAGGACACGGTTTAAGAAAATTTGGTTCTTTTAATTTGCGGTATGCTATAGTATAGCACATCTACTATAGACATAATGGTTTACCACTGACCCTAAACAATAAGAAAAGTGAAATTCTCATTTTTCACAGCTTTTTGTTGCTAGTTGGTTGGTAAACCTTATAACATTTTAATGCTATTTAATATCATAGAACCAACTAGTGTAGTTGAAACAGCTGCCAAAATTATTTTATTCCTTTTAAATATGTATACTCATAAGGTTAACATGGGAAACTCCAGAGCCACTGGGGCGGGCCCGAAAGGATTTTTGAGATAAGAATGTGTCTATATGTTAAATAGGAATGAGAGCTATCATCATGACACCAAATTTCAGCCTAATCCAACCAGTATTTTTCGCGTTTACTTGTCACAAACATCCATCATTCATCCATCCATACATCCAAACTTTCTCACTCATAATATTAGTAGGATAGGATATTTTTGTTGTTAACAGGCTGCCAAACATTAAATTATTGTGAAAATATAAAGGAAAAAATAAAAATGCCACATTTTAGATACTGGTATTTTAAATTGGAAACAAATTGAAAAATAAAATACTAGGCTACATGATCCCAACAGCTAACACTGAAACATAAAATAATTTTACATGAACGTGTGTATTCAACATGTGATATATAAATAATTTAAATGATTAAAAAAAAATTAAGGGCAGACAGTAAATGAACAGTGGTTATGTCAGATTTAGGTACATTGTGTAAACTGTTTCAACAGTTTTTTGATACTGAATATCGACAAAATAAGAGTGTGCAACATAGTAACTTTTACCTAATCATTCCCAGGAATTCCCAGTTGGGGTTTCCCGGATCAATGTTCATCAATGCTTCTTTTTCTTCCTTCAGTTCCGCTTGTCTCTGGCGCCTCTCTTCTCTATTCTTCTTCAGCTTTTCTACCTAACAACACGATGAAAAAGATTGAAAATACACCCCTCTGAATTGAAACCCATGTAAGATCCACAAAGAGATTGTCTCTGGAAAGTATTCCAACTCGATTTGACAAAACAATCGTGAAGTTAATGCTTTCCTTAGGATGCCAGTTCAATACTAAGATAGGTTTGAAAACATTTGAAGATTATTCCAGTTAAGATTAAATGAATAATTTTACATTTGACCAAATCTTAAGACGGTGACAGAAAAGTAATTCTAATAGTCATCCAATCCACTCATCTTCGTCTAAAACTTGGAATATTTTGGCGTCATTAATCAAATAGGTATTATCAGCAAGCAAAAAACACTGAAAATTTGATACAACCACTATGTTGTTCATCGGACTGTTATTTATCACATTTGCAATATGGCCAGCCAATGCGATGTGTACATGAATATAAGAAAATGTTTACATTCTGTTCCATCCAACAGACGAGCAGGAGAATAGCTAAACTGTGAGTGTTCAGGGTGTCTACTACATTCTGGATAAAAAATTCATGGACAATTCCCGTACATTTAAGGACACTTTGCCTTAACCTTTGTCGGTGTCATTAGGCCTACCGAATAATTTTCCTGATTTGTCAAACTGTATTAATCTTGTTATTCACTGCATTTGTACCAGAGAGAAAAGTAAATAATAATAGATAAGAGTTAAAAATTACAAAATAGTAATTTATTGAAAGAAAACCAACATAGGCCTACCTATACTTTAGGTAGGCCTAAAGCTTTTATAGTGTAACAGAGAAACGCAATCATTGTCTCCTGCGATAGCGACAAATATCTCCATCGGTCACGTAAACTTCATAACATAGCTTATTCGATACAGGCCGATTAATTTGGCATGATTCGCCCTGGCACAACGTTTTCCTTGACTACTTTTGAAAAAAAAAAATCTTTAATGCATATTGTTACTCAATTCTTAGTACAAAATCAAGATATGGTAAGCGGCTATTAATAAGCAATAAGCACAGAGTAAGATTATTGTATTTTCATTTGCAAAGTTAATATCCACACATAGCAATCATTAGTTGTTTATCTAGGCTCAATTACATTTTCTTAATATATTTTACAGCTCTTTCCTTATTGTCTGGAATACTAGTGTTAATATAGGTTTGATGACCAATGAAAATTAAGAACAAAATATATTGTGATTAAATTAGTTTGAATTTGGCTAGGCCTAGTTATAATTGGAATGTTAGGTTACGATTGGACTTTTATGTACAGAAGTGATTTCATGGCCAGTAAAAATTTGACTGGGTTTGAAATTGTTAATAGGATTTTTATTGCATATTACTCTAGTAATAAATTATGAAAATGTAATCCATCAAGGAGCCTATTTAAACACGTGTAAATACCTGATCAAAATGCCCAGGCCTAGACCTAATTATTTAGGAGGGCCTATATAAACTGAGTTTAACAAACAATGAGGTTATAATAGCAGCAAAGTCACTATCATCATTCTAGTTCAAAAGATTTAGATTGCTTAAAGCATACAACTCAATAAATAAATACGAGAGCACGCCCCGTGGTCGAAAAATCGACCAAAAGTATGTTTTGTGCAATCTTCTCTATTTTCACCCCACATTGTAAATAAAACATGTGATTGGAATGTCTTCCATTTGTTTTGATTTTCTGTTTATATTTTGTTGTTATTTCGTCATCACCATAGCAACCCATAAGACCCATGTTAATTTTTTTAAATTTCAAGTTCATTTTTTGTGCTTATTTTTGAGCCTATTTTAATTTATAAAGGGATTCTGCACACCTACAGGAAAATAGCTTTCTAACGGTATGCGTAGATTTTCCCTACGATACACACGAGCTGAGAAAAAAGGTTTTAAAGAAACATGCTTGCCTATTAATATATAGATAGATATGGGAAACAAAAAACATTGAAACCTGAATAGCCAACAATATAAGACAAAGATACAGAAAATGCAATGACATAATTTGAAACCAAGCAGGCCTACATAGTGATAAAACATTAATGCAAACAACAATGCTTGTGGTTTTGTCAATTGAAAGATAAAATGTCCATAAAAAAGGGGTTAACTTACAAAATAAGACTGTAGATTATTTACATGTTTAATATGAAACCATAAACAGTTTTATGGCACTAGGCACTGGCCGCGGCAAATTGAATCTTCAAGCCGAAAGTACAAGTAAGAAGTAAAATTTAACAGCCATTATAAAGCTATTATTTTTACGATAAAATAGGTTTGGGATCTAATAATAATTACCCTAGTAATAAAAAAAGAAGTTCTAAAGGAATAAAAGTGATACAACTTTTATGAGCTAGCTGCTGAGTCAACAGTTCTTGGAAGTACTTGACTTGACACTTGATTGTCGTGATAAAATATTAATGGGTTTGAGATTGTTAATGGGATTTTTATTGCATAATTACTCTAGTAATAAATTATGAAAATGTAAACAAACATCTGATAAACCTTTTATGTGCTCATAACCAACTAGCGATCAATAAAATTATGGCCCATTAAAAATTTAAGGACATAGTCTGGCATTTAAGGACAATTCCCGTACATTTCATGGCCAGTAAAAATTTAAGTACAATTCCCGGTTTTCCCGGATTTCCCGGTTGGTAGACACCCTGGTGTTAGGGGTACAGTAGATAACAGGCCCTCAGCACTGCCAAATGTAGGGACAATGTTGGGAAAGACCCAGACACACAAACAATACAGTGAACTCGGAATGAACGACACATTGTGGTTATATAGGTCTAGTACTTTGCGTTGCTTGAGAACTTCTCCTAAAACTAACATCACATAGACCAAAGTAACTTGGTATAGTAGATTAGCACGATACAGGATGATTAACAGTCAACACGTTAATGTAGTCAGCAAATTGCAAACCGACTACTGTCAGTGAACAGCGTGGAACATATCAGTGTAATTTTTAAATCTTTATTTATGCCCAGGCCTACTGTAATTTACTACTAAATCATTACGTTCCAGTTGCAAGTTCCATTAACAGTTTAGTGTGTCCTACCTCTTTGACGACATTGCTCTGGCGACTAGTAGCCTTCCGTGCGGCGGCCGCAGCAGCTGCGTTGTTGGCTGCGTTATTAGCCGCAGTGTTGTTCGGGGCCATGTTGTTGGTAAAGCGGGTAGCCGTCGCTACAGGGATGGTTGGAGTGGGGGGAACGCTCTGCACCTCTGACGCCAAATGGCCATTCACACTGTTGCTGTTAATAGTCGTCGGACGGGATTGAACCTTATTTGATCTATAGGAACCTGAAAAACGCAAATTAATTGTAATTGTATACCAAAGGTAAAATTGCGAGAAAGAAATTCCGTATATATAATTGCAGCTTCAAAATAACACATCTATAAATTCAAATGAAACAGCTTATGCCTAAAAGAGGACAAAATAACACTGTAGGCTCTTAGCTTATGACACGGTTTGTCACAGCAAGGAAATAACTGAGAATACGATTACATATGACTCGCCTAACTTGAATAGATGAGTGGTTACAGTTAACAGGCAGAACGAGTCATGCAACTCATAATGTGTCCATCGTGGAAATTATAAAAATATCTATTAAACCCTGAACAGCTTGTGTGAAATGGCTTCAAAACAAGTTTGGATGAATATACCCCGGGTGCGGCAAAAGTCAGTATACCGCTGCAGGCCGGTGAGCGTCATTGTTTATCTCTCGTGCTATTATTATCTCAGTGTTATTCCTTATCTAATCTGACGTCTAGTGGTTGATTTTGTCTTTGTTTATTCTTTATCGATGAATGTTTGTTTTGTTAGTATGCCACTAGTGACAGTGAAGTTAAGTTGGTGAGTGTAGTGCTTGTATTATTAACTTCTATTATTGGTGTTTTTAATCATGAATCGTAAACTAACTTTAGAGCAACGAGTTTTTCTTTTGAAAAATTGGTGGAAATTCGATCGTGATTATACGGATGTTATTGCAGCATTTGAACAACAGTTTCCTGGAGCTCAACCTCCTATACGTCAAGCAATTTATAAATTAAACAAGAAGTTTGAACAGACAGGTTCAGTGAATGATTTACCGCGAAGTGGTCGCCCATTTTTAAATGATAACTTCGATGAATGGATAGGACGTAGAGGAACTATTGAGTGGCCTGCTAGGTCCCCAGACCTAACTCCGTGCGATTTCAGTATGTGGGGTTTGTTAAACGAACACGTGTTTTCGGAGAAACCTCAAAGTTTAGAACATTTAAAAGAATTAATAACAAAACATTTTGATGTTTTATTCACACCACAACTATGCAACAAAATCTGTAAGTCAGTGTTGAAAAGGTGCTACAAGTGTATAGACAATGATGGTGGTCACTTTGAGCAGCATCTCTAACAGGTACATTAAAATTATACTTTTATAGTTATGTTTAATGCTGGCTACAGTTTAACTGCTTTTTCGGTATACTGACTTTTGCCGCACCCTGTATTTTTTTTTGGTTGAGAAAAAAACATTATTACAATTGGCATAAACCTGTTTAAAGGGGTTTCATGTTAAAAATAATTATTGATTAACAAAACTAAAAACCTCTTTTAGCTAACAGACAACTATTGAGCTAGCTTTTAACTAGCAACATTTTATTTGAATAAAAACCACGAATCTAGTTTAATTTTATATCACTGTAATTAAATGCTGTTCTCATTTCAACAATTAAATACTGTAGTTGTTTCTGAGAAGAGCTAGGTGCAAACCACATTATAAACACAATCCTAACCTCATTCTACAAAACTGTATTAATGCACTAAAACTAAGCTATATTTACCTTTGTTGTTTACAATGGGAATTGAAGCTTTGGTTGAGTACTGAAACAGAAGAGATTGATTTCTTCGTTTAAAATCATGTAAACTTGCCATTTAAAATTGTTGCCAAAATATTTATGTTTCATATCATTTTCATGACACAAACAGCTAAAAGCTGAAGCTACTAAAAACATATGGTTTGAATTCACATTCAGCATCTAAAAAGGTAAACTACATATGACTAACAAGGGATTTTCAAGCAAACATTAATAATTTACACAATCATCTTTGATTTTCAATACTGTACTAGCCTATGTTGTCTCAAATAGTTATATTTTATACATTTTATCAGATTTTTATATTTTGTCTGATTTTTAAATACTGTGACTTCAGTTGTGATAGCCTACACTACATAAAAAGACAAATATTTATTTATTGTAATTTTTAAACCAGTTGTAGAAAAAACTCAAAAATTACCTCAAAATGTCATTTTTTTACAAAGTTGAGCTTTATTAAACTACTTTTTAATCTTTTGACGAACACAACAGTTTTCGGAATGATAATTCTTTTATAAAAAATTGCATTATTAAACCTTACCTGAATTCATTAGATAAAAATATCATCAAAATAAATTAAATAGGCATATACAAATATTTTGACACAATAGTTACCAAAACATAAGATTTCCAAATTTTCACCATCAGAAAATGATGCTATCCATAACTTTAACTACAAAACCAGTCTATCCCTGATACATCATGAATCCATTCTACATACTAGCCTACTAGTTTATTCATGCACTTCCTAAACTGAAATGTATTTACAATAGTAACATAATGACCAATGCAGGAAGTGAACCATATTTACAGTGGTTGTCTGGGAATCGTGATATCGTCTACTTTCATATATACACATATTTGTAAGAGTTAACAGAAACATTCGAGATGCGCAGGGCCAAACGCCAAACAGAAACAAAAACACAACAGCCAACACCATACGCAGATCAATCTAAAAACAGACAATTTATATAGAGGTAGGTAAGGTTTGGTTTGTGTGATACTCTCTCTGTGTATTGAATCTTTAAATATGAAGTTGGCAGCAGCTTTCAAACATGCATTTGCCTTAATTAACAATTTTTTTTAGAGGTTGGCAACCTCTTTTAAACCTTGCATTTGCCCGTCCAGATAGACTACAGATCTGTGCGTGGAACGTATCTGCAAAGCAAGGGGTGAGCCGGTACAATACGAAGGTGAACTGTACTGATAAAATGTTTGCGGCAGTGACTGGATCCGAACCCACGACATCGCTACCTTGGGCCCGAAGTCCTTGACGCACCATTAGGTTAGGTTAAAATAATTATGTTTTTAAAAATAATACCTAGAAATGAAATCAAAATACTTTCTCAATTCAGTGCACAATCAGGCATTTTTGGTCTGTCACAGCAAGAAAAAAACTGAGAAATTTATTACAGATGACTTGCCTCACCTAACGATAAGTACAGATCAGTTGTAGGCAGTTTCCAAAGTTGAATTGAACTACCAACAATGTGTGCTGATGTTAGTTGCTGAGTTATGCCAAAAACAACTATTATGAATCAATTGCCTTTTGGAAACTCGAGCCCGCTACAGAACGGAATCCACCGTGATGCAAGTCTTAAAAACCGTACAGCTACAGAGAGAGTAACCGTCATGAGAAGGTCGGGCGGTCATGCCATGCTGGGAGGGAGAGGGAAAGTCAAAGAGGGATTTACCGGGCGGGAGGGCAAGGTGGTGCGGATGGGCAAAGTAGCGGTAGACGGCTGTCTCTGTGCCGTCCCTTCATCTTCAACATCGCTCGTCTCTTCTTCTTCCTCCTCGCTAGAGCCCTGTGGAGTGTTAGTGTGTTAGTTCACTACTTAAGGTGAAGGTGAGAGTTATTTAACATAGTAGAATAAATTATACTATTATTGACATTGGAAATAGATTACTGAGAGTTCACTATTATTTTAACGTTGTCTGAACTGTGTGAACAAGCAAATTAAATAATTATCCAATTGATCGGGTCTTTCTATTAACAGAGAGTATGACTAAAAAATAAGTACCAAGGTAATAGTTTACTGAGAATGCTATATATTTTTTGTAACGTTAACTGAACTGTTAGAACACGTGAGAGAAATATCACTGTTCGTGTCATCCTATTACAGCAATGGTCTTATAGGTACTGGATGTGGAAGTAATAGGTGGCAAAAATAATAACAGTATTTTTTCACTTATTACTGAAAAGCTAAGAAACGTTCCTAACTGTTATTGCAAAGTAACAGTATTTACCATCTATATTTAATAAGCTACAAAACTGATAAGAGCTAACTTTGCTTACTTAACGGCATTTATCCCTTTCAGTATTTAGCCAAATATAAAATTTAATATTTATAATTTTGTTCAATAAGGTGATGTGAACGTGAACATTTTGTATAATGTTAGCAACTTTTAAACTTGCATTTGCCATCCTCATAGGTCTCAGGCGTGTGCGTAAAAAAATATCAAGACAAAGGGTGAAAAATAAAAGAATTAACTGTATGGATAGATATTGGTGACCAAATCAGGACGTAACCCATGACTTAATTGCCTTAAATCTAGTACATAACCAAATGCTTGGCGCAAATAGGACTGTCCAATTTTTTTACTTTCGTTCAGAGGAAAAAAGAGTAAGCGATACAAACTTTCTACAATACAATAAAATTCAACACCAGTTTTTATCAAACGCATGCATTCTGAATTTAACAAGCTGTTAGGTCTAAAAATACTCAAAAGTCTTCAAATATGTTAGTTTTTTCAAACCTATCAAACCAAATGAAAAAAACCACACAAAATTCCATAATACTCACAACTTTATTATGATATGAAAGCGTTCCGACTTCCTTCTAAAAAATTATACTTTTTTAATAATTTTAATTTTTGAATTCAGTACTTAGGTAAAGGAGAAAGGGAAAACCATTAATTTTAATCCAGGCAACTCAAAAATAAATTTAAAATATTGCATCTTCAACAAATAATTAGGTTCCAGAGGAATCTGAATCCTAAAAATGTACAGGATGATCTTGTCAAAGATAAAGTTTTATTTTTGAATGGTCTCTTAACTATACACATTGAGAAAAACCAGTTACAATTATCATGTTATAATACATTTTGAGCTGGGGTTTTAATAAACTCATTAAAAATACTAGAAATAAAACAAATAAGTGAAAATACTAATTATGAAACAAATTTTGATTGGCTTGATTATGTAAAAGAAAAAAAAATAGTAAACAAATTGTAGAAGGACTCATTTGACTTCTAGTAACTCCTAAGTGAGTAAAACTAACTCAACTTTAACCTCATTATACAGGGTGTTGAAAATGTCTGGAACCAACATTATATCTGGTGAATGGTTAAAGAAAAACAACTGATATTTTGTGTACGGATATACTATGGTTTTACCTATCTTTTGGTGCCTTATGACATTTTTTACCACTTATAGGGAACGTCCTGTGGAGGATGCAGTAAAAAGTTTTAATGGAAGCCTATGGTAAATGATACATCATTTTAAAGGCCATTTTTTTCTGAGTAAAGAGCCGCAAGTTTCATCTCAAAAGGACCACCCTAGCGAAAATGGCGACTGTTTGAAATTTAAAAAACCCACTTATAGGGAACGTCCTGTGGAGGATGCGGTAAAAGGTTTTAATGGAAGCCTATGGTAAATGATACATCATTTTAAAGGCCATTTTGTTCTGAGTAAGGAGCCGCAAGTTTCATCTCAAAAGGTCCACCCCAGCGAAAATGGCGACTGTTTGAAATTTAAAAACATTGCTATTTAAATGGTCCGTATTTGTTTCCTTTAAATGCTATTAATTACAAGCCAGTTACGAAGTACAGTAGTTTATCACGTGATAAACTGTAAAATGACTGAAAAAAAAAACATTTAACTAAATTGTTTGTGTTGTTTTACTAAACTTATTTTTAACAGAAATACCAATTAAGCTTTCAATTATTTTCAAAAACTTCAAACAGTCACCATTTTCGCTAGGGAGGACCTTTTGAGATGAAACTTGCGGCTCCTTACTCAGAAAAAAATGGCCTTTAAAATGATGTATCATTTACCATAGGCTTTCATTAAAACTTTTTACTGCATCCTCCACAGGACGTTCCCTATAAGTGGGTTTTTAAATTTCAAACAGTCGCCATTTTTGCTAGGGTGGTCCTTTTGAGATAAAACTTGCGGCTCCTTACTCAGAAAAAAATGGCCTTTAAAATGATGTATCATTTACCATAGGCTTCCATTAAAAATTTTTACTGCATCCTCCACAGGACGTTCCCTATAAGTGGTAAAAAATTTCATAAGGCACCAAAAGATAGGTAAAACCATAGTATATCCGTACACAAAATATCAGTTGTTTTTCTTTAACCACTCACCAGATATAATGTTGGTTCCAGACATTTTCAACACCCTGTATTTTAACAGTTTAACCTAACACAAAAGTTAAATATAGGTTGATTGCCTTCATTTGTTAAAAGAGCAAATCCACAGCAAACTCTGGTAAATTTGTGCTTGGTATCCAACAGCATGTGTGCCAAAATAGCAATTTCCTAACTTAAACAAAACCTCAAACTAAACCGTGTTGAAATTAAATTAAAATAGTTATTTGTGTAACTAGTGGGCAAAGTGGCACTTTGCTGCACACGAGAGAGGCGAGTGCGGAATGATCTCGAGTGCAGCAAAGGCCTTTTGCACTCAAGCTACACATTATATTTTTCCTACAGTCACTATAACGCATATAAATAATTAGTCTTTCAAACACTATACAACACGTTTTTAGGTTCAGCTGGCAACACAAATAGGTGCCCGAGAGAAAGTAGTACCTGGTCCGTATCACTCCGCTATTTTTCCTCGGCAAGAAATGTGCTCCGCGACTTGAGAATATAGTTCCGTATGTTTTTGTAATTTGAAGTGGTTTCCGCGCCTAAAAAAAATGCTTTAAAGGTATTTTCTTGTTTATTAAGATCGTAGGAATGTTTTAAAAACGTTTAAAAGAAAAGTCCAGAAAGTTCAGAAATACTGAAACTATAAACACGAAATGATAGGAAAATTGTAGTTACAATAGTCAATCAGCTGCTCATAGTATTATTATCTTTAAGTGTTGCCAACCTATTTCCAAACGTACATGGATTACGTGCATAACAGAACCACCCTGTTTTGTGTTGTTTCGTTGGAATCCTGATGTGCGCCAAAGTATAAACCGTTGACAAAGTATAAATATGCAGCAATTAGCAGCTTTCTGTACTATAAACAGTACAAGGAAGCCAACTTTGTCGGATGACTGTAGGAAAAATGAATTTGTTAATGAAGTTGATTTTAATGTGACAGGCAGCTAATGTTGGTTACCTCTATGGCGTTAAAACTTTGCAATAGTTAATATTGTGTGAGTAGCTACCGTGTCCAAAGCTGAGTTAATAGTAGGGTTTGGGGCGTTTCCACTCACCCGAGCCAATGGGTATCCTTGGTTGTTAGGTACGGCGTTCTGGTTGTTGTAGTTTCCGGCAGCCAGGTGTAAGTTTAATGCAAGAATGGCTTCAATCTCGATCTAAAATTAAATAAAGAAAAATAATATTACTAAAATTCATTATGTAGTCCATGAACTGTTAAGATTAGACTATATTATAAGGTACGTTAGAGGTTACATGCACACTACACATAAACACATAGTATTAGTTCACTTAAACAGTTCAACGTTGTAGTTGGACTCACAAAATGTTTTGCCTATTCAGGCATTGTCAAGTGATATCCTTTACAAGAATGCTCCTCCGTCCGTGCCACAACTGGTTAAAAGTAGACTAACTTTAAGAATTTAAATGTTTTTACGCCATACTACACTATTTTGTTGAACTTCCCATGCAAGGTTTAGTCCAGAAAATGAACTACTACTGTACTGTAATGAGTTTTACCGGACAACAAACAGCTAATTATACTGTATTTGGCAATGAGTGGTTATAAACAAAAACATAACCTCTCTTATAGGTTATGATTAGTGATTGTTAGTCTTTTAGTCGGTGGTAATATACAAGGATTTGTACAGATTTAGTAGTATGGCGTAAAATATCGTACGTCACTTGTCCAAAATGTGTTTGCCGGACTCGTATGGTAATCCCATGCTTGTCTTTGTCTCGCACGGGAACGACCACACTCGTCCGGTAAACACCTATTTTCTGGACTAGTAACGTAATATACTATTTTTTGTGTGTATATTCTTGTAAAGGACATCACTTCTATAATATTTAGCAGCAAAATTATTTTCAAGAGAGAAAATAAAACAAAGCATAGAGTTCATAAATTCCAGATTTTTGTTGTTTGCTATGTTATGGCTACAGGATGGCAATTTCTTCAACCAAGGAAACTTTATTGATAGTACAGGTAAACACAAGGTTATATCCACGTTCAACCTATGATGACTTATCATTACTATCTTGCTCTGATTGCTTCAATGACTCAACCACTCCCCCGCTTTTTCACAACACTTTCCCGCAATTTCCCACCTCAATCAGCCGTGGCAATGAAAATAACAGTCACAATGGTAGGAGGGAAGTTATTGGGCTATTGGCTCCTAACTGCAGTTAAGCTCATTACTCTATTGTCTGCTTGTTCGCGCAGAACACTATTTTGCGATTTACAATTTGGATTTATGACTCTGCCTCAAAAGATTATAAAAAAACACAACTAAATGATTTGGAATTTTTTTTTAATTTCAAATATTTTATGAGTAATTAATTTTTTACAGAAATTAATAGACCTGTTTGTGATTTGTATAAACCTAATTAGAAAGATTTGCTCATTTAACACAAACTCTACAAATCTGATCAAAATTACTTTAAATAACTGACATTTGCAGACTTGTATACCTGAAATCATTAATGCAGATTAAAATTATAAGGACTTTTCATGCATTATAAGACGAGATAGCACAAAAGGTTGAAAGTTAACTCATGAGAAAACTTGAGGTTAAAGAGAGGACATGAAAAATGAATTTCTGCTCCAAGAAAGGTCTTTAAAAGAAACTTTCGTACCCAAAAGTGAAATTTTTAAGAACTTGTGATCACAGGAATGACTTTAAAAAACTTACATCGAAGGTAGGAAATTTGTTAGAAGAAATTGGAGTTCAAAGAGCAGACTTTAGTAGAAACTTCAAATCAAAAGATTGACTTTTGGATGAACTTGAAATTAAAGGGTAATATTTGACAAAACTTAATATTAAGGGTGGATGTTGAGAGAAGTTCAATACCAAACAAAAGCAGGATATGAATAAACCTGAAGTTATTGAAGAGTGAACTTATGGAGAAAATTTAGATTAAATGGTGGACTTTTTTAGAAACATAAGGCCATTAAGTATCAATTTTGTAGAAAATTAAGATCAAAGGTAGGACGTTTGAAGAAACTTAAGATCAAAATAGACCTTTTGGAAAAATTGAATTAAATATGGAGTTTAAGAGAAACTTTAGTTCCAGGCATGGCATTTTTAAGTAACTTCATGTCCACTAGAGGACTTTGAGAAAAACATAGGATCAGCAAGCGGAATTTTTGAGATCTTTGAGGTCCAAGAAATTACTAAGGAGAACATTGAAGGTAGTAATTAGTCTGAACAACTATGAGTCCCAACAATGGAAAACTTGTACGAATATTCAGATTCAAAAATTAATTTTGATTGAGAACTTTTAAATCAAACTAGGGTTTAAAAGATTGATTCCAGGATTACTTATTTTACAAAATCTATTATAGTGTTTTAGGAAACTTTGATCAAGTGCACATTTTCATAGCTATTAAAAACAGATTTTTGATTTATTTTTTCCAAAGAACTATTTATGCATTGTTTTAGCGAATTTCCCTATAGGGAAGTAGCTATTACCGTAGGTCTCATGGTAAGACCTAGGCCCGGGACCCATTTACTTTTTCATTTTGATGTCCCCAGAGGCCAAAAACACCATTCGTTCAAATTTTTATATATCTATATATAGATATATATATATATGTGTCCATCCGCACGATAACTTGAGTAATTTTTGTCCGATTTTGATAAAATTTGGTTTGAAGGTGTAAGGCGGGATAAACTTGAACGAGTTCGCGAACCAGCATGATCGGACTATGGGAACAGGGGTTTATAGGGGGGTTTTATGGGGTAAAAATAGGTTTTTCCCATTTTTGACCCTAAAAACACACAATTTCACAATTTCTTTTTAAACCATTTTGTAGAGCTTAAAAAAACAAATAATTTAGTATATTGAAGCGTTATTATGCGGCTAATTGTTACGGAGAAAATTCAAAAAAATTGTAATTTTAAAATTCCCATGTTATTCTTATGGAGAATAAGTCAACTGTTGTAGTTTGCTTGTTTATGAACATATTTTGATCATATTTGGAAAATACATTAATTTCTTACTAAACCACAGTACCTTTTAACATTTTACATTAAAAAAAACTTTTTTACCCTCCCTGTTGCAGCAAACCTAAGTACTCATTAAACTAATTCTGTTTAAAAAGGGAATAAATGTGATATTTTTAAGGAGTCATTTTAGTTTAAATCCAATCAGGAAAATGGAAATTCGCTAAGTCTGCAGGTTTGCTGCGGCGGGGGTATTTACCAGTAGTTTAGTCATCTATGGCTGGGCGGTAAAATGGATGATTTGTTCACCTTGTCACTCAGTGCCCAGTTTCATCTTGGGAAAAGTCAGTAGTTTTAATTAAAAACTTGACTCAGATATCCTTGATCATTTGACATTTAATAAATGGTCCTGAATAAAGAGCCAGCAGATACCAGTAATCAGCAAAGCTATTTGAAACTACTCCTTCAGCCATCTTCGTCTTAAAACACACATCCAATGTATAATCTAATCTAAAATCTAATGTCAAATTACCTCTTTGCCCTTGGTTTCTCCATGCTCGAACCATTCGACAGTAACACATCGTGTGGCCTGGTTGACTCCAGAGACAACTGCAGGATGCACCCTTCCTGTAACAAGGAACAACATAATGCTCATCAAATCTATTTAGCACAGTAGAGATAGTAAGAATCTCAGAGTGTGAGACACATTGCACACGGTAAGATACAAAAAGAATTGTCAGGTTTCAGTTGCAAATAGTGCTTACGTTTTTGTATAGACTCTCAGTCTGAAGATCTAGATTATCCTTCCAGGATTTGTAAATGGTTCACTCTAACTCTCATTGTTAACCTTGTTTGATTTTTCTCATATTGGTGATCCTGGACACCTGGTTTATCACGGACACCGCTGATATTAACTAAATACACAAGACATTCTATCCTTATAGGCTGACAGTTATAAGAAAGGTGGTGTACAAAATTAACCTAAACTTGTCCAACAATCATAGTCATAGAATTTATTGTTATTTCAATGAAAAATACCATGGTGCCTGTGTTCCATATAGTTGCTAGATCTACTAGGTATTCAAAGTCAATGGTATAATCCTTCAATGATCCAACAGGTTCTAATTCCTCAGGTTAAATTCAATAAGGACCTAGAACTCAAAAACGGATTGAGCTAAAACGGATTGTAAGGCTCAAAAACTACCCTTTAAAAACCTTAACTTTTGGGAAACTAGGCTGGGTATTCAACTAGGCTGAGCGTGTCTATGCTCACATGGCTCAATCCGTTTCCGAACGTTCAATTTTAGCTTGATCTAGGATACTTCTTAATCCTACCATACAGCAAAGCTTACAACTCCAGCTGACAAATAGCTGAGACCCCCCTGATTCAACCCTTCTGATTGCTTGAGAGATTTTTTCCCAAAATCCCCTAGTAATTCCCATACTGTAGCTATTAAAACTACTGAAGAAAAAAAATCAACTTCACTCCACTTTTAAGCAGTATAAATGAACGTTTGAGGAGCAATTAACCGGATAGTTTAAGTGTGGAAAGTGAAATGATCTTTACTCTCTACATGAGACAATGCTAACCGTGTGAACCTAGTACAAAGTGCATTAATCAGCTGGGATCTGGGCCAATGTAACACACATCAGCTGATCTCTCCAACACTCTGATTAGTGGAGGGAGATTTCCAGTGCAGGAAAACAGCTGTTTTCAATACATACATTGCAGCGGATCATTGATAAACTGAAGTCAATAACATAAGCTATTCAACGCCCTTACTTAACATTATTTGTCAGATTTTGATATAGAAAATAATCAAGTTATTTACCAATACTATATTAGCAGGTATTGTTAAGACAATAATCCCACAAAGACAATTTTCTGTTAATTCACTACCACTGATTTTTTATTGCAATTCCTTTAATTCAACACCAGAATTTAGTCCTATAAGTTCTAATGATGAGATAAGCTAACATGTTTGAGAAAACCGTCTTTTCGTTTCATAGATAGATATTCCAACGGGCGGATTAAAAACAAAAGGTTGTGGAAGCTACTCAGAAAAAACATAGTCCCAGACTTATTGTTTTATGATATCACCCTAGTATAATAAATATATAAACATTGCTCACAATAAAAGATTAAGAACTTGCAATGTGTTTGGAAAAGTTTATAAAAATTCAATTTTTTTAAGTTCAAATAAAACTTAAGTACATCAAGATCAACTGAAAAAGTGGGCAAGCCAAATACTTCAGTCTACCCACACTAAAAGAATAAGGACCACAATGTTAAGTAGGCCCTATATTAAATTTGTAGAGAATCTAATATTAAAATCAAAATAATGTAATAACATAATTTGTGGATTAGTCCATAAGGTAGACACAATTCGAAATAAATGATCCATACTTGCAATAAGGTTTTTCTATGAAATATCCGTTTTTCAGCTGCTCTACTTCAAGCATATAAGGGATCCTTTAAAATGCCGTAGTCCTATTGACAGATTTTTACAATTGAGGTGCCATTGTAAAACTTACAATGTTGAGTGAGGTGACAAAAAAGTACAGTAATTTGAATTTCCTTTCGGATATCCCCCCGAATGGTTTTTTTAAGTTAGCTTTAGATATTCAGTGATCCTAACCACTTTTCTTTAAAACGGACTGGACTTTTAAACTTTTCTTTAAATGTGAAAAGACGATCTTTCAGGTAAATGTTTACACACTAATATTGTAAACAAGAGACAACACAGTTTGCATTATTAATTCGCTTTTCCTCAGAATCTATAGAGTTTGATTCTGAGGAAAAGCGAATTAATAATGCAAACTGTGTTGTCTCTTGCTTACAATATTAGTGTGTAAACATTTACCTGAAAGATCGTCTTTTAAAAGTGGTTATAAAGTGTGGTGGTGGTTATAAAGTGGTTTTGATAGCAAAATGCACATTTTCAACATTAAATAGTAACTTCAGCACGTGAGTAACTCAATTCCTCCAAACAAACAAAATTTTATATCCTAAAAAATTAAATTCAAATTCAAAAGTCTATTACACTACTAGATATGTGATTCAATAAAAAAATCCTAACTACAAAAACATCCTACCTATAGGTGTCACAAGTACAGCAGCCTTGAGCGCATCCTTATCAGTCAAGTCCTTATCACCGATCACCACCTTATCACCGGTAGCAGACTGGTCACCGAGCTTATCACCGTCAGTCCCGACCGTATCCCCCTTGTCCTTGGTCTTCCAACAGCGACACAGCCAGGCCATCCTCCAAAGTGACTCGTTCCCGTCCAATTAACAACCGTTTCCCATCCGCTGTACACCGGATGGCCGTATCGCGGTGTGCGATGCGATAAATCGACTGTAAACTATCGAATCGAATCTAAAACGATAATCGATAAATTTGATCGTACGAAAACTAAAAAGTTTGTTTAACTGGCCGCAAATAGGTTTGTTAGGCAATGAAAATTGTTTTAACCATCCATATTTTGTCAGTTACTCATTTCTATGTTGAAGATAATATCGAACAATGCAATTTGTATCATTTAGCACATGAATCACATATTAGCAGAATATGTGTTAAACTATTTAAAATCTTTAAAACAACACCACACACGCGCGTGAGGCTGAACATGAATGTGGCTTTGTTACAAAGACCAGCTGTCTATTGGGCAAAGACCATTAATTAAAAACACAATTATCCAGATCAGCTGAGTCTAAAGCTAGGGTTTCCAAGATCACGCCAGCGTATCTGTCCGGCTTGATGTCCGTTGGCGCTAATTTTTGTCCGGCAGATGTCCGATCAAGCTCGGCGTGAGAGTGGTTTGCAAGAAAGCGGACATTCGCAGTTTTTACACATTTTTACAAGAATCCTCACAGAGTCCTACACTTGTCCGCTCGGCGTGCACGCCAGAAATGGTTTAACGTGGATTCATAGTCAATGGTGCCACGCTCTGGACTCACGCCGGACAGATGGCGGGAAAACTCATGTCCGGCGTGATCGCTCGCGCTTGGAACCCGCACCCATATAAAAACACGGCTTCAATTTAAACTTGATTACGTAATCACGCTTGTCCATTCACGCTGTCCGCCCGGCGTGATCTTGGAAACCCTAGCTTAAATTTTAAACACGTTACTAACTTTTTTCAGGATCGAACTGGTGATTTTCTGAATACGGAGAGCACATGACCACTCATTATGGTTCAGGTATATCTGATAGCGAAACTATATGGCTATCAGCAACGCTTAGAAGTGTTTAGAAGTGAGCTAACCAGCGGTAAAAATTCCCAAACTACGAGATATTACAAATACAATATAGTTTCGACTGTGCTCATAAAATTTTGTCTCGAAACGCAAATTTATGTCCACTTGTCCATTTTACTTTATAATAATAAATCTACATTTCCATAAGGTAGATCAATATCGATAGTTGAGTATCGAATACAAGCATCGACTCGGCGATGTTCCGATAGTACCAAAGGTCGAGGACGATCGCGCACCACGGGACCTTGTCCCACAAGTTGGGAGCCAAGTTCAGCTTCCTTTTAAGGGACTACTTTTCTCCTCCACATCTGGGACCAAAATCACTCAGGATCGCGGCCTAATGCCTTTAAAAAATGGTAAATTCTTTTGAAATAGTCAAATAGAGCTAATTCAAGGGAAGCGGTTTGGTGAAAACAAACGCTAGGGTAGGGAGATAGATTAAAAAGATATTTGATTCTTATGGTTGTATTCTTCCATATTTGAATTGCCTCGTTGGATGCTAGGAACAATTTAAAAGATTTATACAATACTTGCAAATTTTCCCAGCTGTATAATAGTGTTACACTATTTAAGATATATTTTTAAGTGCAATAATACTTAAATTACATAACAGCATTTCAATCAGCTAAAGATACTAGTGTAGATGTGTTGAAGCCAAAGTCATAGGCACGAAACCCCTCCATATACTACGTTTTTTCATTGTCTACAGTCATGATTTTTGTCACTATACATAACTTTTTTCTTTAAACAACCTATCCATCTTGTATTATTCAGATACAACCTCCAGCCTGATCTTCTGTCGGTCCCCGCAACCTCTGGCTTTCTTTATCCATTCCATTGTCATTTACCACTAATTTTAAATGCTATGTATACGGAAATAAACGGAAGAATGGACATTAATTTTTAATGCAAAAGAATATTGAACACGCCTTCCTTTGATAAATTTACAGATAGCTTCTGTTAAATTACGTACACATGATTTGTATTGTGGATTGCAGCAGATCCATTTAATTCAAAGGAGGGAGGTTTTTCCTAACCCTCGAAAAAAACTCGACACCTGAATAAATTATCATCCTGGGATTTGGCAAGAGGGTAAGTTTAAGGGTGAGGGTGTGCGATCGGCAATAAATTTCGTCTGAAGGAAAACAGAGGGACAAGATTTTCTTCAAACACTTCGTCCCTTGCTAGAGGGAAGGTTGTACATATTGACGTAATGCACAAACGTGTCAATTTTTCACCTTATCATTTGAAATACGAATACTGATTTAAAACGTTATTAACTGTAGCCTTGTGTATTACCATTGACTATGAACCTTTGGCCAAAAGCTCTCCAACGAATTCGACTCCTATCGACCACTTTGAAAGT